CATTGCAAGAATCTGATGTCTTTAATTTGATGACCCAGAACAGTCTGGCCTGGGACTAGAAATTTCAGCCATGCAGTAAACAAGCTAAACAGCAGACTAAGTAAAAGCTCTTAAGTTTGCTTATGGCTCAATTTTGCTAAACAAATTGCTGCATATTAATTGCTGTATACTTGCAAAATTACATATTCTTGTTTTCATTCCTTGTGCATCAGCTCTGTCTTACCCCTTGTGATGTTCTCTCTGTTACCATTTCCCCCTCATTTATCTCATCTCAGTTGTTCTCTGTTCTTCTTCCCTTTGCTGTTTCGCTCTTTCAAATGCCTATTGTCTTTCTTTGCTGTTCAAGTTCTTGAGTCTTTTAAAATCTATTTCTTCTCAAGTTGATAACTATGCAGATGTCATCTGTCAGCTATGGAATCTTTCACCGAGGTTTTCCTCCTTTTTGTTACACTGGATAAATGCTCTTGCATCCATCAAAATCACTTTCTGCACACTCGTTACTATGAGATGGAGTTTTAAACCACCATTTTCTATTCATAAGCAGGTGATGAAAGAGTAGATATCTAGAAGTGGGCTTTTAATCCAAGGTAGTGATTACAAGCACAGGACCAACTAGGGAAGGGCAGTGGCTCTTGCATGCAGAAAGTCCCAGGTCCACATTCTGGCATTTTCAGGTAGGGCTGGGAGAGACTATAGAGAGCAGTGTAGAGACTATAGAGTCAGTGTAGACAGTACTGAGCTGGATGGACCAGTTGTCAGTATAAGGCAGCTTCTTATGTCCCTAGCTGGCTGTATCACTCCTCCACATTTATTGATCTATGATCAAAGAAAGGGGCAGTTTTGTTCTTGAAGTTAGGAGAATTATTTCATCAACCCCATCAGGTTTTATTCATTCATTCATTTATCATATTCTTCTTCTGTCTATCCTGTGATCAAAGCAGCTTACAACAGTGTCTAGAATACTAAAAGTATTGCAGAACATTATGTAGTATGCATGCAGTTCTGCATCAATTACGTCCAATACAAACCCCCCCCCCATCAATTCCTAAAATATTGCTGAAAATAATGTATCTTTAATTTCCTTCTAAGTGCTGCTATGGTTCTGCTGTGATGGATGTTCCATATTATGCTGTTCCACAACCCAGGGCAACCACCAAGAAAGCCCTAATTCTTGCTGAGGCTGGTATGGTAAGACTAGAATTTGTACATGTAGGTTTTGGTAATGTTTCACGCCCTGTGGAAATCACCCTTCTGAACTTTGGCAAGTCAGTAAACTTCTTTGTATTTCAGTTTAACCAGACATTTATTCCTAAAGGAACTTTGAGATCTTCATATTGAAGCTCCTATTCAAGAGCAAAATATTGTTTTTTTAAATTCCTTGTTCTGTTAGTAGCTTTGTTTCTTTTTTGCAGCTGTTGGATACCTACAGAAAACATGCCTTCCAGCAAGCAGTTCTCGACGCATATTAATTGGGCTCAGAGCACAAGGAAATCCGACCCTTCAAAGTACCTGACTGCACATTAGTCTGTTGCTGGGCTTGAAGCCTGGTTTATGGGTAACGAACAATTATAAAAATTAGCATAGAAAAAGAATTCTAGAGATCATGAGAAGATCATATGGTCTTCCACCCTCTGCTTGCAATTAAGACTATTATTGGCTAAGGCTTTTGAATCTGCAATGTATCTTACAAAACAGAAAAATAAAATAAGAGTTATTAAAGGAAGATGACCCAATTGTGCAAATCTTAGTGAATATACCATTTGACTTTTGCTTGAAAAACAGATGTATTGACTGTTTCTGAGAAGTTCAGAAAACACCCCCAGTTCAATAATTTTATCAGACATGAAAGCAGCTCCTAATCAATTTTGATCTTGCTGAGAAATTCAAGTCCAAAAACAGTAAAATAGAAGCTGGCAGGTCAGCCAAGGAAGTATTCTTGCTCATCTACTTTTTCCTGCTTTAACTCTTACCAAGTATCGCTTGACATATGGGCCATTCACTTGGCTGTAAAAATAACAACAGTTGTGAGAGTGCCTTTTAAAACAAAAGTGACTTGTTAAAGAGCACTCATTGGGCTGACCCATTAATGTATTTGCTATTTAAAACTGTTTGTAAAAGGAGTGAGTCTTCTTAGTATTTAAAAGATTAACTCCATGACACTTTTTTATATATATGAAAAAAAACCCTTGATATTTATATAGTGCCACAATGTCGCATAAGCCTTACAGGATTCCAGTGATTACGGTAGTTTGCTCAATGCTAAGTCCTCTCATTCACTGCACTGGCACTTTGAGTGTCCCGTGATATGCCTTTAATTTTGATGTCTCAGATACTACCAATCATCACAACAATCTGGCATACTATTTGTGTACACTGTGGCCTCAGAGAAGTCCAGTTGCCATCAAGTATTCAATTATTTAATAATCAAAAGTATAACACTGATGTGCTAAACAACATCTACAAGATATCTGATCTATGATTAATGTTCAGTATCACCATTTTAAATACCGTAAATATGCAATGTGAGACATCTACTCAGAAGTATGCTCCAGTGATTCCTTGTGTGATTCTCTTGCTATAAAAAAATCTTAGCTTGAATGGGAAGGTCTTGATTTTCTATTAATGACAATAGTTCTCAAAACATGTATACGTCTAACTAAAAAAACCCCAAACACTTTAAGGCTTATTTGTTCACTCCTAATGGAGTGATATATAGTGGGATATATAGTGGTATATAGTGGGACGCGGATGGCGCTGTGGGTTAAACCACAGAGCCTACGACTTGCTGATCAGAAGGTCGGCGGTTCGAATCCCTGCAACGGGGTGAGCTCCCGTTGCTCGGTCCCAGCTCCTGCCAACCTAGCAGTTCGAAAGCACATCAAAGTGCAAGTAGATAAATAGGCACCGCTCCGGCAGGAAGGTAAACGGCATTTCCGTGCGCTGCTCTGGTTCGCCAGAAGCTGATTAGTCCTGCTGGCCACATGACCCGGAAGCTGTATGCCGGCTCCCTCGGCCAATAAAGTGAGATGAGTGCCGCAACCCCAGAGTCTGGACCTAATGGTCAGGGGTCCCTTTACCTTTTTACGAATGGTATACAGTGATCAGAATCAGTTCAATGTTTTTTGTTGCCCTGAGCAGCAAAACTTGCTTCCCTCCTTTCCTTCCATCCACATTTGAATCTTCTTGCTTGTTGAGAAGCATTAAATTACCAAGTTTTGCCTATAATCACATTTTTCTTGTTTTTGTTTTAATTTATTTAACAAAACATTCAGGAATCATCTTGAAATCGTTTTGGAGTAAGCTAAACACATAAAGATATTAGGATGGCCTTCTGGATGAGACCAAAGACCCATCTAGTCCAACACCCTGAAGCTCACTTTGGCAGCACATATACTATAAACCTATAAAAATACACAGAGGTTAGCATATTTAACATCCAGCATTCTGCAGCCAGATGCTTTGGGGTATGTAGGACATGAAGGCTTCGTCCCTCCTTCCCTGCTTGTCTCCTAGCCATTTATATTCAAAGACCTACTTCTTCGAATAGACATTTGTACAGAATAGACAGACAGTACGTGGAGAAGCAGACTGCAAAATTAAGTATCTTGTAATGCTGAATAAAGGGCAAAAAACTGCATTTCCAGTTGTTTCAATGAGATTGAATGATTGTGCATATAGACTGCTTTTGGTCACACTGTGACCTCAAAGTGGTTTCCAGCATGCAGATAAAATAACATACCACTTAAAATTCATAAAAGCAGTAAAATACAGCAACTGTTTAATCTGATACTAAGTACAGGCAGCTGAGCAAGGTAAACAAATCTTGTAAAGGCATCTCTCTATGATCAGATCAGAAAGGTAACATTTTCCCAAACCACACCTTCATATCTCTTTATACCCATGAACGGTCCCTAAAGTGTGCAAACAGACAAGAGACAGACAGACGGAGACTGGTTCCAGACTAAATTAGGTACAGTATGTTTTAGCCTCATTTAAATCAAAGGGATAAATTGACTAACTTAAGTCACATTGATTTCAGAGGGACTAAAGCATGACTAGTCTGAATCCCTAGTCAGTCTATCTAAACATCTTCCTTGATGTAAACATGTTTTATTATTCTGTCATCAAAGGTTTATTGTTAATACAATCTGAGGTTGGCATAGCATAACACTGAGATACAAGGAAGTTGAAAAAGAGAAAGACTACCTTTCCCTCCTACTTCTCTAGCCCACAGACACCTCTTATTAGATGAGGCAGAAGATCACAATGTGTGGTTAATTTTATCACCCCAAACAGGAAGAAACTTCATTCACAGAAATATCATTATAGCCATGTGATTCTTGGTTGACAGGTAGTATAGAAAACAACAACAACAACAATGGTGTTAAAGCAGCAAAACTATGTCTGACAACTAGCACCCCCCCTCCGCCAATGAATTAGTGAGGTAAGGATGATTGTGGCTGACAAACACATAAGTAAAGGTAAAGGGACCACTGACAATTAGGTCCAGCCGTGACTGACTCTAGGGTTGCGGTGCTCATCTCGCTTTATTGGCCGAGGAAGCCGGCGTACAGCTTCTGGGTCATGTGGCCAGGATGACTAAGCTGCTTCTGGAGAACCAGAGCAGCTCACGGAAACGCCGTTTACCTTCCCGCTGGAGCGGTACCTATTTATCTACTTGCACTTTGACGTGCTTTCGAACTGCTAGGTTGGCAGGAGCCGGGACCGAGCAACGGGAGCTCACCCCATCGCGGGGATTCGAACCGCCAACCTTCTGATCAGCAAGTCGTAGGCTCTGTGGTTTAACTCACAGTGCCACCCGCAGACAAATACATACCTAGGTGCTAAATGGGGGGTATAGAGGAATTAGAAATATTTCTCTGAATTTGTCTATGGTAAGGGTATTGATTTTACATACCCTGTTATTATTTCTATAGCTATAGGCTCCTCTTAAAAGTGAGCTTCAATTGGACTTTGCCAACATTCTAGTGCATAGTTGTGACAGTTGAAAAATAGCAGTTAAGAATGCAGCAAAACCATCAGTGGGCAGGGGAAAAGAATCTGTTCAAGCAGAGGAGCTTTTATCTTTCCTTGGTGGTATTCCAACAGCTTCACAAGGTTGGGTAAGTGTTTATATATAATGGAGTGTCACCTTGATGTTTTACATTGGTGTTGTATTTGTATTAAGTTTTACCATGTTTCGAAACATTGATTTGGAAGTCTGTTTGGAAGTTCAGTAGCAAGAAACCAACAGCACAAGAATGTATTTGCGTGCTAACGTTTTGGCCATTAGTTTCGGAGCTGCCTTTGGCATTACTTTTTAAGACCAGCAATTGTTGCATAGCATACATTGCATTGGAGTGGGGAACCTGAAACCTTCCAGATGTTACGGTAGTGCAACTCCCATCAGCCCCAGTTATAATGGCCCATGGTCAGGGGCTGATTGGTGCTCTAATCCAGAAATATCAGGAGGGCTACAGGTTCCCCATAGTTACATTTCCTTGGTCTGATCTTAGGAGACAGCAGTGCAGGAAGCCAGTCTGTTAAATACTCTCCCTGTGTCACCGGTTTCCTAGCGGACTAAACCTCAGCAAATGTAATACGTAAGCACCTTTGAACCAGTTGAATATAAAGGCTCCACTACTGTTTAACTGTTGTTATGCCACTTCTCATAGCACATTGGGATGCTTCTTTGTGAGTAGTGCAACTGAACAGTGGTGTAGCCTGGGGGAGTCACAGGGGTGATTGATTGCCCGGGGGGGCGGAAATTGTTCGGGGTGCAAAATTTCAACACCGGTGCTGCCTCAATACAGCTGTGCACGTCCATCACTGGGCTCTGTTGAAAATAGCTTCTCTATTCAAACTGGGAAATGACCTTTCCAGACAACAGAACAACTTTTCTTAATTCTGCAGTTACCATCTTCTGGGTGATGCGGACGCTGTTAGGCAGTTGAATGTGCATGCATACTCCATCTCCCCCCCCCCCCCAGCAGCCCTGGGTGCTGGCAACCCACACTATGCCACTGCAACTGATTGTCACACTGCTTCCCAGCTGTCAGATTGGTTACAACTCTTATCAGCTATTCAGGTACTGTTATGTGTTGGGAACATCACAGGAAAATGAACTCATTTTTAACACATAATTACATTCTTGCAAACACAACTGAAAATGAGACATAATCAGGGACTCGAATGCTTTGCAGTTCCTAGGATATGTTTGGAAGGTGCCAGGTTGGTACACAGTCAATTACTTATGTTATAAATGGTGTTGTTCTCTCACCTTTTGAAAGTCATTATTAGTGCACAAAGAAAATAGGAAGTTAATAAAGAAAGGGACTCAAGGATAAAGTACTACTAACAGAAATGCATGTAAGGTAGGATAGCCCATGAAAAGAGAAGTCTGTGAATCAAAGATTGGTGAAAACAAAAGTATAGCATACATGAGTACTTAAGGATTAGACATTACAAAGATTTTAAGGAAAACCTTACACATACTCTCCTCCATTTAAAAAAATAATATCAATAATTCACTATCCTGTTCTAACTGCCTCAATTATTTAACATGTTGTTTTGAGTAAGACACAGAATAAAAATATTGCCCATTAACCCCTGATTCTAAATACCTTTACTTTGTTTTGCTGGCACATGCTTCCTAATAGGATTAAGACGGCATATCAGTTATCCAACAAATAACTGTTTTAACACTAAATCATGGCAACCCACCCTGTATCCTCTTCATAATGGTACAATAATAATTTCCTATCCTGAGGAACTGTATTAGCTCTTACAGTGTGAAGAGTGGTGGGAAGCTGATAGTAAAAAATGTATTAGTTGAAATGATTACCTTGGAACAATGAACGTTTGGTCTTACAAACAACTGCAGAAATAAATGTTGAAATGACTCTGAGGTTTACCGGTAGATGTAGGAAAAAAGGAATGGGATTAACCCAAAGTAAATAACCATAAGGATTAAAAAACTGTACTATTAATATTTAGTTTAAAATATAGTTTAAAATGCTTTAAACGTTTATCAGTGAGTCAAGTATTTGTGCTGAAATTTTACTTAAACAGCAATTATGAATTTGTTAGGTACTTGTATTAAGCCAACTACTGCACCATGGGAAAGGAAGCTGAATTAATTCAGTATCAGGACACACAATCCTATGTTCCTTGTTCTGTTTTGTTCACCACTGTAACTTAACCTGAGCTATTGGAAATAGCATAAAGGACCTGTTTTGCATGAAAAGAAATCTGTATTTATTCTGATGCAGCGTTAGGGGTTGAAGCCTTGCTTTGTTGGCTTCTTTTTTGTCAGCTTTACACTGAACAGAACCTCACTAATCAGATATTAGGAGAACTAACAACACTCTGTAAATACCTTTTGAAATTTGGTGGAAGAAAAATATGGGCGGGGGGGGAATTAGATAGGTTCCTCTGCAAAGCTGTAAGTGAAATTGCACCTTTAACTATGGATTTTTACAAATATACCAATGCACATATATTTTACATTTTCACTTAATCATACTCTCAGGATAGTAAACCCCTAATATCAATGGACCTTATTCCATATGTGCTTAGAGTTACAGGCTCATCTTTGAACAAATACATTCTAGGGTTCGGATTCCTTACATAATAAATAACTGTATAACCACTTCCTCAGTCTAGTCTAGTCATGACTATTGCATGAACTATTAGCATCAGTGCATGTGAATAACACACTGTGTGAGATGCAACCCCACACCTAGCAAAGCATTTCACCTTGGGCTGAGTTTACTACCTCAGACAAAGGAGATGGTGCCCCCTTTCCATTTGCTTTACGGAAGTTGAGTGAACTTTACTTCAGTAGTACAGCATCTCCCATGACACTGAAGGGGAACAGACTTGCTTAGGGGATCCAGGGACGTTGGGGGTGGCAACACTCAATAGCTCCTGCTTAGGGTGTTATAGGAATTCTAAAGTCTCATATATATATATAAATCAGTATTTTCTTACAAGGGGAAGAAAACGAGAGAAGGGCACAGCTTTGTCCTCCAACATTTTGCCACCACTCTCTGTCTCTGGTATCTGCCAACTGAGGTGACCACCTCTCTTTGTCTAATGCTGGGAGTGACCTGTGACTGCAGTCTTTCATTGGAAAACAAAACCCTGACCAAATACATTTTAGTAAAAATGGGTGAGTGGCAGATATTGCTATCACTTTAAGAATATCAAAAGAAAGGTAAGCTGTTCTGTATGCTATGAGAAAATCCAACTATTATGTCCCAGAATCCTGGGAACTGTAGTTTGTTAAGGGTCTTGGGAATTATAGCTCCATGAGAGAGAAACTACAGTTCTCAGTATTCTTTGGGGAAAACTATGTGTGACATATTTACAATGCAATCTTGTACATGTCTACTCAAAACTAGGTCCCACTGAATTCAGTGCCTCTTACTCCCATATACACATGCATTGGATTACAGGGTATAAAGTGCTAGGACTTTTTAAAATAACTCAAAGTAAACACAATATCTGTTTTCAATTTTGTTGAAAGACAGTTCAGTCATTGCCAATTTAGTATCATCTTATGAAGAAATAAAAAGCCATCAATATTTTATTACATTTCTGCAACGGCACTTTTCTTGTCCATCTCTGGAAAATCTCCAAACATCAAAATACGATACTGGTGATTCAGGTTAGGCCTGTCTCCATGGCTTTGCAATGCTACTGGTTAATGGCAATTATTTTACTGGCAAATCTAGCAGATCTAATGCTATTCCACTTTGCATCCCCCCCCCGAAAAAAAACCCCAGAAGAATAAATTAGACAAGTCACTAACCAGCAGTAGACTATCACATAGATAGCACAGGACAGGGTACCTTCACATCAACCTGAAAACCAGGCTTGTGGGCCTAGATAGGAGTCAGGCCTGCAGGTCTGCCAGTCTCTTCTGTAGTGTTACATCGCCGTTCGAGTTGGCCGCCAATGGCACGGGCCCAGGGACACACAAAAATAATGTCTCTCTACTCTGGCTCGGAGCCCGCCTGCCTGTAAGCCAGGTGAGGCACACAGGCGCCTCAGCTCCCTCCTTAGGTGACCGGCCAAGGGTTCAAGAGACAAGGGCGGCGGCGGCGGCGGCACTGGTACAGCTCCTTGCCAACAGCACAAAGAAGCCTAGGTACGCCTCTGCACGGAACACTTGCAGAAATAGAAATTGGCCACCTTTGATCTACTCCCATTTTTTCCCTGTGTTTTGCTGCATGGGAAGTGTTGAAATAAGGGACGTTTGGCAAGTCTAGTCCCTGGTGATTTATGCTTCGAGTACTACAGTAGGCACGGCCGCCTGCCTTTGCTGGGGTGGGAGGTGGGGAGCACATCAAAAATGCCTCGTCAGCTGAAGGTCACGGAGACGTAATCTGCAGAGCCACTTTCCCTCCAGCTCTCTCGGTAATGGAATTAAGGCCCATTAATCTAGCGCGCTGGCGAGAGCGGGAGGCGACTCTTCCTTAGAAGGGGCACTTAGAAAAGTCAAAGAACTATCTCTGTGGCGGGGAGGGGGCGAAGAAGGCCAGGGGGTGGGCAGCCACCTTGGTCAGAGGTGGCGGGATGTTGTCTCTCTCTCTTTCTCTTCCCCCGCCCCTTCTCGAGTCCAGGTTTGATGCTGCAAGGCGTGTCCGAGGCTCTGCTCATGTGATGGAGCAGGAGGGAGAGGCGGGCGGGAGGACCAGAGAGGAGCTTGTTCTTTCCTCCCCTCCGCCAGCTCTCTAAAGGAGTTTGCAGAAAGCTACTGGTTTCCGTCAGTCGCAGCTTGAGCGCTCTGCTGAGCGGCCGAGGCTGAGGCGAAGGGCGCAGCTGCCTAGACAGCTTCATTATTGCTCTCCCCTCTTTTATCATTCCTGGGCGGGAAGCGTCGGGTCTGGGCAGCGGAGGTGAGAGACCGGCGTCGCGAAGCAGCCGCTCACCGAAGAGAGCGAAGCCATGGGAGCCGGCAGCTCTGCGGAGCAGCGGAGCCCGCAGGACGGGGCCACTGCAGCAGAGGAGTCCCAGCCCGGCAGCCCTGCGGGAGAAGCGCCCACGGCGGCGGCGGCGGCGGGGGCCGAGCCGGAGCAGCCGGAGGATCCCGCCAAGGTACGAGCCTCGCTGCCATGCTGCGCGCCTGGGAGAGCGCTAGGGGGGCTGGGGTGTGTGTGTTTTGAGGCCGCTCCGCCTCAGTCAACTCAAACTTTAGGGGGGCGCCTAAGCACCTGCGAAGGGGCTGGCGGGCACCTGCCTCCCCTTCGCCCACCCTCCGCGTCCTCTCCGACCCCCCAAAAAGGGGTGAAGTTTGGCGGGGTGGGGCGTGGCGGCCGCTCGGCTCGGCTCTCCTGAGGCGGGGAACTGCGCAACCGGCACCTCCGCAGTAATAAACTCCTCTCTTCCCTTTGTCTGTCAGAAGAGCGGCCAAAAAAAAGTACTTGGCGCAGGCGAAGGGCGGATGAGTAGCCGCCGAGGCGCTTCGGGGAGCCCCCAGGCCCCCCAGGAGCGCGGCCTGGCGTCGCCCCCCCCCCGCAGATCACCTCATGCCCTCTTCCCTGGGCGCTTTTGGGGGCGCCCTATTGTATTTGGCTGTTTTGCATCTCGCCTAGTTTAGGCTCCTGTGCGCAAGGTATTGCGGTGGGGGGGGGAGCGAGTTAAGGCAGCCTCCCCTCTTGGTTTTCCTTTTGTGTGTACGTACGGATTGGTGTGAGAAAAGACCCCACCCTATGGCCGGGCGGCAGGGAGTGGACTGTGCTGTGCCAGGACTGCAGTCCTGCAGTCAGCCAGGGCTTGGTGGTACCCAGGGCTGCTGCAGTTGTAGCCTCTTTTCTTTCTCAGAGGATGAAAGTGAGAGGTGTGTGTAATCCGAAAGTGAGGGGTGGGAGTAAGAAAACAAACGGGAAACCCAGGACTAGTCCCTTGGTGTTTTCTGCACTGACAAGTGTTTAAAAAACCAGCTCTATCCTGCCCCCTCCTCATATCGATCTGCTTCAAAGTACAGCACGTGTTCAGAATAGAGAAGTTATTGAACATTCTTCAGTGTTGCATATTATATGAATAATGTGTATGCATTGGTTGCAGCGAGATACTTGTAAATAAATGCCTGCAGTTTCTAGAACTACAGATATTCCTATAAGTAGTAAGCTGTATCCTTAACTAACCAAATAATTTTACTGAATATCCTCATAAAAGTTACACATACAAATAGCAACAGAGAACTTAGAGAAGCAAAAAAGGCTCCCTTTTTTCTGTGCACTTTTTTGAGTTACATTTTGCAATTTTCCAGACAAAATTTCTTGTTTTGGATAAGGATGGTTTCTTGCATTATGCTATTTTTCCACCAATATTCCAATAAGTATTTTTCTTTACTTTTTAGAAAATAGTCAGGTTTATTAAGCACACTGATTTAGCTCAATAAAGTTATTTAAAAACAATTTAGATACTTATTTTAAACTCTAGATGGAATATTTCAAGCTTGCTGTTTTCCTAATCTAATGTGTGGGTGTTTCTAAAGCTTGAGAACTGGTTGTGACTTTGTTTTTGTGACCTTGAGTCTCAGATTTTTAACTCCCAGGAAGAATTTTCCATAGCTGCTGTCCTACAGTGTTCACTGTTGAGGGTGGTATTTTCAAAAGTGTTTTAAAAAAGAAGTTAAAATGGAACAAATAGTTTTAATAACTTGAAAGAAATATGTCTTCTGATGACACCTTTCCAAAGTAAAATTTCACAGTGTACGCACAGTTTGTTGCTGTGAGATAATTCAGCTACAGAAATGTAACTGCAGAAATCATGAAATGTGACCAAAGTATCCGACCAAGATGATAAAATAATGCTGGCTTCAAGCTTGAGAAAGAAAAATTCCTGCTAAGAAGGTCAAACCAGCGTCTCTTAAGCTATGTGAAAAAGCATAAATGTTTCGAATCCTCTTGTACTTTAGGTTCCAGGAAGGGACTTACGCATTTTACCCACGTGATTCCAGTTGTTGGGAGAAAGATAAACCATATGACTATTTTAATATTAGCTGTGCCAGTGTCTAGAAAGAATTAATCAGAAAATGTTTATTCAGAAACATAAATATATTATTTTAAGTAACATCTAGCCAATAATACATTTTAAAATGCAGTTGTTTGCATGACATCTTCTAGACCAGGGATAGGCAACATGGTGCCCTCCAGATATTGTGGACTGTAACTTGCCCTCAGTCCCAGCCAGCATGGCTAGTATGCAGGATGATACGCGTTGTAGTCCAAAACATATTGGGACCATCATTTTGGCTACTCCTGCGCAAGACCACATAAAATCAATTATACCACACCACCTTAACCTGTTCAAGCACCAAAAAGCATGACCTGCTAACAAAAGCACTTTATACTGAGTGAAAATAATGGAAAGTTCTGGTTCTTTCTCAAACTCCACTCCCATCCCTTCCATACACTTCTGTCCACTGTTCAGGTCAGTGTCTCCAGCAGAGCCAGGCATGGCCTGGCCTGTTTTCTCAAACCTGTTCCTTCTTTCTGTTTTTCCAGATGGAGCCTCCAGTAACATTTTCCCACTACCAACCCAGAATAATTGTTTGTGGTTGTTCTGGGGAAAGAGGCTGCACATTTCCTTCTTCACTCCTGGTTATAATACTCATTAGACATTCAGCTGAATCAGACTAAGGGTTCATCTAGATTCCACTGAGGTTTTTTTGCAAATGGTAGCTAACCAGATGTTTCTGGGAAACCCACATGCCTAGTACCAAATAAATGGCCCACTCCCATTTTTCTAGTATTGCAGTGGCAAATCAGGCACTCTCTTGATGTCATTGGACTACAGTTCTCATAATCCCTGACCATTGTCCCAAGTTGGCCTGAGCTGATGGGAGATGGTATCCCAACAACATCTGAAGGGCCACAGGTTCCTCATCCCTGTTTTTGCAGCTGCTATTACACAGTCTTTGAACATAACCTTTGATAAACTTATCCTCCATTAATTTGTCTAACCCTTTTAAAAAGCCATCAAAGCTAGAGGATATCACATCTTGCAGTGATGGATTTCATAAGCTAGTTCAATGTTTATGGCTGATTGGAATAATCAGACATACTGCCTATGCTTTCGACATGGGGGAGGAAAGGTATTGCTCCCCCCATGGTGACTCTTTTAGTGGTAACCAGGCCACCCAGTGTTGTTGGTAGTTGGAAGACTTTGCCCGCCCTTTAGGGTTGTACCCAAGTGCCACACTTTACCCCTCGCTTTCCAAAGAGAGTGAATGAATGAAAGATAGCCATTAATCTGCATAGGAAAAAAATGCACACATTGGGATAGAGATAACTGTCCCAAGTCCCTGATTATCATAGTGCCTGTAATGAGAAGCAGGTTTCAATCTAAACAGTCCCAGTCTGCATTTTTTTTCTTTGTCCAGTAAAGCTCAATGGGAACCTGAGAGGCATAGTAGCAACTAACTACAAAACCCTACCATGGCCTGGATGCTGTTTCTTAGAACATAGGTAAAATTGAGACAAGAGAATTGTCTTTTTGGAACTTCCTTTGGTATATGTGGATTGCAGCAAGTATTCTGAGAGTTTGTGATGGCAGTCCCCTGCAGCACACAAAGGAATCATAGAAGTGGTATGCTATGCTTCTACATAACTTTAAAGTGCTTAATTAACACCATGTAAGTGATATATACTGGCAGACTACTTTAGAATGTATGCTGGAAATTCCCTATCATACCCCAGGGTATATGCTTCTACCCAGTTTTTGATTCATATAAACTTAGCAGGTTGAGTTGCAGTAATTTTGAGCCATTCCTTAGAATGCATATTACATTGCCAGTAGTGAAGGGAATTATTTTGCCTCATGCACTAATGAGAGACCATAACTTTCTAGTGCAGTGGGCCTTGGGCCACTTTTAGGTGACCCTCAGTGTCTCAGGCTGACCGGGGCCTCCCCACTTGCCTACTGTGCCCCATAGCCTCAGTTGAACCAATGCCAGCATTAGGAGCGCCTTGCATATTGAGTAAGAGTGCATGGGGTGGAGTGGTATCAGTTGGAGGAGGGGACATCTCTTCTAACAAAGTGTTGGAGGTGTTGAAAGCCATTAAAAAAGTGAGATTAAAAGTTACTTATTATTAATAACCTTAAAGATAAAAATAAATTAGGAATAGAAAGGAAGGGGGTGTGAGAGAATCTGTTATAGGAGGAAGAATAGAATATAAAATGACCACCAAGGAGGAATGGGAAGATGGCAGGTTATTGGGTGGGGGGGTATGTGTGAAGGGGATAAGGTAAAAATTGAATGTAAAAGGAGACTGGGCTTCAGTTCTTTCCAGCTATTTCAATATCCTTAAGTGCTGCACTGACTATTCTGGAATAGCTACCTTTCCTGGTTCTAACATAGGTTGAAATCCATACTTCATACATTTAAAATTCATATATTACCTACAAGTAGCATTTGGTTAAGGGATAAATACTGTAATTTGTATTAAGTGACTTTAAATATGCATCACACATTAAATAAAAGGGGATACACATACCCTTTTTCATTTAAAAGTGCACAGAATAAATTCAGGTACTGGACAATAAAAACAGTTTATGTTGGGAGTTGAGCAGGAATTTAGAGAAGTACAGTTGATGATCATTTTGTGCTGGGGGGATCCGTTCTTGGCCCCTGTGTGTTTTAGCGCAGCATGTATAAGCACGTTCCACTCCACCTTCATTACACACCCTTTTAGTGACTTGTTTAGTGACGTTTCCAGTTTGCTTCTGGGTTTGGCGCCATGCACGATTGTGCATCATTTGGACGCACATTAATCAGTCATTGCCTGCACATGCAGACATACCCCAAATCTACCAGTATTGCTTATCTTTGATTTGTTGAAGTTAGTTTTTTTATAGTGTTATTCTTATTCTGGAAATGTAAAGTAAACATGTTATGCTGCAAGCATGTACACATACAGTGGTACCTTGGGATGCAAACAGGATCTGTTCCGAAGCCCTATTCTCATCCTGAACAGAACGTAAGACATGTGTGCAGGTCGCGTTTCGCTGCTTCTGCACATGCGCATGACATCATTTTGACCATCTGCGTAAGCGACGAAACCCGGAAGTAACGCGCTCCGCGGCGACCCAGAAGTAACCAAAAAATACTTATCCTGAAGCGTATTTATCCCGAGGTGTGACTGTACAGGCAGTTTCCCATTTACGTGGGGCTTATGTTCCGATGCACTGCATGTTTAAATAAAATTGCGTATATTGGGAACACCATTGTGAAAGGCTGCAAACGCCCTCTGAACCTCTGGAAACTCTTGAAAAGCCATTCAGAAAACAAAAACTCCACCAAACTCCTCCACAGTTGCTCCCTCCAAACCTCCTTGCTCAAGCTCCAAGTCCCCGCAGGCCTCAAAGGTTGGTGCAAAGGCTCCCAGGATTGCATTTGCAAAGGCTCCTGGGATTGCTAGATGCTATTTTCGTGCCATTTTGCCATTTATACACTCTTTTAGGGCTGTTTTTGCCCCTATTCCTGCCACTTCCTGGTTTGCTATGGTGTGCGCAGTTGTGCGTGTCTCAAATGTGCGTAAATGAGGAATTGCTGTAATTAATGACACATGCATCACTTCTGCTCCTGTACTTCTGTAGCACTGGCAAAAGTTTAATCAGTTCCTCTTTGCAATTACCTACCTCTCCCACCCCGCTAAATCTTTCTCATGTTGTTTAAAACAGTCTAGTTATTGATTTTAAGTATGGTGGGTGATACTCAAAGATCATTGGACTTATTCATTCACTTCAGTGGGACTTCTCTGTGTATGAGGTGGATATCACTCTGAATAGAAATACTTGTATTATCCTGGCTTCAAAATTAAGACCTGCCTTCCAGATTCTTTCACCCTTTTTAATCTAGGAAATGTAGAACTTTTCAGTATAGTAGCACCTCAGATTACGTAACCCCTCTGGTTACATAAGCTTCAGGATGTGAAAGCGGCAAACCCGGAAGTATTTGACCGGATTTCAGCATGCGCAGAAGCGGTTCTCAGGTTGCGGAAACCTCAGGATCTGACCTGACCACTGGGACGGATCCCGTCCACAACCGGAGGTACCACTATACACTGAAACCGTCCTTAATGTGTCTATAGCATCAGTACTTTAGTTACTACAACATAATTTATTGAAAATCCACTAATGTATAAGTTCAAATAATAGATAGTTCTATGTTTCACTACAAAATATGCAAAGCATTATTTCACAACTTCTGGGAGCATTCTTAGGCCAATGCAAACTAAGAAATAGTTGGCAGGTCAGTTTCAGCATAATACATCACAGTAGTTGAATCTGAATCCCTGGTTCTGTTCCCGTATTTCTCAATCTAAGAGAAGTTTACTTTCAGCTCTTTCTCTTAAAATGATTTATAATGTAAAGCCAGCTGCTTGATGACTTAAGCTCAATAAGCTCATTCACCCATTGATCCTCAAAATACAGCACATTGAAACAGTGAGCGGTGGTAGAGGACAAGCACATTCCACATTACTGCTGCTGCCTCTCCTGGCCAAAGTTGCAGGAGTAAGGTAAAGGTAAAGGGAACCCTGACCGTTAGGTCCAGTCGCGGACGACTCTGGGGTTGCGGCGCTCATCTTGCTTTAGTGGCCGAGGGAGCTGGCGTACAGCTCCCAGAGCAGCACATGAAAACGCTGTTTACCTTCCCGCCGGAGTGGTACCTATTTATCTACTTGCACTTTGACCACTTTGATGTGCTTTTGAACTGCTAGGTTGGCAGGAGCAGGGACCGAGCAGCGGGAGCTCATGATTGTATTCAAAGTAGTCACTCCTTGGTAAAACCTATGGTAAATTCTGCACTATTTAGTTACGTGAATCCACCCCACAATAGAGTTCTCTGGAATTTATTCTGACGAAATATATTTACAAGATGCAGTATATCTTTTGAGGGACAGGGTGGATCCTGATATTACTATCAATGATCATGCTATCAACTCTGTCTGAGGAAACTCCACTCCACATATTGAACTTCCCCTGACTTGAGATCTACTGGGAAGGCCCTGCTGGTAGTTCCAGCTTTAAAGGACATCCTGGAGTTTATTACCCACCAAAGGACCTTCACAGAATTAGTATTCTAGTAGTGGTTTGCAGCCACCCTAGGGGCTTGACTGGCACCAGCATGGTTTAGCTTTAGGCACCAAATGAAGATCTGTTGCTTTGCTTTTTGATGTAGAAGGATGCCTGGGTTTCAGGACACTGACAGATTACAGGGAAACAGAACATTGGTGATTTTAATTGTTTTCTTTGTTAATTGCTTTATGTATGAATTGTTACTTGCTCTGGATTTTAGGATGAAGGGTAGGATATAAGGTTTTTAAAAAGAATAAAAATAAAATCTCTTAGTAGATTAAAAGCACAGTCCTATGCATAGAAGTGAGACCTGATCCTGTTGATGACTTAAGCTCATTGGGACTTACTTCCAAGTAAGTGTGTATAGTATTGCAGCCTAATACACCAATTGACATGTTTGTCCAGAAGATGACTTTTATATTATATTTTGTGAGACCTTTACATTGTTTTCCAAACTGCAGTAATAATAGGAGAATTAATTATTAATGCTAATGTAACTACTTAGGCTTCCAGGATTCTATTTTTGCGCAGTCAAGTGAACAGCAAGATGGAAGGAAGTAATTAGCACATTACTTCAGTCTGTCCATTTCCATAGTTTCCATATTTAATCTTCCAATATAGTGTATCAATGTAGCGGAACTAGAGAATAATATCTGTATAGTACTTGCAAAGTTTGTGAAACCTGTGACTGTGTTGGGGTCTAAAAAGTTGCTTTGGCCTGCCAAAGAACTTGGGACTTTTGAAGCGTTGAGGCTTCTTATTTGAACAACAGACTGCAAACCTTATCACATTCCCCTCAGTTTCCCATTGCAGAGATATAACACTTCAATAAGTTTTAAAACAATGGGGGAAACCTTTTTTATTGGGTGGGATGGGGGAAAAATAGAGATTGAGTGAGAAATAGCTAATACTTCATTATGAAACTTAAGTTTACTTTGTTACTGAATTTATATGAAGTGTACTATTTGGTGTATTCATGACATCTTGTATGTACGGGTTCTCCAAGCAGTAATTGTAAATATGCCAAATGTTATATAGGCGGAGCAGCAAGCTGTTGCATCCTAATGTACCTAACTATAGCTTATTTTTTCTCTTTGGAGAAATAGTTACAAAAAAGGAAATGAAAATAGCAAAAGGAATATTTTATTTTCTATCTTTCTAAATGGTATTTATTTTATTTTATTAAATTTATATACCACCTTTCATCCAATGATCTCAGGGTGGTTCACAATATAAAAATACAGTATAAATACAGGTATATGGAAATCAACATTATCATGCAAAAACAAAAGAGATGTTTTTTATAGAAATACACATTTTTTTCAACCTGGGACCCCACTTCAGAATTTACCTGAAGCAGCACCAGTTAATTTGTTTCACAGGTGAGCATGTGTAGTTTTGTATGTCCAGTAAATGTGAATATCTTTGAATGGGAATATTAAGCTTTAGAAGTGTACCATGTACAGGACACGTGAAGAATACATTAGAACAAAGCATCAGTTCTTCTTCCTAAACCTGGTTGAGAGAATGGGGTAGGAGGAGAATATTATTCCCCAAATACTAAATGGATGAGGGAGGGTCCTCTCACAGGAGGCATTCATTCCATTCATGTCATTATTCTATTCTGTCTGTTTCAGGTTTCTTGTGGTCTCAAAGGGAGCTTACTCCACAGTTTGAGAACAACTGTGTTAGTGAAAGCTTTAGCAAGCACAGAAGCTGAAGTCTTTCATATCAGGGCTCTGATTGGTAGATGTTATGGAAGTTCTTCCTTTTCATTGAGTCATGCAATTTGCAACCTTATCCTAAACATATTATGATTTTCAAGACTACATAGCCAGAGACAGAATTGCTCACACAAAGGACTTTTTCTGTTTGCTTTCTAGCAGGTTTATAAATAGTCACCTCTCCTCACAAGGCCAGTATATGCCAATAGCCTTGTGAGAAGAAGAGAAAAGGGAAGCAGGCAAAAAACAACGTTAGGGTCTGCCATGGTCAGACTGCCCCCCCCCAAACTTTACTCTTTATCTTTACCTTGACTGTTTGTCATTTATTGTAATATTTTCAAATTGTAAACCACCTTGCATATTTGGGCAGAATATAAGTACAATAAATAGATAATAAACCTGGGAACCTTAGCAAACAGATTTATTTATTTATTTATGCATACATTTATTCTGTTAAAAAATATTGTGAACATATGTCAGGGAGATTTTCTACCCCTGTATTTTTGCCCACACAAAAATCTGCCTTTAGAATGTTACATACAATTAATTAATTAGTTACATAATAATTGAAAACCACAGAGGTTAATTTCGGTACCTGAAATTGATACAATATCAGTTAAATATAAAGTCAATCTTGTAATGTCCCCCCCCCCATTTGCCCATCCCTAGAAAGCACGTATATTTATGCGCACAGCTTGTCAATCATGTCAATACAAGTGTATTCACAGAATTTCAGTGCCTTATTTTTCCTCTTGTTCTAAATAATGTAAGGGAGATTTAAGCTAAGAACCCAATAAGAGCCCTGCTGAATCAGACTAAAGGCCAATCTAGTCCAGCATCCTGTTCCATAGTGCTCAACCAGATTCTCATGGGAAGCCTGCAAGCAGGACATAAGCAGAACAGGTCTGTCCCTATTTTTTATTCAGAGGTATATTGGCGGTAGTACAGTGGTACCTCGGGTTACATACGCTTCAGGTTACATACGCTTCAGGTTACAGACTCCGCTAACCCATAAATATTACCTCGGGTTAAGAACTTTGCTTCAGAATGAGAACAGAAATCGTGCTCTGGCAGCGGGAGGCCCCATTAGCTAAAGTGGTGCTTCAGGTTAAGAATAGTTTCAGGTTAAGAACGGACCTCCGGAACAAATTAAGTACTTAACCCAAGGTACCACTGTACACAGCCATCATTACTAGTAAGCTTTATCCGTCAGTAATTTTACTTAATTCCATTTTAAAACTGTCCGAAGTAGTTGCCATCACCACATATTGTGGGAGTGAATTTCATTGTTTTAACTATGTGCTATGATAGTTGATAATCATTATGGGAATAAATACTTTCCTTTGTCCAGAATCTTCCAGCATTCATGACCTTTTTTTGTGAAAGGGAGAAAAACCTTCAATCTTGCTCACTTCATAATTTTATACATCTCTAACAGATCTCTCTTCCCACCCCAGACTTGTATTTTTTTCTAAGTGGAAAAGCCCCAGTGTTTTCATCATGGGGAAGTTACCCTTGGTTCATTTTGGTTGCTCTTTTCTGCACCTACAGTATATTTTGAGGTTTGGTGACTAGAACTCTACATAGTATTCCAAATATAGGTGCACCGTAGATTTGTATAATGGCATTATATTGTCAGTCATTTCACTTTCAGTCTTTTTCGTAATGATCTGTAACATGGAATTTGTCTTTTTCACAGCTTCAGTAAACTGGGTTGACATTTTCATTGAGCCTAGCTACAATGATCTCAAAATCCCCTTCCTGGTCAGTCACTGTCAATTAGGCCATTAAGTGTATATGTGGTTAGGATTCTTTGCTCCTAAGTCAGAGGTTTTCGACTTTGAGTCTACAGCTCCCTTGACTAACTGCATTATTTTTGCAGCACCCATGTGGGGCTCAGGAGCTCAGTTATGACACCCCTTGCCTGCAAGCTGGCAGCTTCTCACCCTTTTTTGAACACCCTGGTGGAGTATTCCCTCGTCCTCCTCTTCTCTTCTCTCCCCTCTCCTTGAGAGTCTTCTGGGCAGCTGCAGTTGCTGCCCCTGGTCTCTGAGCTGCCTCTCCTGCCCCAAAGAGGGCTGCTGCATCAAACAGCTGTGCAAGCCTTTGGGAGGCAGAGAGGCAAGAGGGCATCAGAGGAGGGAGGGAAGGAAAGAGGGACAGAGGCCAGTGTTGCCCAGGGTGCTACGGCACACTGGTTGAAAACCACTGCCCTAAGTGCATCATTTTACACTTGCTTACATTGACCCACATTTGCAATTTTAATTTCCTTTTACCCAGTTTACAGAGAAATTTTGGAGTTCTTCTCAATCCATTTTTGTTCTTAACATCCTAAACAATTTGCTGCAGTAAAGAGGGCGAGAAAGCTCCACTGTGCACATGGACAATTGTATATAGGTCACACTGATTCTTCAGAAGATGGTACACTTACAGAAAATCAGGACTAGTTTCATGGACATGAAATGCATAATGTATACCAGCCTCTTTTAAAATAGTGTAAATATTTTCTCTGTAGGACTATAGTGTTGTTGTTTTTAAAAAAATCTGTTGAGTGCATGTGTTATGTATGTTGGCCAAGTGTAAATTACAGAATTACAGAATTAACCAACCAGATTTCATTTCAACTGCTGCATAAGCATCAGTGCAGTAAATGGATAGGATTATCTTTGGTTATCAGGAATCCTATTAAGCAGGCTAATGTAATGTAAGCAGGGTTTAGTTAAACCTGAGTTTGTTAATCTATTCTGTGAGTCAGCTTTTGTGTCCTGATTTCTTATGTAGTAAGAAAGGAATGTGTGTGAAATTATAAATGTATTTAAAACTCAGTCCCATAATCTTGGAGACAAGAGCATGGAGTGAATGGAATATTTAAAACAGCTCCCCTGGCATTTCCCTAAAATTCTAGTCAGTCTTCTTTTTCCCCTGTCATTTAAATAGGTAGCAAATCCTGCTTAGAACTATGAACTGAAAAATATTTTTTTAAGATAGTGTATTTGTGACCTGTGCAACAGTTAAGAGTTATACAACTCTTGATTTCTATGTCTATTCAAGTATTGGATATTAAGATAGAGTAAGCAACCTGTGTAACTACTACATCCTTGGCAATGCTTTTGTGTGTAGCGTGATGCTGCATAAGAAATGGGTCTTCCATGCTATCTTCCTCTGTTGCCAGTATGACCTATCATCACATAAAAAAGGATCTTAATGATGGAATATACAGTATATTGTACAAGGTGTGGAATCTTCTTGGCCCATCTTCAGAGGCATGAAATATTTAGAAGGCAAATGTTGCCTCCTAGAGATAAGAGACCAAAATGTAGTGTTGCTTATGAAGAGTACCACAGTCCTTTGCAGTCTTTTGGATCTCTACAGGAAAAGGCCTTGCCAAACAAGAACTCTCCTTTTCATTAGGGTGTGCACAGGAATGCAGTCCTGAATAATGCAAATTGTGTGAATTGCACTGAAAATATGCAAAATGGATTTATTTTGATAATGCTGGTGTGTTTTGAATTAATTTTTGAAGCTCCCATTCTGTATGAAGCATTGTGAATATTAAACTCAAGTAGACTATGATATCCATTCCTAAATCCGTTGCCAGTCATCCCTGGACATTTGTAGAACTGCAGCTGATATATAGCCTTTCAGCAATGGAGAAGAATGCTGGGAATGCTTAAACAATCTTGGAAATAGGTCATGGTTTAATAGAACTATACAAAAGTCAGCGATGGTTTCTCAAGAAGTTCTTGTGATCCTTGAAGCTTATTATTAATATATACCTGACTAAATTATAAAATGAATACAGTGACTGAATCAGTTCATTAAACTTCCACAGACACTGACCATTAATTTGGCAGAAGTTATAGTTATTTCTTAAGGATAGTTTCAAACTATTTTTAATTTTGTATACTAAACCATTTCTTAGCAAAATAAAATTTACCTGGTAGTAAGCCTCATTAGTACTAAGTCAGACCCCAAAACAGTGTTTCCGTGCACTCTGGCATTCATCACTGTGTCCCATTGCTCCAGAAGCGGTTTAGTCATGCTGGCCACATGACTCGGAAAGCTGTCTGTGGACAAACACCGGCTTCCTCAGCCTGAAGTGAGATGAGCGCCACACCCCATGGTCGCCTTTGACTGGACTTAATCGTCCAGGGGTCCTTTACCTTTTAGCTTTACCAGGTCCCAAATAGCTGGTATGCTAATAATATGAAAGCAATGTGTTGGTTTGCTTTTTCAAAATTGTGAAATAATTAAAGAATCTGGTTTGTGATTGCAGCACACAGAATGCCTGACCATTTTTTTCCTGAGGCATCTCCAGGTAGGACTGGGAGAACCCACTCAGAAATCCAGAAGAGCTTCTGCCAGTCAGAGTAGACAACACTGATCTAGATGTACGCATGATCTGATTTAATAAAAGGTAGTCCCCATGTTCTTATTTTCTTGCTACAAACCACCTTGTTGCTGTGGTTGCACCTTGGGGGACAAATAGCTGTTTTTGGAAGTTTTTAATGGGGAAATGGATGCAGGTAGGTAGGTTGGGTCCACCTCATAATTCCCATTTACTTCAGTATTTTTCTACATAGGTAAAGGTAAAGGGACCCCTGACCATTAGGTCCAGTCGTGGCTGACTCTGGGGTTGTGGCGCTCATCTCGCTTTATTGGCCAAGGGAGCTGACGTACAGCTTCCGGGTCATGTGGCCAGCATGACTAAGCTGCTTCTGGCGAACCAAAGCAGCGCACAGAAACGCCGTTGACCTTCCTGCCAGAGCGGTACCTATTTATCTACTTGCACTTTGGCGTGCTTTTGAACTGCTAGGTTGGCAGGAGCAGGGACCAAGCAACAGGAGCTCACCCCGTCGCGGGGATTTGAACTGCCAACCTTCTGATCGGCAAGTCCTAGGCTCTGTGGTTTAACCTACAGCACCACCTGCGTCCCTTTTCTACATAAGTACTTAGTGCCAACTGGATCCCAGCTTTCCTTAACACTCATTTGGATTTCTTGGTTCACTTCAGATCCATTTAGATCAATAGATCCACCAGCAATAGGTTTGTTTTAAAGGTTTTCCAGTGCTTACATGGGGGCAGCCATGTATGTATGGGCATTGAAAGTGCATAGTGTCAAGGAGCCCTGTCTGCTAGCTGCACAGGCTGTGGGTAGCTCACGGCACAATTCTGAAGGGTTTAAAGTGGGGTGGGGAATTGTGGCACAGAGCAGAGTGACAATACACACAGATGCTTTTCAGTGTAAAGCATTTTTTTAAAAAAGACTTTTAATTAAAAATCTGCTTGTAAATGGGAGAGAATGGACTTAACGCTGTCCACTTTGAGAACAGGAATGGACCAGACTTTAATGGGTCTGTCCATCCCTAGCTCCAGCCAGCAGGATCAGTAATCAAAAGTCTAGTCCACAACATGGAGGGCACCAGATTGGCTACCCCTGACATAGTCTCTCTTCCGTTTGAAATGTGTAAATCAGAAACAGAGGAAATAAAAGAGTTGTTTGTACCTTGTCCGTGTATATATATTTGTATGTGTCTGTGTGTATGTATGCCTAGGATGTTCATTTGTGTGTAGTGGGAAAGATGGTTCATGAAAACCTGTAGCTAGCCTTGGCAGTTGTCTGGTATATAAGCTGCAGATAATGTATGTCGCTGTGGTGTGATTCAGATATAATGCTGGTTCCCAACAAAATAATGGCTTGCAAATGGGGAGGCAACCACATGGATATTGCACTCTCTCTTTCCTTCTTTGGAGAAATTTCTGCGTGGTATCATGGTAAAAGAAACTAGATTTCTCTGCACCCTATTTTTCTCTTCATATTTTTCTCTTCTCTGGTTTACAGGGAATCCTGGCTTGTATTAAGTCTATGTAACATAAGTCAGTGGTGTGGGAGGTGCTACTGCTTTATATTCTTACTCCTTTTGAGGTCGTAAAGTAGCAAAAGCGCCTTGCAATCGTATTGTCTGGGAACTAAAAAATCAAGACACTATTCAGTCTAGACATTTGTGGACTAAAGGTTAAGTTTCTTCTACTTAGCTAGAAAGGTTATGCAGACTGCAGGCAATAGGTGCACACCCACCCACCCGCTGAATTGATGCACACTAACATGACACTGAACTTCTAAAAATACTTGTTTTTATAAAATTAAAAATATAAAAGTACATTGAATAAGGTTAACTCTTGAAACCTTATCACTACCATAGCAAAAACAGTGGTTTCTGCTGTGGTTGCTACCCTGTCATTTGTTATTTTAACGCTAGACACAGATGTCCTGGGCTGTCTCATCCCATAAAACATTCTTACTACAGGGAAACCAAGGAATGTGATGCAAGTGTTCTCAGTTCCTAGACCAATAAACGAACTATAGGGTCTTGACTAAGAGGACATCTCTGACTCTGCTCTATCTCTTATCTTGAAAAGGAGGCTTGAATAGCACACCTATGCTGCACGAGGGAAAGGAGATCAGCACTTTTACAGCACACCTAGAGCTTCCCCTGTGCCAGCACTTCAACTAGGGGTCAGATACAGTACATTTTTGGGGATCCTGTGAGAGGGAAAACATATATGACAGCAATAGAATATGTATGTCCATTCTTATGATCTGATGCTTTAGTACCAGGTTTAGTACCAGACTCACATGTTTCATCTTCTAAGATTTCAGTTCTTCGACTATGTATTAGCTACAAACACATTGTTCCGTTTCCTCAGTCCTTCACTATTTACATTACCTATTTAATGACTTTTTTAATGACTTGCCACAAGCCTCCATGTAATGCACCGATAAATTCTAGGCAGTAGAAATTCTTTGCATTTTTCACTAGCAAGGAAGGAATGCTTCAGGATTAGATTCTCAACAGGTGACGCAAATGCTCAAATTGTCTTGGAACACAGTACCCCACCGCACCTCTCTAGGTTGAATGGTGTTTGATTTAAGCAGCTTTATTGCTAATAGAAGGATTAACTACACTGCATCTGTGTTTTTTTTGGGGGGGTGTAGAGTAACTTTTTGTACGTGTCAAATCTATTTAAATATTTTATTTAAATAGTCAACAGTGATGGAGTTACTAGTTGCTTCATCTTTTTACTAGTCTTAATAAACAGCAGCAAAATATAAGTGTCCAAGATGACTGTAATCTACAGTGTACTTATTGTGAACTGCTTCTCTGTTTATTATGTGCAAATAGCCTGTGCTGATACTCTGTAATACTCCCAAATCATGGTATATTTCCTCTTTGACTCCTGGTAGTGAACAAGTTGCCTGCCTTTACTGTAGAGCTAAGTTGATCAAGGGCTCATGTGTGATCTTTAGTAATGCAAAAGATTCCACCACATGCACCTCACAAATCACTGAAAGTGGGGGTGAGGAGGGAATGCATGTGCAGAAGTTGCTTTTATCACAGGATTTTGGAGAGCTTCTGTAATAGTCCTCAGTCACATCCCACCCACCCTTGCCAAGGGTACACTTTGATTCCCAAGGTTCTATGTCAAATGAAGTCCAGCTTACCTCAGCAGAACTTTTAATGATGGGACCTATTTGTCTTGTTCAGATGATAAACCAAACCATTGTTCAGATTTCAGTCCCCAGATGTTGCTGGACTACAACTCCCATTGCCATTGACCACTGACTGAGCTGGCAGGAGGTGATGGGAATTCTAGTCCAGCAACATCTGGAGTCTAATGTTGAGGAATGTGTATTGTGAATGATGTGCAGTGAATATTGGTCTTGTATGCTCCCTTTTCTCCTTTGCATGTGATCTTCCACTTTCACTTTTGACTCAGTTTGGCCCTAATGTGTTATAACTAGAATTTGAAAAAATACAGTTCCCTAAATGAGGGGAGAAACTTTCATTCTCTTTGTGTACAAAGGATTGGGTGAGCTCATGGTTCACTGTGGCTTGTTCATGATGATCTAAGCCATGGTTTAGATTAGGATCTGAACCAAGTCATTAAGGACTAGAGCGCTTTACAGTAAATATAATTTTGGAAATAAACCAGGAGTGGAAAATGAAATTGTATTTTACTTTAGTAAAGTTGTTCAGATAAAAAGCTGCGGGAATTTGTAATAATTTGGTGACAATTTGTTAAAAATTATTGAAAAGCAATAAAAAATAATTGGTAAAAAAAGAAATTATCTATAGGTTAGGAAGCTTACATTGTGGTCCAAGTAATAAGTGATGATTATTGTGTGTATAGTTAGTTCTTTTTGTTGATGAAGTATAAGATGGGGAAAACTGCAACTGCTGACTATTCAAAAGTTCCATTTTGAATAGGTTGCTTCTCTCTTTTACGTTTTGTGTTTCATGCCAGTTGGGATATACACAACTCAAATTCAGTTTACATAATGCTGTATCTTAAAATGGCCCTGCTTAAAGACAATACATTAAGATAGTGGGTGTTCAGTAAATTTATACTTAACACTATGTGCCCTATTAAATCATGGACTTGACTAACTTAAGTCTATTTATTTCAATGGGTCTACTTTCAGTATGCAACTCATTGGTTCATTTGAACAGCTCTATTACCAAGACCTATCTTTTCAAAAAATGTAGTTACTTTGGCTGAAAATAGTATAGAAGAGAAGGAAGGAGTACAGTTGACAGCAGATCATGGAGTTGGAATTATGGAAGGAGAATTTTATGCTAGCTATTCTTCTAACTGCTGGCTGCTGGAAACTTGGGCCTTACCTTCATTTCTGGGTACTCGCTGATAGCAGTGGTTCAGTTTTAGAAGTATTGTGACATACTATAGTTATGCCTTTGAGATCATACATCCTTGAGCACCCTTTGTTCCACTATGCTAACTTAATTGTGTCTATGCTAGCGAGTGAAAATGTTTTTACCGCCCGACCCCCCCACATATATCCTTGAAATTGTTTCTCATCCACCTTGTTTTAGTCCTACAAAATTGACTATAATAGAAATATATTTTTCAAAGCTTTTTGAGTCTTTCTCTCTGGAATGCTTATTGGGAATTCTTTGGAAAATAAAGTAACTCAATGATCCAGGATCGTTTTGATGTCTAACGAGAATACTTTACTGTTAAAGAATGTATTGTATTGCCTTTAGGGATTGAATAACTTGACTGTGATTTGTTCTGACATTTGGCAGTTGTATTATGACCACGGCAGTAGTTGCCTTTCTTTCAAATTTTTCCTTAATTGGAAATGGATACACAAGGGAATATTGTGTCTTCTTCCAGCCTTGAACAGTTATGCACTGTAGTAAAGTTCCCAAGGGAAAAACTGTTAATGTTGGTTTGAAACTCCCACAGCAGTGTTTTCAGGCAGTACATATGACAGATGATTATACAGTGTTGATAGAAATGTGCTGTTTATCCATATTGATCTCAATTGTGAATAAGGCAACTTCAGTATATGTGCATGTTCTAAAACAAAGTGCTTTGGAAAGTACTTAACTTTTAAAACTGGAATACTTTATTCAGAAATGCTTGCCAAGACTTTACTGAACAAATGATGTCTGTTTTTATCCATGTGTACTGTTAGTACTGAATTCATATGATATGGAACATACTTTTATTTTTTAATATTTATTAAATTTATAGAATACTTCACAGGATAAAGCTGCTGAAGTGGTGTACAGGGCAAAAAAGGAATAAAAGCAGAAACACAAGCTCTAAAACAGTAAAGCCATCCATATAAACTGAAACCAATGAAACCATTCCATCAGTTACAAAACTGGTATTCCATAAATGACTGGATTACACCTAAGGGAAAGCTTTCCTAAACAAAAATGTTTTTATTAGGCATCTAAACATCATACTAGGTGGCTGTTTGATTTCAGCTGCTAATTAATTTCAGAGAGCTGGAACGGGAACACTAAAAGCACGAATTCTGGTACAAACGAAAGGCATCTCTGGGGTACATTGTGCTCTCAGCAGTGCCCATCTGAGGAGGGAGCACTTGCTGGGTATGGATATAGTGGGCAGAGGAGTCCCTTAGATATCCTGGTCCCACATTGTTTAGGACTTTAAAAACAGCAGGGCCTTGAACTGTACCTGGTAGCATATTGGCAGCCAGTGCAACTCCTTCAGCAGAGGTGTTATATGGTACTGATGGGAGTACCCCAGTAAATAATCCAGCTGATGTATTCTGCTCCACCTTTAGTTTTTGAGTTAAGCCCAAGGGAAGCCCTACATAAAGCGCGTCACAGTAATCCAGTCTTGAGGTTACCAATGCCATGATCACAGTGGCCAAGCTATTTTGGTCCAGGTATGACTGTAGCTATCTTACTAACCAAAGCTGCTTTAAAGCATTCCTAGCCACTGAGACCTTATGTGCCTCAGGTGCCAAAGATGGATTCAGGAGCCCCCTCCTCCAATTAATATTCCTGTTTCTTCAGAGGGAGTGGAACCCTATTCAAAACAGGTGACTGACTTACGTACCTCCCAAACACAAAAACACTCATTCACTGGGTATATGGATGACACTTTACTTCATATCCCATATTGACTGCTCCTAGTGGCTTCATAATAGATGTTGAGGACATAATAGGTTTCATAATAAAGGCTTCATAATAGCCTTGAGGACAAAATAGTGCCCTGGAACACCCAGTTACATAATTGTCACTCTTTGGAACTGACCCTAAAGGTAACACCGGAACCACCATAAAACAGTGTCCCTGGGATCCATCTCACAGAGCTAGTCCAGGGCAATACCATGCAAAAGAAGCAGTGTTGCACGACCTTTGTCCCTCTCCCAGTAGAGGTCATCCATTGAGGTAGATTGAGTCTTGAAACCAGGTCTCAATAATTCGTTTTGTCCAAGAATGCCAGCAGCTGGTCTGTCACTTAAATCATTTTTGAAACTTATTACCATTAAAAAAATTATCCTCTGTTGATGTCTTATTATATGTCAAAAATATTTTACTAAAATTGGACAAGTAGCAGGTTATTCCCCCCCCCCCATGTTAAGTGAAACAGCTCCTAAAACAGAATTGGTCAAAGAAAAGCTGCCTTCTTTTTTCAAATATTGAATAATTTATTAATTGGTGGTGATTTTTGACATTAAGGAAATGTATTTGAAGTTTAGGCAATTTTCTTTAAACAATTTGTCATGTTTAATCCCCAACCCATGTACAGGATACATGTGCTTATTGAAGAGACAGTTGAAACATATTCTTGAGACCTTTGTTTCTGTGCAAATGTATATAGAGAAAATATAATGGAAATTTGTTTTTGAAAGAAAGTTGACTTTTTAAAGAGGAATAGGAAGAACTTACAAAAATTGTATACCCCCAATATAATCAAGCAGTATATAAATGTTGTGAAATAGAGAAAAATAAATATATTCAATTCATTCTTTTGAATCTTTTATATGCTGCCTTGTAAATATTTGTTTTCTTAAATACACGGATTGTTTAAAGACACAGTTAAGTCATGGGTTTACAGAACAGCTGAAAATGCTTTCCTTTGTTGAATGTCTAAATACATCCAAATCAATAAACTGTTCCTTGTCTGTGGTTTCTCCTTGTAAGGCTGTTGTCAGTATCCATTTTAGTGGCTTTAGCAGAGGTGAGAATCATAGGGAGCTTGAAGTCAGTTTCCCCTTTGTTTTATAACTGATGATTAAAATAACACAGATTTAGGGCAGGCAAATTATATTTGGAATCTGGTACTATTATTTACAGTACTTGCAATGAAGCTTTGACCCACACCCTTGCTCTGCAAAGCATTCTCATTTTCTTGTAGACACACAAACATATTTTATAAGGGAACCCCTGCTTTCTGTTTATCTCTCCTCTTTGTATGTGAAGGGTACATGTGGTATTTTTAGCTGACCTTGGAGAAGATGCATAATTAAAAGCCTTCTTAGTAAGCAATTCTGATGTGGCTGAGGCAATGCAGTTCCATTCTTACTGCATTCACATTCTCTGTGGTCCATTCTTACAGCTAGTCCCCTCCCCATTTTTTTTAGTGCCAAGGTAAACCTAAAAGAAAATAACAGTTGAACAAAACAGGGAAATGTATCTTTTGTTATATTTAGGTGTTATTTAGGAATATTTATTTGTACCTACTAACCAGAATTCTTGAGGTAGCTTGGAATATATTTAGAACACAATAAATAGATACTAAGGTAGGACAGAGGTGTATATAATCCCCACCCACATGGTTTCCCAGTGTTACCCGAGCACAATGAAAACAGCACTGGAATCCACCCATAGTTATATATTCAGATGTATCAAGGATTATTCTTATGTGGATACATTCTTTAAAGTTATAATTGGATTTATTCTACAAATTCCCATCCATTCCTAAATTAATTCACACACACACACACACATTTTCATTTTCAGGTTTACAAACAACAAAAAAGAACACATTAAAAATATAAGCATTGAATCCCCTTTGACTTCCCTTCCCCCTTTTGTAGGTCCTTGTGCCGGCATTTTCTCCTGCATCTCCACTATTACTCCAATTTTATCAAGTTTATAAATAATCCATAATTCAGCTTTTAGCTACAAGTGTTATATCAATCCTACTAATTATTTAATCCTACTAAGGATTTTAATTGTTTACAATAGTTTTTTAAGATACAATATATACCGTACTTTCCCCTTTTCTTATTAAAATATAAATCTTCCAGGTTCCTAATTCTTCTGGTCAGTTTTGTCATTTCAGCATAACCATCAGTTTTATCTGCCATTCTTCTTTGGTAGGGACTGTCTTTTCTTTCCATCTCTGGGCTAACAAAAGTTCAGGCAGCTTTATATACATTTCCTTAATGTCCAGAATCACCACCAATTAATAAATGATCTCTTCTGGCCACTTGGATTTTCGGCACCTAGAATTCCTAAAAGAAAAGCTTCTGGTTTCTTAGAAAAGGTTATTTTGAACATTTTTTTCAACTCATTATATATCATCTCCTAGAATTCTTTTACTACTTAACATGCTCACTACATGTGATAAAGGGTGCCCTCTTTTTCTTTACATTTCCAGCATGCATTGATCTTGATTTATACATTTTAGCTAATTTACTGGAGGTTAAATACCAACAGCACACCATTTTCATATTGTTTTCTTTCACAGTATCGCATGCTGTAAACTTTAAATCCTGGTTCTATAACATCTCCCATGCTGCCCATTCTTAAATTAATTCTTTTGCAGAGTTATTTGTTCCAGGCAATAAATTACTTTGTCTGAACATTAGTAAGACTGTCTGCATGCATCTTGATGAAGAAATGTGGCTTTGAGCTCATGCCTATCCCTTGCCCCCCTTGATGTTGATGTCTGGAGGGATTAGGATGGAATATCAGTGTTTCTCTCCTAGCCTCCATGGAAGTCGCAGCTGTGCCTGCAGATCTCCCAAGGGCCCAATCCTTACATCACTCATCTATGCCAGATGGGAGCTGCCATAGCACAAATATGAAAAAACCCACCTCCACCTTGTATCCTGGCCAACACAACCAGTGGAGTCTAGGGTATGACAGTGTGTCTGCTCCTTCCTGGCCTAACTTTGGATAGCTGTCAGTCATTCTGTTGCTTCCTTTTGCAAAAATGGAGAGATGTCTGAGCATTGCACATGGACGTCTGGTGGCTTTATTGTGTCAACCAGATGCACAAAAAGAGCTTTTAAACTCTGCCTTCCATGTGTTTCAACCATGTGCAGTTTCAGCCATCTAGCTTTCAACTATTTAATGTTGAAATCATACATGTTAAACTCAGGAAAGTTGTGAATTATCTGTAGTGCATAATTTCATTCAGGTTGCAGTTTGTCACAGGTAAAAAGTGGGAGAGACTGCAGAATCATAAATCATATGTTTAGCACTACACACCAGTTCTCAAAAACAAGATTAAATAATGTGTTACATTTTAAAATATTTGGCTTATAGAATCATTATTTTTCCATATGATAAATTAAGTGATGTTTTACCATACCTGTGGTCTAATTACAACAAGGCCTTTCCTAACTAAGAGACATCCTATCAGGAACATTTTGAATGTCAGAAATGAGAATTTAGCATGTTCAGAATACAGTATACCATACAGTAAAACTTTTGCATAGTATTAAGAGTTCATATTTGAGAATATAGTTATAAAAATGAATTATTATGATTATGATTCTTTTATTTGTACCTGGCCATCTGATTGGGCCACCCCAGCCACTCTGGGCGGCTTCCAACATATATAAAAACATAGTAAAACATTACACATTAATAAAACTTATAATGGATGGACCATTTCATTTTAAAAGCTATTGAAACAATACTTTTATACCACAGAGTAGGTAGAATTCTGTTGCCCTGCCTGAATCCCAAAGCTGTCATCTATAAATTTACAAAGAAAAGAGAGTGCAATATTATATTGCTTGTTTGACATTAGGTTCACCTGGCAAGTGCTATTCTTTACCAGACAGGAAAGGAAATGTAATATGGGATATTTGAAACATTATAAAAATTGAAGGTACTCAATTTTTTTACTCAAGTCCAGCTCTGCAATTCAGTTGGAAATGCATTTTACTAAAAGACAAACTGAAACGATAAAAATATGATTCCTAGTAGATGGGTTGCACATGTGTGTGTACTCCTGCTGTTACAGAGGCATTAGCTTGGAAAAAGAAACCAAAACTTGACACCTTCGTTTCCTTGTTCTGCACTAGCTAAACTTGTTAAGAATGTAGAGTGCCAATTTAAAAAGAAAAAATGGGAAAGTTATCAATTCTGGCAGACATGAGTATGAGGTCAACATATCTTTGAACAATGCTAAGAGTAGGGGATTCTATTTTCAGTGCTAAAGCCACCTTGGATTTGTGCTGTGAACAGGAAGGTTGCAGCCGTACTTATTTGTTCCTTTTAAACATAACTCAGGAGTAGAATCAATAGGCAAGAATGAACAACTGAGGAGATCCAGAAAAAAGCATGGCAAGACAAAGGAGTCAGATTCAGGTGTAAGAAACTAGATTACAGTGGTGCCTCGCAAGACGAAATTAATTCGTTCCGTGAGTTTTGTCGTCTTGCGATTTTTTTCGTCTTGCGAAGCACGGTGTCGGGAAAGTTTTGGAAAAGCTTCAAAAATCACCAAAGTCTTTAAAAACCTCAAAAAAAGGCTACCACACCGCGTTCTATGAGTTGCTCCTCGAAGTCAAGTCACAACTGTATTAACGGTGTTAAGAACAAGGAAACAAACTTGCAAGACGTTTCCGTCTTGCGAAGCAAGCCCATAGGGAAAATCGTCTTGCGAAGCAGCTCAAAAAACAAAAAACCCTTTTGTCTAGCGAGTTTTTTGTCTTGCGAGGCATTTGTCTTGCGAGGTACCACTGTACCTGCATTGTTTCCAGTAACTGGCAGGTTCCAACTGAAGCCTGGTACAGTGGCAACTCTTGCTACAAACACCTCGGGTTACAAACACTTCGGGTTACAGACTCTGCTAACGCAGAAGTAGTACCTCGGGTTGAGAACTTTGCCCCAGGATGAGAACAGAAATCGTGCACTGGCGGCGCGGCGGCAGCGGGAGGCCCCATTAACTAAAGTGGTACCTCAGGTTAAGAACAGTTTCAGGTTAAGAACGGACCTCCAGAACGAATTAAGTTCGTAACCAGAGGTACCACTGTATAGCATGGTCTCTCAGACCACCTCCAACACCTACTGCAAGTGCTTGAGTCTGCTGTATGAGTCTTTACCCTTGAGAGGAGTGTTGTTACTTACAAGCAGCTGCTTCCTCAACAGTCACATGATGACATTGGACTCTCAGATGTGCACTCCCATCATCAACCAGCTGCCTGAAGTTGGACTTTCTGGCATTTCTGCTCTCAAGGGCTGGATGTGATTCAACATCTAACTCAGCCAGTGGTTCCTATGCTAGAGGTAAGTCAGGAACCTACCCAGAGGGTCCTTCTAGGGTATTCCTTGGAGGTAGACATTTCAGGGCTAGTGTTGGAGGCTCTGTCACCTGGGTTGAAAATCATGCGAACCAGGTCTTCAGAGGATTTGTTGGCCAATATTGGGTCAGGGCCTGTCATGATAGTGTTTAACTGCATGCTTGTCCATTTTCAGATGTGGCCAGCCCCGGAGAGTTTGCTCTAACAACAATGCAACCATCTGAGTCAAAATGTTTAGCTACCCCTGCTTCCCAAGTTTCTAATTGTGCAAGTTTTGTATATTTGTGAATTGGTACTAGATGGCATATAGGAAGTGGTCTCTCCTGATTTATTACCATCAAGAGTTTAGGCTATAGTAATAAAGATGGGATAAGGTGCCCTAGTGTTAATTTGTTTCATTATCTTAATACAGAAATGGAATCTGCATATTGCTGTAGAAATATTCTTGGGATTATAGATTTATTGCATTTTGTGATATGAAACCTTATTTTTAATACCTTTTTCAAATGATTCCTAGCTTCACTTCCTGCTCACTAGTTCTAAAGTAAACTTTCACATAGTTGCCAGACTCTGAAAAATGCTTCTTAATGCCACAAAAAATAAAGAGTATTTCGAAACACTTATTTTCTTTCCCCCCACCCCAAGCTTCTTTGTGGGTTAACAGTTCTTCAAAAATATTGACAGATTGAAATCTACACATGTACAACTCTGAAATAATGAGTGTCTTGTCCTCCAGCTACTTTGGAGAAAATCCTGATCCCACCAAAATTAAAGTTGTATGTATGTGGATTTCACTCTGTTTTCCTTTCTAAAAGAATCCCTAACAAAGAAGAACTATGCTTTTACCAACGTTCCGCAATAATTTTAAAACATTAGATGGTACCAGATTTTCCAATTCTTTGGGATCTATTGAGATCTCTCTCCTTTCTCTTCTCTCCTCTGATGCTCTCTCATGTCTCTGCCTCCCAAAGGCTTGTGTGGCTGTTGGTGCAGCAGCCTTGGCTACAAGCTCTGCAGGCAAATAGTGCCTCTGGGGCTGACCAGGGGGTGCTGGTTACCAGGAGCTGATGTGGGCTCAGAGCAAGTAAGTGGACTTAGCCAGCCAGTCCAGCATTCCTTGCTGCTGCGAATGGACAGACAAGTCCCAAGCCCCTGTGGGACAGCGTGAGGAGGCACCTCAGGATGGGGCAAGGGGGCAGTTCAGACACCAGGGGCGGCGGCAGTGGCTGCCCAGAGGACTCCCAAGGAGAAGGGAATGAAGAGGAAGCTGAGGGAACACTCCACAAGGGTACTCAAAAAAGGGTGACAAGCTGCCAGCTCTGCAGGCAAGGGGTGACATAACTGGGCTCCTGAGTCCCACAGGGGAGCTGCAGAAAGAATGTAGTTGGTGAAGGGAGCCATGGACCCAAAAAGGTTGAAAATCTCTGCCCTAGGGTCTAGACCAGTGGTTCCAATGTTTATGAGGACCCCTTTTTAATCTCAAGACCCCCACATGCTGATTGTTTTAATTTTAGGTTCTGTTAATTGACCAAATACATAATCAAAATGTATAATAGATACTCCCGCTGCTCCTTTCTTCTTCCCTCAACCTTTTTTTTTTTTAAAAGCAAGCACCAGCATATGGGGCAAAGGAGATGATTGCCTCTATCTGATAGGCAGCATTTGCCTGAGCATGTGGTAATATCTCCACCAGTCCTCCTTACCCATTTTTTCCACCCTGCAGCTATCCCCAGCACAGGAGGAAGAAAGTGCTTAGTGCTGGCAGACAGAAGCAACCTGAACATGCACCTAAGCATGCAGGGATAATCCTGCCACGCCTTTCTTTCTTCACCAACTTTTTGTTTAAAAGTAAGCTTCAGCACAGGGCTTCACAGGCCTCTTGGGATAATTCTTTGGCCCTCAGGTTCGGAACCACTACTCTAGATACTAGTTAGAACCAGATCGAAAACTCAGAATCTGATCCAGAGAGAAATCAGCAAATAGCTAAGAGCAAAATGTTGACACATAAGAAACAAAAGGAAGTAAGAGAAATATTGAACTAAAATCTATCATGTTCCCTTCAGTCTTCTCTTCGCTTGACTAAATATACTCTGTTCCTCCAACCTTTCCTCCTAGGACCTGCTTTCCATAATGTTGACTATACTGTATTCATTGTTCTCTTCTGAACATACTCCAATTTGTTTATATTTTTCTTCAGATGTGGTGTCCGGAACTGGACATGAATACTCTAGATGTGGTTGGACTAGTGCTTAGTTAAGATTAAAGAAAATATACCAGTTTCGCTGAGGTTACTAAATGGGAGAGCAAGCTGGTGGGCCTCTCCCTGTTGCAAGACCAGCTTATTCAGGAAGTAATATTTAGATTTGAGGATCTTAGAATCACTCTTCCAATGCTACTTTGCCTCTCTACCTGGTTCCTACACACATCCGTGTGTAGGAACCAGATAGAGGCAAAGTAGCATTGGAAGAGTGATTCTAAGAGCATGCCCCAATAGTGAAGATTATGTAGAAGTATGTCCCACATTTCTCTTAGGAGGGCTGGAAGAACTAGGCAGTATGGAAGGTGGATGCAATTTCGTAAATATTGTTCAGGTTTGTACTTAATTCTCTTGACTTGCCAAACTGATACACGTTGAGGAATCTTTTTGTGTGCTTTAATATAGTTCTGATAGCACCTCACCTGAAACTTTCATCATCATCATCATTATTATTATACCCCACCCATCTGGCTGGGTTTCCCCAGCCACTCTGGGCGGCTCCCAACAGAACACTAAAACATAATAAAACCTCAAAACATTAAAAACTTCCCTAAACGGCTACCTTCAGATGTCTTCTAAAAGTCAGATAGTTGTTTGTTTCCTTGACATCTGATTCATCATTTTTATTGCTTAACTGCTTAATTTCATTGCTTTTATTTTATGGCAAATGTTGTTTCACCAGTCTTGGGGGCATCAATTCTATTGCTTTATATCCTACAGAAAAATGGAGACTTCTAGGCAGAGCTGATACTTCAAATCAGTTTACAAGCAAAAGGGTTGGCTGTTCTGGACTGTGAGCCATATTAAGAGCATCCTGTACTCTTTAAAAATATGCTCTGATATATGCCAAACTATTTTTTTTATTTTATTTTGTGGTGACTGAAGCTGCCAAAGAAAAATTAAGACAAATTATGGGTCTTTTCCCATGGGGTTAAGACTCTTCCTCGTGTGCTTTATTAGTGCTAGGATATTAAATGTTACTTTCCCATTGTTTAATTGTGCAAGTTTTGTGGTTGAATCCTAAAAAGATTTGATCATATAACATCCAACATCACATCAACAGCCTTCTGTGGTGAGTGTGATGATTTTATATTTGCAGGGCATTCACAAAAGCATGGGTAAGGAACCTTCTGAGATATGTCAGCCTAAAAACACCATCCAATAGGCAGATTTTTGCAGATTACCAGGAACTTGGGCCAACAATTTCAGTGCTTGAAAACAATTATCCCCTCTGTAATGAAAACAGTTGCCTGGGTGATCTCACCAGGGTGGTTCAGTGACTGAGCACTCACAAAAGGTAGAGGATGCTCTCTAACTGGTTTTGGGGCCTGCTGATGTGTATATCTGTTGGCTGTACTTAGCTCCTTGAAATCTTTGCAATCTCCACCGGAATAACTATCAATACCCTTGATAACCATACAGTAATTATATACTGTATCCACTTCTGAGCTAAGGGATTTAGAACTATTTGAAATGCTTGTTAATTTAAAAAAGAAAGAAAACCAATAACTATTACTGTTTTCATTAACATTGAAGGTTTGTCCACGTAGAACTACAATTACCTTGTTTATCAAACTTACTAGCCACTTTTTAAGCAAAAGTAAATCAAAGTGACTTACAAGAGGAATCTGAATAGAGACCAATCATCCACATGACTCCTGAACATTTTACTGATGCTGTTGCTCCTAAGAAAGGCAAGGGGAGCTGGATTGTGTCTGTCATATTATTATTATTATTGTTATATTTATTTATATCCCACCTTTTTCCTGGACTGGGATTCAAGGTGGCTTACACAAATAAAAACAATACAAAGTTCAAAAAGTCAAAAAGATATAAAAGATAATCATTGATTAAACTGTAATAAAATTTAAACAATATATAAAAACCCAGTAAATAATACCCCCAAACAGTGGATTGGTGTGGTTGCCCTTTTTCTCACTTGAACTATGCACTTGCGCCTGGGTAGCTAATATGGAGATATATTATTCAGGTTGCTCTTTTAGTTCACTATTAAACTAGGACAGTTATTTGGTGTGGATTTAGAATTGGGACTGCCCAGCCACCACTGCCAGAGCTTTGAGAGAGCAGGGGGTATTCACTCCTTTCCCCTCTTGCATAGCTGTCAAGTGTCCCTTATTTGAAGGGACAGTCCCTTATTCCAGCGCCATGTCCCGCTGCTGTCCCTTATTGATGGATGTCCCTTAAATGTCCCTTAAAGGATATCCCTTAAATTTCAAAGGAAGCAGCTCCTCTCCCTCCCTCCCTGCCGGCCAGGGAGGAGGGAGGCTCCAACTGTGTTGCTTGGCTGTGTTGCTCACCCAATAAGAAGTCTAAGAACGACTGGGGGGTGGAGCTTGCATGCCTTGTGTGTGGCTAGTTAATGCAAGCTGAGGGGGTTTTTGAATGCTGAACGCCATTTTGTTGCACATGCTGCTGCAAACTTTGCAGTGCAAAGCCAGGCCGGGGAGCCATCTTAAGTTGAGGCTGCATAGGCCTTGTGGTGCATGTGATTCAGATTCTAGTCAGTTGAACCTCAGGTTACAAAGTTGGTTGGACAGTGTCCTCGAAGCTACCAGCATGAGTTTGACTAGACTGCAGGAGGACAGGAAGACTGGAGTGCCTGGGACAGGTGAGGCTGCAGGTCCCTTATTTTGGCTGCTGGTCCCTTATTTTCAAGGCTGTTGGTCCCTTATTTTCAAATCTGTAAGTTGACAGCTATGCTCTTGCTCCCCTCTTCTTCTTACTCTTCCCTATCTTATGCCTGCTGCAGCAAGCAAAACTGGCAAGAATGTGAGGAAATGTGTGATTTTGTTTAGATTGGGCTCATTTGATCTTGAAGCAGTTCTGTCTTTTTCTTACCAGTAAAATATTTATAGTGACCGTATGGAGGCTTGTTAGGATATTTCCGTTCCACCTTAAAAGGGAGCAGGCTGTGAGTCAGAGTTTGCGTATTTCCTGTTCACAGGATGTTTATGTTTTCTATTGCTTTCGTTTCTCTCTCTGTGTCGTAGACACCGAAGCAGGCAGTCACGGTTTTCTTTGTTCTGATCAACGCTGAATAAAACTTGTAAATAATGCTCTCCTGGGTGCGACTTCTGCTGTGCATTATCTGCTGATAAAGAGTGTGCATCGGCTCTAGAATGTTCTGGAGCTCATGTCGCTAATTGCTGATACTGCGTGTCTACGGGAGATCGATGGATCGTCCGGCAGCCAGCTTGGGGGCCATGATGGACTTTATCTCCCTGGCAGTATCCCAACAACAAGTTATGGGCCCAGATTCACGGCACTTACAGGAGAGTAAGACTGCAACAGACTGTGTTGAGGTATGTGGAGGAAAGGCGAAAGTGAGACTTTTCGTTGCCGCGGCAAAGTCTCTTTGAACTCCATCAGACTAATTGGTCTGGGAGCTGCGCCAAGCAAGCTTCGTGATTTATGGCTGCCAAGATAAGGAGTCTCTGAAGTGAATAGGGCTCAAGGCTCAAGTAAAAAGCTGGAATGGAGTTTTTCCAAGCTTCTGAGGCTGCTGAGTGCCTAAAGTTAAATCGGCACAATTATGGGACCTGGGCTGTGTGGTGTGAGAGCTTGCTTCGACAGTTTGGAGTGTGGCATACTGTGTCTGAAGCCCCTCCAGTTCCTCTGACAGATAGATGGAGAGCCCAGAATTCGAGGGCCATTGACGTAATAGTCTTGTCCGTCTCTCTGGAGGAAATTAAAACGTTAGCTGGCAACGTGACTGCACGTAAGATGTGGAATGCTTTGAAGATAGCCCATTTGCCAGTCATCCCAGCCCAGAGTTTGACTGTATCGGAGGTCCTGGCTGTTTCCCAGAATGCGAGAGAATGCAGGGATGCCGAGGGCACCGATTGCAAGCTGCAGGGGGAGCTGACTGTCACGTCATCCCAGGCAGCATTCCAGCCTCCAGGGGGAGCCAAGGAGTCGGCAGCTGAGAGCTCTGTTTCTCATGGAGCCAAGGTCATTCTCGCAGATACCGAGAAGTAAACAGAGGCAGATGCCTGCAGATGGCCCGAAGCAGAAGGGGGGTGAAGAGCCCACGCCAGTGGAAAACAAGGCTTTGTTTGCTGGCACAGCTTCACCAAAGGCTAAAGGCAAGTCTGATGGCCAGGAGCAGGGGGGCAAGCAGAAAAAGCCCACGCCGGTGGAAAACAAGGTTTTGCTTGCTGGAAAAGCTGCTCCAAAGGCCAAAGCCAGATTCGTTGTAAAATCTGGTGCATCAAGGCACATTGCCAACAATCGGCACCTGTTTATCTCCTTCACGCCTCAAGATGGAGAGATCCACCAGGCTGACACTACGCTATACAGATGCATTCTAGGCAAGTTGAATTTCATTGCTAGATGCTCAAGACCTGACATTGCTGTAAGCACTAACCTGTTTAGCAGACATGCTAACAATCCTACTGTTCAGGATTGGAAAGCTCTGAAGCGCATAGCCCGCTATTTGAAAGGGACTTTGCACTACAGGCTGAGGTTCACCAGTCAGAAGACTGGAGGTCTTGAAATCTTTGCAGATGCAAGTTTTGGAAGTGACACCACGGATGGTACAAGCACTTCTGGAGTATGCTACATGTACAACCACTGCCTGTTTGACTGGTTGTGCAAAAAGCAGATGACAGTGAGCCTAAGTTCCTGTGAAGCAGAACTCAATGCTCTGTCATTTTCACTCATGGATTGTGAATGGTTGATGCAACTGTTTAAGGACATCAGAGTTTCTGTGAAATGTCCTGCACAAGTGTATCAAGAAAATAGATCTTGTTTGGCTTTGCTGAACTCAGAGAGTTGCAAGCAAAGAACCAAGTACTTGCAGATTAAGCTACATCGTGCAGGAGAGTGTGTTCAGAAAGGACTCATTCAGGTGTCCTACATGCCAGGAAATGAAATTCCTGCTGATCTGTTGTCTAAGGTTGTTAACAGAGAACAACTTAAGGTTTACGTACAAAGGTTGCAATTGGGTTGAACCACAGGTACTACAGGTTACACGGAAAGGGGGAGGATGTTAGGATATTTCCGTTCCACCTTAAAAGGGAGCAGGCTGTGAGTCACAGAGTCTGCGTATTTCCTGTTCACAGGATGTTTATGTTTTCTATTGCTTTCGTTTCTCTCTGTGTGTCTTAGACACTGAAGCAGGCAGTCACGGTTTTCTTTGTTCTGATCAACGCTCTCCTGAGTGCAACTTCTGCTGTGCATTATCTGCTGATAAAGAGTGTGCATCGGCTCTAGAATGTTCTGGAGCTCATGTCGCTAATTGCTGATACTGCGTGTCTACGGGAGATCGATGGATCGTCCAGCAGCCAGCTTGGGGGCCATGATGGACTTTATCTCCCTGGCAGTATCCCAACAAGGCTAACTACTTGCTTGCAATGGATTGATTTTTATGGGAAGTGGTTGGATTTGATTAGTGTTAGATTTTTTTGGCTCATGCGGAAAGGCTCTCTCTCCTGTTAGTTTTTTGTTGCTTTTAAAAATAATGTGTGAGTTTGAAGACTCTCGCCGTTATTTTGCTCTTTCCATTGCTGCTGAACTGCTTTCAGTCTATAACCTAGGGTGATATAATCAATACTGAAATGGTTACTAAAGTGTCACTTAAGGATTTTCAAATCTTACAGGGTATGGTGCAGCTGAGTAATCTATCAACACAAGACGTTTTAACAGTGTGGAAAAATATTTCAGTATGCCATTTAGTTTAATCAGTTGTTCAGACAGCTGGATCTAGCTTATTTTAGGAATCTGTAGTAGAACTGATGTAGAAGGATTAAGACAAGGAGGCAAAATTAGCACTAATGCATTTGGGCCTGGTATGTGGAATCCTTGGAATGATCCTGGGTCTGGCATGAGGAATGTTGGGAATGATGGTGATTAGAAGTGGAGGAAGACATAGCTATATCTGCCGGATTCTCTGAGAATAATGGGCAAAGCTTGCTACATTCATCAGCATGCTAATACTGAGTTTCTGAATGCTATATTTGAGGAGATAGTAAGTTGAGGGGAACAAAGGCGGAATGGAAAGTCAGCAGACATTAGTTTCCCTTCCATTCTTAGAAGGATGCAACCCATTTGAATACAATTCATTGATTGTGTGTTTTAAAGCCAATTGTTTCATCAGTTTTCCCTTTAGAAAATAATAGGGTGGAATCCGCCTGGTGCAAGGTAGAAGATGGCTTTAGGGCCTGCAGGCAGAATAGGCAAAAATCCTCTCATCTTCTGTTAACAGATGCCTTCACTACATTGAAAGCTCTTCTGTGAGCCCAATAGCATCAACTGGGTACCACCCATAGTTTTTATGTATTGTATGAATATGGAAGGAATAACCCTGGACCTCTGGGCATTTCCAAACTGTTGTTCTTTTGTGGATTAGATTTAGTTGCATACCGGCAAACTGAGGTTGTACAATTAAAGTGTATTTGGCAAAAAGAAAAAAGAAAAGACTTTTTTTCCAGTAAAGAAAGTGACAGGAAAACACTTTGGAGAATGTGGGATAAGTACTTGCATGATGCAGCCTTATATACCCTCCCTGCAAACAAATCAGAACCGGTGCTTAGTAAACAGCTGACATCATGTTAACCCCCCCCCCCGAATCATGTAACCTGGGATGAATTTTCAAGAAGCACGTCATCTGGTAGCAACCTCAAAGCTTTCAGCCATCCTCACCAAAGTCGGTCCCTGTTTTTACTTTATTTTCTTGTTAAAACAAGTATCCCTATTTTGCCTTTGGGGGATATATCTCATTAGTGTGTGCACATGTACTAGAATTCTTCTCATTCCAGTCCTTGGTCAAGTTTCTAGAAGTTGCATTTTGACTCTAGTGCACATGCATCTAAATGCCAGTGCACTGCTTCCCATAACTGCCTGTCTTGATGGCTGCAAAAAGCAGTGTTGAACAGACTATTGCAGTGTAAACAAACATCAAGCAAAGAACCTTAAGCAATGTGTTCTTTGTATTGGGAGGATGAAAATTTCAGACAGTGATCCTTGGTGTGAAAATAAGTTACCCAAGTACACAAATGTTAAAGAGTACATAGAGGTCAAGTGAGCAGTAAATGAATTGCTGGCTCATGCAGCATGCATTTTTAATGATGTTATGCAAATCCGTGTTTCCCCCATGAAGCTAAGTGAGCGACTTTGGATAAGCCTTTGGTTTTGTGAGGATTAAATATAGTATGACCTCTCCTCAACAAAGGTAGCAGAAAATGTCAATAAATGAATAAATAATATCAAACTGACATAGTGCTATTTCCTGTATTCCTCATTTGCGTGTTCTTAGCTAAGTTTTTGTGCTTCTCAGCCATGTTCCAAAACAATTGCTTTGAATCTGACTGAGTTGAGTCATTCCAAATGGAATTGAGAACACTGCTTTAATATAGTTGACATAATTGGATTAAATTGCAGAACAGATCTTTCAGAGAAATGAGGCAGTTAATGTGAGTGAAAAGTAAAATAAGTAGCTCTGAGGTGCTAATGTAGTGGGACAGATTGAATTGACCCACAAAGTTAGTGCTGTGGGAGAATGTACCTTTCCAAAACAGTCTGTGCATCATTAATGCAAAAATATTTTGAGAAGTAAATATGTTGTCATAACTTTTACTTTGTGATTTTTTTTCCACAGTAAGAAGATAAACAATATATTCTGACAGTTTTTAAATTTTTGCATATAGCTGGCTTGCCTGTGGTTACAGTTGTATCATTGTAGAGTCGTCATAGATAATGACTTATTGTGTACTCTTGTTTATTTTACCTGGTGCTTTCTTTGAGGAATAGCCTAAACTTTTAAATAAATTCTTGATTTGTAGATCAAGGATCTGTCTTTTTACCTTGTATCATGTAATTCTTTGTATGGCAGTATAGAAGTCAGAGAGACACAAGGAATGTTTATGACACCCATCCCACCATAATCTAAACCTATCAAGGCCCATATTTGGCCTGAATACCAATAAGGTAAAGAGTATAAATACTAACTGCACATGGTACTTCCCACAAATTTCATCCTGAGAGTTGACCCCTGATGTTTTATTTTGAGCAAGTTGATCTGTGCTTGATTCTGCTATCCTGTATTTCATACTTTTTAAAGATTTTAGAGATGTCTAGCGTTACACTTTTATGCTGAAATGTGGGTTGACAATATTTTAATACAGCCTGTAGCACATAATGTATTTTATAAATGATAAAGCACGTTCATCTCTGAAGAAAAAAAGTAAATGTGATTTTTTTCCCCCCCTAGCACAAGGCTTGACTTACAAAAGTTTTTGCTCTCTTTCTTCCTCCAATCTCTCTCTTGGCCTGTGCAGCTTTTACAGAAGAATGGACAGATATCCATTATTAATGGAATTACAGAAGAACAAGTGGAGCTCAGCCTTAAGCCAGAAGAGCTGAAAAAGGAGCAGGGAGAAGCAGTCATAACAGATGGTAAGTAGATGCTTATAATGACATGGAAGATTACCCAGGACTATGGGACACACAGAAGGAAATTGGTATCTTGAGCCCTTTCCTATAGTACAAAACATCACTTTATTAATTTAACACTTTGATCCCAGGTTCCTTAATTGGGGGTGCCCTCCCCCAAACAAATGATTGGCATTTCCAGCTTTGATAGTAATGACCACCTGTTGGAGAAGAGCAGGTGCCTGGATAAAGCAGCCCTCACCACCTGGTCCAATCATAATCAGTAATGTTACAGATTCTTTGTAATAGTAAAGGTTCAATCTAGCTCCACTGCAGGTACTGTACCAACATGCATAGGTTGCCTGTATTGTCCAATATGACCCTGTTTTTGCTGCCTTCACCTAAGTGCTTACATGTGTAGGCTATATAAGGAAAGGGAAGCACATGTGCTCCTCCCATATCCTCATCCAACCTTATTTCTCTGTACCTTTTTAGTTACATGTGTTCTAGAGCATATACAAGTTGTAGAGCACATGTGCAGAAGTCAAGTTGAGGGCACAATATCCATACATGGACCTTTCATTTCTTGCAACAGCCCCTGTGTGCAAACCCTTAGAAGAAATGGGACTTTCTGAACCCGATGGGAATCTTGTGTGTGGTGTTGTATCCAAGGTGAACTGGGTTAGGCCCACTGTTTTTGAAATAGTCTATGTTTTCATTCTTCACTCCCTTACTAATAGTTGATATCTCTAGAGAGGCCCCGAACAAACTGTTTGTGTTGCAAAGAAAACATGCAGCAAGTTCATCCTGTTGTTAGAAAGTCCAAATAACTTAAGTTTCTCAATCATTATGTAAATGTTTCGGTGTTTTTATGTTGGTTTAATATACCCAAATTGCTTGCTGAATTTGGAGAGACCTCTGAATGTTAGAAACTTTTTCTGCCTGAGCACACCTGCTCCTGCTGCTGAGCCACAGCCTCTTATATGCCTATTATCTTGTCCATTAATAGAATCACACTTTTAAAAGGCATATGTCTGCAGTCCTCATAGCTCAGAAATGAAGTTTTATTTATTTTCATTATAGATGGTAGTACAAAATCTCACCAAATTTGTTTCGGCCTCTGTTCTTTATGCCAACCATGTTTGCAACCCATATTATTTATAGTTTTTCCCATCACTACAGTGCCATAACCTGACAATCTTCAGGGTGAAACTTGACATGCTGATTTTGACTGACCAGCTGCTTTTAAGTGCAGATTTTTAGTTGTTCTAGTGTATTTGACTGATACTAGTACTGATGCAAGTTTTCAAAAAGTCACATGAGGATTTAAATAAGTAGTACTAACAGTAGCTTTTGTTTTAATTTATCTGTTTGCTATAAAGGGAACAGTATATATGGTTACTGTTGATGTTATAAAGAGCTTTTCATCTTCTCCATTGTTAAGATTGTATTTGTTTTTTCAGAAACCCTTTGATATAGAGGCATAACTTCAAAAACTTTCATATGCACATTCCCTGCAGTTAAAGCTTATCCAGTTTTGGGCTCATAGGAAATGCTCTGTTACTTCCTTCTTTCTATATACAAAAGCTGCTGTTAAGACAACATATTCACTTTTTACATGTTTGATAATGATTTTGTGTAGGCAAAGCTCTCTTAATTCCAATTGTGAGTCAGGAAGGGGAAATGTACTGGGTAGCCTTATCCACAGTCCAATTAAGCTGATGTTCTTAAAACCAGCTTTGTCCTACTGATTAAGACAGCTTTTTAAACAGTTTGATTGGAGAATGTCAGGGATGACACAGTGTTTATAGTCGAAGTCTGTTATAGTCTGTTTCATGGCCTATTTGAGAGAGAGAAAGAGAGAGAGAGCAGTAGGGATAATGGTGGCAATTAGGATTTTTTTTTATTTCATGCAAATTATATACCTTTTGATATTTAAAACATTAAAAAACTAAAACAGATTAAAACACATCAGAGTGTTCTAGATACCCAAATACATTTGTCTAAACACAACTGATTTTAGCAGGCAGCAAGAAGAGTACAGTCATACCTTGGAAGTTGAACGGAATCCGTTCCGGAAGTCCGTTCAACTTCCAAAGCGTTCAAAAACCAAAGCGCGGCTTCTGATTGGCTACAGGAAGCTCCTGCAGCCAATCAGAAGCCCCGTCGGATGTTTGGCTTCCAAAAGAACACTCGAAAACCGGAACAGTCACTTCCGGGTTTTGATTGTTTGGAAGCCAAACCCTTCGAGAACTGGGCTGTTCCAAAACCAAGGTATGACTGTACAGCTATATCAGTTGGCAGGGAATTCCAAAGTATATGCACTGCCACATTAAAAAATTAATTTCTTACAAATGTGGAACAGATATTATGTGCCACCTGTAAAAGTGGCAGTTCCGCAGATCAAAGCAATTGAGTGGGCATATCTGGGATGAAGTGATCTCACAGGTAAACTGATCCTGAGTTGTTAAGGGCTTTATATAGCAATAGTAACACCTACCTGGCCCAGTAGGCATCCTAGATCCTAAGCTTAGGAATTTAGAGTACAGTAGACCAGAAGGAATGTTTGGTACCAGGAACTCATCAGGTAAGGATTTTAATACCAAAACAAATAAAAGTTGGAGACTCACTAATGTTGGTCTTCAGAACAGTAGCATAACTTGCAGTTTTGGGAGCAAAAAAAAGTGCTGAAATATGTGTAAGAGTGTTGAAAATTGTGTATGGACACCAAATCTCTGCGCATCTGTCAAGCTTGCTGGGTAGCCTTCAACAACAGCATCTTCCTTTGTAAATATGATCGGGGTATAAATGAGGTGAAGACCGTAAAGGGTTGTACACCAAAAAGTCTGTAAGACTTAAAAACTCTTAACAAATCAATATTGTGGATTCAAAAATAATACAGTCTCTTTGATTTAGAGGTGACTGGTTTGTGATGGTGTATGGGGCTGGGCATTTCATTGGAAGGAAAATGTTCACAAGGTAATAGGAGTAGCTGAACTCTTTCTTAAACAAAGCAGGTAAATTCTTCTGCATTCCAGACTAGCTAAATCACTGAAATACAAGAGAGGGCTTACCAATGAGTCAAGGGGCCACTTCTCACATTACTTTTTCCTACAGAAGAACTGGACCTGTTGGTGTGGAAAGTGCAGAAAATGCGTGCCTGCTTTATCTTGAGATTAGCTAGACATATTTCTATTTTACCACTGAGACACATCTGGTTTCCATCAAACATTTGCTTGTCAGATGCTAGTCCTAGCAGAAAATAGGAAGTATTTTTCTGGACATTCTCATATTACAGCCCACATGTTTCTTTTTTGCTCTTTCTGACATACTTTTAACTTCTGGAGGGTCTTGATGAGAATCAGAAATGTCCCTAGTTTACAATCATGGTTTTCAGGGCAAGTGCAAACCATAGTTTCCCAGTTCAGATATAATGTTAAATTGGTTTGCTGTAAACCAAGACATAATTCATTAAGTAGAGCACAGTGGAGAGAGGACTACACAAGCATAATGCTTGCTTCCTTAGTGCATAAATGCTTAAGAGGAGCCCAAAAGATCAAGCTAAAGGCCTATGTAGTCCAGCACATAGTCCAGAACATGTGAAGACATGTTCACAGTGGACAACCAGATGCCCACAGGAAGTCTGCAAGCAGAACCTGAGCACAACAGCTCCCCCCCCTCCTGTGATTCTCATCAATGAGTATTCAGTGGCATACTGTCTCCAACCATAGAAAATATAGGGAGAAAGGTAGAAGACATGGAGGTAGAAGGTAGAAAATATAGCCATCGTAGCTAGTAGTTATCGATAGCCCTATCTTCCATTAAGTTATCTAATTTTTTAAAAAAGTTATCCAAGTCCGTGGCCATCACTACCACTTGGGAGTTAATTCCATAGTTTTAACTATGTGCTTTGTGAATAAGTACTGTACTTTCTTTTGTCTGTCCTGAGACTTCTAGCCTTCAGCTTCATTGGGAAATGCTCTCTCTAAAAGTAGCTGGAAATAGTTAGTGACCACTGAAGGCTTGCTTTTTTTGGAGGGGAGTGTCATGGAGTGAGCACAGCTGACTGGCAACCTGAATTTGAGCAATCCATGCTACAGTATTTTCTTGCAGCTTCTACTTGTTAATTGTAGTTTTATATGCGATACAATCACCATGGGAAAAATGTCATGGCATATGCTGTTGCATCTGCATCGTTGCCTTTGTCAGTCTTGGGTTTGTGTTTTGTTTTTGCTAAGGTTAGGGCAAAAGCATGTCAATGGTTTTCAAATTATTCATTGGAATTCTGGGTTACAGTGGTGCCCCGCAAGACGAAATTAATCCGTTCCGCGAGTCTCCTATTAGCGGCTTAGCGGCTATTAGCAGCTTAGCGGCTATTAACGGCTTAGCGGCTTAGCGGCTATTAACGGCTTAGCGGCTTTAAGAAAAAGGAAACAAACTCGCAAGACGTTTCGTCTTGCGAAGCAAGCCCATAGGGAAATTCGTCTTGCGGAACGACTCAAAAAACGCAAAACCCTTTCGTCTAGCGAGTTTTTCGTCTTGCGGGGCACCACTGTAGAAGTTATTGGGATTGTTCAGTGAGAAGAATAGTAATGTTAGATAGTGTCTGAAGGGCAACTCATTCGTCATTACTCACCTTCCTCTACAGTGCACACTCTGGGCCAAATGAAATGTAAAACTAAATGTGTGAGTGTTCATTTTCTTCTCCCTTTTTAAATAACAGCTTCTGGAGATAGGTGGGTTTGGGATCAAGGTGCAAAGGAAGAAGGTTTCAGCCTTTCCCTTCCATTATGGATCCATGTGAGAGAAGCTGTCTTCCTGGGTTTAGTCATCAGGACTATGACTGTGATAGGAATGGCATGGTGAATCCCCTCCGTGCTGACATGATCCTGATATCCCTAAGCTATTTAGGAGAAAACTAGACATGTTAAAGGTATTCACACATTTAACTTAATGTTCGCACATAATGCTGAACCGAAACATGGCTTATTGCATCCACAGCTATGGATTAAGCAAAACGTTAAACGTGTAGAATCATAGAATCATAGAATCATAGAGTTGGAAGAGACCACAAGGGCCATCGAGTCCAACCCCCTGCCAAGCAGGAAACACCATCAGAGCACTCCTGACATATGGTTGTCAAGCCTCTGCTTAAAGACCTCCAAAGAAGGAGACTCCACCACACTCCTTGGCAGCAAATTCCACTGTCGAACAGCTCTTACTGTCAGGAAGTTCTTCCTAATGTTTAGGTGGAATCTTCTTTCTTGTAGTTTGGATCCATTGCTCCGTGTCCGCTTCTCTGGAGCAGCAGAAAACAACCTTTCTCCCTCCTCTATGTGACATCCTTTTATATATTTGAACATGGCTATCATATCACCCCTTAACCTCCTCTTCTCCAGGCTAAACATGCCAAGCTCTCTTAGCCGTTCCTCATAAGGCATCGTTTCCAGGCCTTTGACCATTTTGGTTGCCCTCCTCTGGACACGTTCCAGTTTGTCAATGTCCTTCTTGAACTGTGGTGCCCAGAACTGGACACAGTACTCCAGGTGAGGTCTGACCAGAGCAGAATACAGTGGCACTATTACTTCCCTTGATCTAGATGCTATACTCCTATTGATGCAGCCCAGAATTGCATTGGCTTTTTAGCTGCCGCGTCACACTGTTGGCTCATGTCAAGTTTGTGGTCAACCAAGACTCCTAGATCCTTTTCACATGTACTGCTCTCAAGCCAGGTGTCCCCATCTTGTATTTGTGCCTCTCATTTTTTTGCCCAAGTGCAATACTTTACATTTCTCCCTGTTAAAATTCATCTTGTTTGTTTTGGCCCAGTTCTCTAATCTGTCAAGGTCGTTTTGAAGTGTGATCCTGTCCTCTGGGGTGTTAGCCACCCTCCCAATTTGGTGTCATCTGCAAATTTGATCAGGATGCCCTTGAGTCCATCATCCAAGTCGTTGATAAAGATGTTGAATAAGACCGGGCCCAAGACAGAACCCTGTGGCACGCCACTAGTCACTCTTCTCCAGGATGAAGAGGAACCATTGATGAGCACCCTTTGGGTTCGGTCAGTCAGCCAGTTACAAATCCACTGAGTGGTAGCATAGTCAAGACCACATTTTACCAGCTTCTTTACAAGAATATCATGAGGCACCTTGTCAAATGCCTTGCTGAAATCAAGGTAGGCTACATCCACTGCGTTCCCTTCATCTACCAGGCTTGTAATTCTGTCAAAAACAAGATCAGGTTAGTCTGACATGACTTATTTTTCAGAAATCCATGCTGACTATTGGTGATCACAGCATTCCTTTCTAGGTGCTCACAGACTGTTTGCTTAATGATCTGCTCCAGAATCTTCCCTGGTATTGATGTCAGACTGACTGGGCGGTAATTATTTGGGTCCTCTCTTTTCCCCTTTTTGAAAATAGGGACAACATTTGCCCTCCTCCAGTCTGCCGGGACTTCGCCTGTTCTCCAGGAATTCTCAAAGATGACTGCCAGTGGTTCTGAGATCACATCTGCCAGTTCTTTTAATACTCTTGGATGCAGTTCATCTGGCCCTGGAGACTTGAATACATCTAAACCAGCCAAGTATTCTTGTACTATCTCCTTAGTTATTCTGGGCTGTGTTTCCTTTGCTGAATCATTTGCTCCAAATTCTTCAGGTCGGGCATTGTTTTCTTTATCGGAGAAGACTGAGGCAAAGAAGACATTGAGGAGTTCAGCTCTTTCTGTGTCCCCTGTTTGCATTTCACCATCTTCTCCTCTGAGTGACCCCACTGTTTCTTTGTTCTTCCTTTTGCTACGGACATACCCATAAAAGCCTTTTTTGTTGCTTTTAACCTCTCTAGCAAGCCTGAGTTCATTCTGCGCTTTAGCTTTTCTGACTTTGTGTCTACACGTGCTGGCTATTTGTTTGAATTCCTCTTTGGTGGTTTCCCCCCTTTTCCATTTTTTGTACACATCCTTTTTAATCTTAACTCAGTTAAAAGTTCTTTAGATAGCCACCCTGGCTTCTTTAGGCACCTTCCATGTTTCTGTCTCATTGGTATTGCCTGACGTTGTGCTTTTAGTATCTCCCTCTTAACAAACTCCCAGCCATCATGAACTCCCTTTCCTTTTAGTATTACTGTCCATGGGATCTCACCCAGCACTTCCATAAGTTTTATGAAGTCAGCTTTCTTAAAGTCAAGAAATTGAGTCCTAGTATGCTTGGCTGCTCCTTTCCGCTGTATAGTAAACTTCAGAAGAGCATGATCACTCGCGCCTAATGATCCTTCCACTTCTACCCCACTAACCAGGTCATCAACATTGGTTAGGACCAGATCTAAAATGGCTGTTCCTCTTGTTGCTTCTCCCACTTTCTGGACAATGAAGTTGTCTGCAAGGCCAGTGAGGAATCTGTTTGACCTTATGCTCTTGGCTGAGTTTGACATCCAACAAATATCCGGGTAATTGAAGTCCCCCATTACTACTACCTTTTACATGCTTGGCCATCTGTTCCAGGAAGGCATCATCTATGTCCTCCGTTTGGCTTGGGGATCTATAGTAAACTCCCACAATGAGGTCACTGTTATTCTTCTCTCCCTTAATTTTGACCCAAATGCTCTCACTTTGGCTTTGAGGTTCTAAATCTTGGATCTCTTCACAGGTATACACATCCCTGACATATAACGCCACTCCTCCTCCTTTCTTGTGTGGTCTGTTTCTCTGAAATAGATTGTATCCCCCCATTATTACATTCCAATCGTGGGACTTATCCCACCAGGTTTCAGTGATGCCTATTATGTCATATTTACCGTATTTTTCGCTCCATAGGACGCACTTTTTCCCCTCCAAAAATGAAGGGGAAATGTGTGTGCGTCCTATGGAGCGAATGCAGGTTCGCTGAAGCCTGGAGAGCGAGAGGCATCGGTGCGCACCGACCCTCTCGCTCTCCAGGCTTCAGGAAGCTATCCGCAAGCCTTGCAAGCCCGGTGGGAGTTCCCGCGGGCTCACAAGGCTTGCAGGCAGCAGCCTGCAGCCCCGGCGAGTGTCCGCAAGCCTTGCGCGCCAGGCAGGAGGTCCCGCCGAGCGCGCGAGGCTTGGGGCAGCAGCCTGTCGCCCGAGCACGGGGAGCCCTCCGGAGGGCTCCCCGTGCTTCGGGCGAGTGTCTGCAAGCCTTGCGCGCCGGGCAGGAGGTCCCGCCGAGCGCGCGAGGCTTCGGGCGGCAGCTTGTCGCCCCCGTGCTTCGGGCGAGTGTCTGCAAGCCTTGCGCGCCCGGCAGGAGGTCCCGCCGAGCGCGCAAGGCTTGGGATGCAGCCTGTCGCTCGAAGCACGGGGAGCCCTCCGGAGGGCTCCCGTGCTTCGGGCGAGTGTCTGCAAGCCTTGCGCGCCCGGCAGGAGGTCCCGCCGAGCGCGCAAGGCTCGGGCGGCAGCTTGTCGCCCGAAGCACGGGAGCCCTCCGGAGGGCTCCCGGTGCTTCGGGCGAGTGTCTGCAGGCCTTGCGCGCCTGGCAGGAGGTCCCGCCGAGCGCGCAAGGCTTGGGGCTGCAGCCTGTCGCCCGAGCACAGGAGCCCTCCGGAGGGCTCCCGTGCTTCGGGCGAGTGTCTGCAAGCCTTGCGCGCCCGGCAGGAGGTCCCGCCGAGCGCGCAAGGCTTGGGCGGCAGCTGTCGCCCGAAGCACGGGAGCCCTCCGGAGGGCTCCCGGTGCTTCGGGCGAGTGTCTGCAAGCCTTGCGCGCCCGGCAGGAGGTCCCGCCGAGCGCGCAAGGCTTGGGGCTGCAGCCTGTCGCCCGAGCACGGGAGCCCTCCGGAGGGCTCCCGTGCTTCGGGCGAGTGTCTGCAAGCCTTGCGCGCCCGGCAGGAGGTCCCACCGAGCGCGCAAGGCTTCGGGCGGCAGCCGCTGGGGGGGGGGGGGGGGAATAATTTTTTTTATTCATTTCCCCCCCCCAAAAAACGAGGTGCGTCCTATGGGTCGGTGCGTCCTATAGAACGAAAAATACGGTAGTTTGCTGTACCAAGAGCTCAAGCTCATCTTGTTTATTTCCCATGCTTTGCGCATTAGTGTACAGACATTGAAGTCCATTAATCATTCCCCCGTGACTCTTATTTAAGGATTTTTTCCTCCCACCACTAGGTCTGTGTGCTGTTTGCTCCATTTGGTCTATGACATTTGGATGATCATCTTCATCAATTGATAGACTCCTACCTTCAGGAGCACTGTCTCCATCCCCCACATTAGTCAGTTTAAAGCCCTCCTGATGAGGTTTCTGAGATTTTTGGCAAAAACATTTCTCCCAACCGTTGTGAGGTGCAGCCCATCGCTTGCCAGAAGTCCATCTTCAAGAAACTGCAGTCCGTGATCTAAGAATCCAAACCGTTCCTGTTTACACCATTTGTGAAGCCAGCTGTTCACTTCCACTATTTTTCCCTCTCTCCCTGGGCCACGTCGTTCAACTGGGAGGACAGATGAGATCACAATTTGTGCATTTAATTGCTTCAATTTCCTGCCCAGAGCCTCGTAGTCTCTTTTGATCTTCTGGAGGCTATTGCTTGCAGTGTCATTGGTTCCCACATGAACCAAGAGGAAGGGGTATTTGTCAGTGGGTTTTATGATTCCTTGCAGTCGTTCAGTTACATCTTGGATCTTAGCCCGGGAGACAGCACACTTCCCGAGACATCTTGTCAGGCCCACAGATCACTGCTTCTGTTCCCCTCAGTAGGGAATCCCCTATCACCACTACACGCCTCCTCTTAGGTTTGGTCGGGGTTCTTCCGTGAGCTGTCCGCTCCAAGGTCGCCTGCACATTCCCTGAGGACTGACTTTGCTGCTCGTCTTCATATACCTGATACTTTGCTGCTCGTCTTCATATACCTGATGTATATGAAGTGTAATTTGCTTGTCTGCAGTCTGACAAATTTCATGCATTTGAACGTTAATGAAAATGTTCCACACTATTTGTATTTCATTGCAATTTGATCCCACTGTGTTCATATCCCTCCCATCCTGCACCCCAAATATGTATACGTAATTGCCAATTGAATATAATGTTTCTTGCATCTGATGCAGTGGTTTCCAGCCTATGACATACTATGCCATAATTGCCATAATAATTGCTTTAGCATTTGAGGTGTTTACAAGGTTGCAAGGTTCTTCACTGAACTTTCAACCATGGCATTGAACTGTATATATGAGATTAAAGTTCCCAGAGGAAAGAGTCTGGTTGTTGGAATATTCTTATTTTTGTATATAGAAAGTGGTTCTGGAAATTTTTCTCCTTTCACTTAGTAGGCATGTAGTAAATATGAGAGAGAGGTATGTTACACCCTCCTTGATCTAAAGGACTTCCAGTGATCTGCATAAAGCCCTTTGTAACAATAGGGGAGGTGGTTTGGTCAGAGGGTGGAGATCTCATTGTTAAATTTAGGAATATAACCTGCCCACTCAACGAGCAGCTAAGAAGGGGATGGGCCACAGTGAGCTGTCTGTCAAGGACCAGTCTGCTGAAATACAACTTCAGTCTGCCTTTTTCATCAGACACTGAAGGACTGAAACGTGTTTCTGTTAGCTCTGCTTCCCTCCTAACCCCCTCCCTCTGATTGCACTGTGACTTGGAGAAATAAAAATAACGGAGTGTCTTGCTTTGAGGAGAGGAAAATCCAGGTTGCCAAAGGGTAGAGAAAATGCTGGGAACTATCACTCTAACAGGTATGAAATGTTTACATTTTGAATTGTATTGATGGTTCTGTTGTCTCTTTGCAATGGTGATTCTATGCAGCAGCACTTTTGTCCAGGACTCAAGTATGTGACACACATATTGGAGCAGTTCTTTATTAATCCATGTACAGCATAGTCTATACATGTCTACCTGGAAGTAAATCCCATTGAGTTCTGTGGTGCTTATTTCCAGATAAATGGGCAAAGTATTGCAGCTATAATAACTTTTAAAACTTATAATTTATGTTTAAATAGGAGTGGGGAAGTGTTTTTGGATTAAAATCCTAAAGCTGCCGCTCTATGCACACTTACCTAGAAAGCCTGTTGCAGTTACATTTACTGCTGCGTAAATATGGTTGAACTCAAGCATCTTTATGTGGTTGAGTTAGGTAAATTTCCCTACATGTTTACGCTTTAAATTAGGAAGTTTAATTTATAGAACAATAGATTTCAAATGCAACAGTATTTCTTAGATTGCAAAGTACTTTAGGATGAGTGATTTTATATTGGCAGGGGTACGCTATATTCTCTGGTATCTTTTCTACTCACAGAAGCTTGCTTGTTTTTGATCTTTCAAATGCCAGAGAATTCTGTACTTAATAAGTTTTTTAAAAGTTTTTAAAAGTTTCATATGGAAGAGTAAACCCCCCCATTTACTCTTTAGTCATGTCATTTAATTACCATATTATTTCACTTAATTTACACTGTGAGTTTTCTCTCAGCCATTTGATCCTAGGTTTCATATTTTTTTGCAACCTCCCATGTCTTAAAAGTAAACTTCCTTTTCCTTAATTTCCATTATCCTTGACCCCAGGCACAACCTTTCTACATAAATAATGGAGCAAACATCTGTTTTAACTTCTGAAGTTCAAGTGATCACTGCTCACTTCATCTTATTCATTAAAAAGTGGACTATGTATCTGCTCATAAACACAAAATCATTAAATTGGAGTGATTTAATTAGTGTGCTTGGAGGGAAGCTATAACCCCCTCTGCCCCCAAACTCCTTTACAACTTAATTTTGGAAACAAAGACCTTTGGAAACTCATCAGTATATTGCTGAATGGTTGGGAACAGTTGCTGAAAAACAATACTTAGAAGCACCAGGGTTTAGACACTTCATTTTATCTTTCCTGCTGAGATGCTTGTTGAAACATTCCATCATTTATAGAAAAAAAAAGAACAGTGATGGTGGACAGTATAGTATATTTATTGCAATATAGGCAATAAATATTTTCAGCTTATGCAAATGTTTTACTGCATCTCTGCGAGATTTCCCCTCAGTTTTGCCTATTAGTCATTTTTGTTTGATCTTTTCTCATAAACATTAAATAGTACTAGCACCAACAAACAGAACTATGACTTTTTTCTTTTCTTTTACAATATCAGTGCTGTGGAATGTATATGCATCGCATGTGGATAACCGAAAGAGACCAGTTCTGTTTTGACTTTACTGTAACTTGTTCAGAATGCTAATGTGTTTATTATCATTCTGATAGTAAATTGGGACATTTTAAAACTCCATATGTCATATACAGTTATATGCCAAAATGGCTTCTCTTACAGTTGTAAAGTGCGGGTTGAACTGACATCACCACAGAGGTCAGTTCATTTGTTTAATCTAGGTAAAATACATTTTAAAGCTTGCCCTGCGTAGCCTTTTCTAATCTCAGTGTAACTGTATCCAGCAATTGAATTCCTATAACAAAAAGCCAGCTTATACTTGGGAGTGAAGAAGTATGGCAGTTCAAATTCATTCTTAAATTGTTCAGTTGGACCAGCTGTTGTTAGACTCATGACAGTGAGCAATTTTCTTTCCACATTAAATATGTTGTAACACTAGGTACAAAATAGAGCTGTGAATTTTTTAACAGCAGTTGGTTTTAACCAAATATTTCAAGGCAATGATCTACTCTCAGTTAAACACAATCAACGACACTGATGGTAGTAGGATTAACTATGAAATAGAGAGACTATTCTGGTCTTAGATGTTTAAATATGGAATAAACTTAAGTTTTGTTTTAAAAATTGTTTGGAGACTTTCAGTGGCTAGAGAATTTTGGAACACTAGAGACCCGGGTGTGTATGACATATATCTGATGGATACAGAATGTAGGGAATTCATGGAGAAAATCCAGGGCAGGGCAGCAAATCCGGGGGGGGGGGGAGTCAACCAGCTCCAGATGTTGACATGGTTGACTGCAAGCACATGAGGTGTTTCAGATTTAACTATTACAGCCCGAGAAATACTTTCTGTCTTCCAACTACAAGAAATGGTATCTCTCCTTTCTTGTAAGGAGAGTGAGAAGGTGGGGGAAACGGAAAAAGTTTGAAATGTTTGTTAGTAGTAAAATGTATGTGTAACACTTTTTAGGTATTGTGGCAGTAGACACTCACTTGATTTTATTCATGTTGGAATGGATAGTTTATCTTCCTATTCAGGGCATCGTCATAAAACAACTGCTTTAAGGCCCAATAGAGTTTTCCCTAATGACACATTTATTTAAAGTAATAAGGAAGTGTTTTCTTTTTACATTGTATGTCAAATGACTGTGAATGTTGGACCCAAATTTCTAACAGCACGTTCTAAGTAAGATAAGCTCTATAGTACCAACCACATCAATATCAACTGTGGGAATAAATGAGTGCCTGTGTATTATACGAAGGGAAGTTGTAGTGAAGAGAGATTGAGTACAAGTACTTGCAACAACTAGTAGCCATAGATGTAATGTGTCTTCCCGTGACTCATCCAGCCTGTGGAGTGGGACTGGATGAGTATCATGATTTTGAATGTGCATGTTCTCATTTACACCACCTGCATGCATACCTTGCCAGATTTTCCTGGCTTGATCAGAGGACTAAGAAAGGGTGCCTTTTGCTCTTTGTTCTGCTTTTCATTCAGTCTCAGAGAAGGCTTAAATCATTCTAATGCCTCATTAAGGCTTTTTGTTGTTGTTTTTTTTAGAAGGTATAGTACAGGAGTGAGAGAATCTCAGCTCCTGGTATTCTGGCTATATAGAAACCTGAAAAAGTCATGCTGGTGTCTAAAGTATAAATTAAAATTGTGATTGCAGTGCTGGAGTTGATCCTTCTTCAAGGTCCTATTTTTCAGATTAAAATCTTCCTCTACCCCAAAGTATTGGGGGCACAGGGGGAGATGAAACTTAATGGAACCTTAAAAAAAAAAAAGCTAGCTGAAATTTCATTACATGTATACATGTGACATTCAGTTAAGCTGTCTCGTCACTTCTTTTCAAACTGCACAATTAAGAACGAAGTCAGTAATGCTAACTTTATTGAGTCATTACTGCCATATATAAGTATGAACTGGCATTTCAGTGAAGCAAACCACAAACAGCAGAGTTATACTAAGAAACACTGTTCTCTATGGTTGACAGATAGTTTTGAATGTCTTTAGACCTGAAATCAACATTGTTTACACCATCCCTTTGATGTAACTTCACATAAAGCTACTCTGCAAAGTAATGGAGGGCTTCTTCCAATAGTGAGCAACGTTGTTGGGCACTCACAGAATGGAACTATGGAGGAGACTTGATGTAGGACAGGGTGTGGCTAAAGAAGCCTTGGGGTACAATATTTGGATGTTTGGGTGGAGCCACTCCTTGACACACAAAGTGGTTTTCAGCATTTTCAAGTTGATCTGGGGTAAACCTTTCTAGAATTGTAATTAGTACTCTTAAAAGCAGTAATACTTTTTCAGTGAATTTTATTTTATTGGCATCATTGCTATTCATAGGCATCATTGAAAGTTATTTTGCTTCGGCATGCTTTTTCTTATGAATCCATAAGCATAGCATATCTTGATTTTTTAAAAATACATTGAATGTAGTTATATCCAATCTCGTCTATATTATGCACCTAGTATTTCACATAAACCTTGAGATTTGTTAAGTAAAATAGCAATGAAATACTGCCCTCTGCTGTTCATTTTTGTCAACAAATTAGTTTTTCTTTTTGAAGATAACAGTTTTGCTTCTGACATGTCAAATGACAATGGAACAATAAGACAGCGCCTGATAAACTTGCAATCATCACATTAATTTCTAAATATTATGGTCTGCTTCACAAGTCACTTTAAATGAGAGTTAAACTAAACTGTGGTTTAAAGCTGCAAACTGTTGTAGCAGTTTTGCTCCTCTGCTGGGAATGTGGCTTGTTTGGGGAAAACAAGCCACAAACCTTGGTTCGAACATAAGACTAAGCCAAACCACAGCTTAGCTCCTAGCAGCATGGTGATAGCTGGAGCAGAGGAGAAGTGAAATGCCTGTCCTTTCAGCAGCATTCACCCACATGCTGTGTGCTAACCTTTAAACCATAGTTGAAAATGGTGTGTTAGTAGCAAAAGGGATGTGTATCTCAACAGTTAATGCTTTCTGGGACCAATTTGTTTATGTTTTAACTTATATTCTGCTTAAATTCATAGAAATTATATCCTACATTTCCTCCCAAAGGAGTTTAGAGTGGCAAACAACAAGCAGTAAAAACACATTAAAAACAATTTGAACACAGATGCAGACTGGGAAAGAACTCGACCTAAAAGGCTTGTAGGAAGAGGAAGGTCTTTAGTAGGCACCAACAAGACAACAGAGATTGGGGGGGGGGTCTGTTTAATATTTAAAGAGAATGAATTCAAAAGGGTAGGTACCACAGCACTAAAAGCCTAATACCTAAATTGTGCAGAACAGAGCTCATAATAAAATAGTATTTGCAGGAGGCCTCCTTCACCTGCAGAGTGCAGGGGTCAACTGGATATGTAAGGGGTGAGATGATATTTATGTATCCTGATTCCAATTTGTATAGGGTTTTGTACACTAAAACCAGCACATTGAACTTAGTCTGGTAGCTAATTTTCCACCTTGTAGTCTTCAAGGTGGCTTATGATACGGAATAAAACAACAAAAAATCAATCCAATTAAAAGAACAGCAGCAACTAAAATGGATTCCTAATAATAAGATTTTCCAATCCAAATTCTCAAAAGGTCTGGCAAGGTAGATCTTGTCTTTACTGAAGTATTAAAAAATTGGTAACAAATTGTAGCTGAACAGTTCTTCAGGTAGAGGTGTGGTTTTTTTGGTCTTCAAAGCATTCACCAGAAAGTCTCAAAGTAAAGTTATGGAGCAACTGAATAATAGATTTCTCACAGAAACATCCTAAATGTGGACACTTTTCTTTTGACAAGCAAACATTCTCAGGCCACTTACTGCAGCTTCACCTCATTGCAATTTTAAGTAAAGCTAAATGCATACAGTGTATCATAGGAATCTAGTGTATGGTTTGAAGGTTGCTAGTGATAGGTGTTTGTGATTAAGCAGGTCCAATTACAGCAGTTGTAGTAGACCTGGATTTCTCCTGCTGTAAAAAGCCTGGGAAACAGAGGCCTAATACTGTACTTGCCCAAATCTAGTACAATTATATGTAGTCAAGGTTCTTAGGTAACTGGAAATCGTTCAGATTTGAATTGCTTGGCCTGTTGATATGGAAGGTACTGCATTGCAGATAATGACTATAAAATGTTGTGCTCTCTGAAAGTATGCATACATCTCTTGAGGAATTATTCTGGGGGTGGTTGGAGATGGAAGCCATCTGTATGGAAGGGCAAGTTGCCATTGATTATTGCTTTATTATGGTTTGATCATGGTCAGGAAATGTGCTTAATGTAATGCAAATCAGATCAGATGTGATTTAGTTGTTAGAGGGTATGGAGCATTTTTAATAGAGGGGTACTTTTAAAAGATTTCTTTACAGTAAAAGCAGAGAGACAGATTTGTTTTTTCTTTATTTTGCTATATAATTAACATGTCAGAAAATACTCCTGCTTCTTGATCCAGCAGATGCCCAGGAAGGAGATTCAGGACAGACAAAACTATGGTTGTTCACATAATTCATTTATTTACCTGTGGAATTCGCTCCCTCTAGTGATACACCAGATAACTTCATTTTGGGAGTTTTTGTTGACAACTTGGTACATACCTGTTTACCTAGGCATTTGTGCTGTCTTGAGATCAAGTGTTGGGCTTATTTCTGCTGCACAGTGTATTTTTCATCATCATAATTTTATTTGTATGCTGCCTTTCCATAGTTAAAACCATGCTCAAGGTGGCTTACCACGTAAAAAGATTTATATAATTACAAACAAAGCAAAAGTAAAACACATCAAAAAGTGCACAACCAAGCTGAACAATTTCAACATAAATCATAATATCTAAAAATAAAGATACAAAAATTAACAGCAATAATAGCAACAAACAAACAAACAAACAAATCCCTAAACAGTACCTCAGCAGCCTCCTGGAGTCAGTCATTCAAGGCCCCTCCCTCCTAGGCCAGGTGGAAAAAAGGCTTGCAAGGCATGGAGCAGGTCTTCCAGGAATCACAACCAAAATTTATTGTTTGTTATATAAAATTGATAAACTGCTTGATTGTGAGAAACCTCAGTGTGGTTTACAAAAATATAAAACAAGAAAAGCCTCTTAACTAATGAAAATAGACTATGGTCTCAGCTGCTGGCTTGACTCAGATACTATTAAAAAAATTAACTCCTTAAATTTTGGAAGTAGAGTGTCAGGTTGGGAACATGGTGTGGCTGCCTTTACATTATCAAAATTCTGAAAGCAAATTATTTGTTTTCCGATGTCCACAATTTATTTAAAATTCTTTTGATGCCCTAGGTTTTTCCAGTATAAAGCTTCCAACCAAATTTTGAAGTGACTTTATTTCACTTCATTATCTCTCTATATAATTATGTTTTGTTAATTTTATGCATAGATACCCTTAAAATAATGGAATCTATTTTTATCATGCATTTTAAAAGACATACAGTCGTACCTTGGTTCTCGAATGGAATCCATTCTGGAAGTCCATTTGACTTCTGAAAATGTACAAAAACCAAGGCGTAGCTTCTGATTGGCTGCAGGAGCTTCTTGCACTCAATCAGAAGCCGCAGAAGCAGCATTGGACATTTCTGCTACAAAAAAGTTTGCAAACCGGAACACTCACTTCTGGGTTTGCAGCGTTCGGGAGCCAAAACTTTCGAGTCACAAGGCGTTTGGCAACCAAGGTACGACTGTATATAATGTCCACAATCTTGTACAAAATTGAATATGTTTAAGCTCATTAATTTTAATGCATTTGACTTTTAATAAAAGTGCAGTGTATTCCTATATGGGTTTACTTGGAACTAAGTCCCATAGCCTTACGCCCAAGTAAGTGTGCCTAGGATTAGAGGATTAGTGATTATTTCTACTTTTTATGCAATTTAGATAGAATTGTGATAACAGAATGCCTAATTATTTATTGCTTTTAAATGTCTCTTACAGTTGGACAAAGAGAAACTGCAAATGTGATTCTAAAAGAAGAGCCAGCTGAAAATATGGAGACTAAGCCAGCAGAATCACCTGATAAATCTAACATAGATGTGGAGCAGAAAGATGCAGAAGATGCTGATCAGCAATTGCCATCAGAAGAAGAAAAAGTGGAAGAGCAGGCAGAACCTAGTGAATCTCCATCAGCGAATGATGTTGGATTTAAAAAAGTTTTTAAGTTCGTTGGATTCAAATTTACCGTCAGAAAGGAAAAGACTGAAAAAGCAGAACCTGTTCAGTTGCTGAATGTGAAAGCAGATGAGACAGAAGTGCTATCGGAAGGAGCTGGAGATTGTAAAGAAATCAGGCTAGATACAGTGGAGGAGGAAACACAAAGTGAGGTGCCCTACCCTGTAGAAAAGACTGAGCAAGAAACTCAGACTGAGCAGACAAAAGAAGAAATTTCTCCTGAAAAGGTAACAGAAGGTCCTGTTGAAGCAGGAAGCAAGGAGACAGAGATTAAAAGTGATGGTAGCAAGTCTCCAGAGTCTCCAACAAGTCCATTAACTAATGAAACAGCATCACCCCTAAGAAAGTTCTTTACCCAGGGTTGGGCTGGGTTTAGGAAAAGGACAAGTTTCAGGAAACCTAAAGAAGAAGAACAGCAAGCCACTGAGAGAGAAATGCAGGAGCAAGAAAAAGGAGTGATAAAAGAGGAAGCCACTCCCACTGAAGAATCAGAAAAAGAAAAACCCATACCAGAAAAAGAGAAGGCAGAAGTGTCTATAGAAGCCAGTGATGCTATAGTAGAAAGAGAAGAAACAAAAATGATAGATGTCTCAACAGAAACACATAAGGAGGAAGCTGTTGCTGCCTTTGAACAGCCATCACCACAAATGTCTGCTGAAAGTGTAGACATAGAACCCAGTAAAAGCTTGAATAAAATCGACTTGGAGGAAAACTTGGAACCTGCACAAAAATGTCAAATGGCCCTGGAGCATAGCCCTCTTGCATCATCTGAGAAAAAATCTGAACTAGCAGCTCCTTTGGCAACTGAAGTATTTGAAGAAAAAACAGATCAGTCTGCACCAACTTCTCCAATGCCTATAGAAACACCTGAGGAGCATTTTGAAATAGTTGAAGCCATATCTGAACCAAAGGCTCCTCTGGCAACGGAAAATTTTGATGACAGACCCACAGAGATATGCACTGATGTTAGCACTACTGTGGAGAAGGAAGAACCAAAACCAACTGAAAAATCAAAACTTGTTCTTGAACAGTTCGTTGAAACTGATGCTGAGATTAAAGGACAAGCCACTGATGAACAGCTAAAAGTCAAAGAAAGCTTAGTTGAACTACCAAGCAGTGGAGATTCAGCAACAATCAAACCTCTAGAAGTCATTACAAATGAAGTTGAATTACTTTCATCTCAAGAAAGAGCCAAGATACAAGGCAGCCCCTTAAAAAAGCTTTTTACAAGTTCAAGCTTAAAGAAGTTGTCAGCAAAGAAACATAAAGGAAAAAGAGAAGAAGCTAAGCTAGGGGAAGCAGCAGAACAAGTACAGCAGTTGTCTGATTCTGCAGAAAGTCCAGAAGATCCAAGAGCAGAAAGCTCTGCTTCTTCCCCTGAAGAAACAACAGAATCTGTAGGAAAAGTTACAGATGCAGCACAGACCACTGAAACGGAAGATGGTTCTACTTCAGATATGGAGAGGAAAAGAGACATTGTTACACCTTGGGCATCATTTAAAAAAATGGTGACTCCTAAGAAACGGGTCAGGAGGCTTTCTGAAAGTGATAAGGAAGAAGAACTTGAGAAGGCAAAGACTGCTACTCTATCTTCAACTGAAAGTGCATCTTGTGAAGAGCAGGATGATATAAAAGAAAATGTTGAGGAACAGAAATTAGAAAAAAGCATAGATGAGCCCAAGAGAAAGGTTGATACTTCTGTATCATGGGAAGCCTTAATTTGTGTAGGTTCATCTAAGAAAAGAACCAGAAAATCATCAACTTCTGATGAAGAGATAGGACAAAGACTTGCTCAAGAAGGACAGAAAATAGATGAAAATGGGCCCAATAAAGAAACAGCACCAAGCATGACCATTACTAGCTCACAAGAAAGTGATCAAGGACAAGGAGGTTTTTCACCAGAACAAGCTGGAAGCCCATCTGAAGGTGAGGGAGTTTCAACATGGGAGTCCTTTAAAAGACTAGTAACCCCAAGAAGAAAATCTAAAACAAAAATGGAAGAGAGAAATGAAGAATCTTCCACAGCTCCAAGTTTAGAACATTATACTTCAGATGGAGAGTCTGGAAAAGAAGAATCATGGGTTTCATTTAAAAAACTAATGCCTGGTCGTAGGAAGAAGAAGTCAGATGGAATACCAGAACATGCTCCTGTTCAGGAAGCTGGAGAAGAAATGACTGAAATCCATGAGGACGACTCTGATGTTCCAGCCGTTGTTCCTTTATCAGAGTATGATGCTGCTGAACAAGAGAAGTTTGAAGCTCAAAAGGCAAAACAAGATGATTTAACTAAGAAAACTTCAGACCAGTCAGAAAGTACTTTGATTATTGAGCAGTCCAATGAAGGACTAGTTCATGCAGTTACTGTCACAATGGTAGAAGGAGAGAGAGCAGTTACAAGTATTGAAGAAAGATCACCATCTTGGATATCGGCTGCTGTGACAGAGTCCATTGAACATGCAAAGGAAGATGAAGAGAAACATATTGATCAGATCTCTGAAACTGGAATTGTGGAAGAAATGGTGGTGGTTACTAAAGTCATGCCAGAAATTCAAAAGGAGTTTAGCGGTGACACTCTAACCTCAGAAGCAATCACAGCTAGAGAAGAAACTTCAGGTGTTGAAGAAACAGCTGAAGTATCCTGTGCTGAAGAGACAACGGAAATGGTTTCAGCAGTTTCAAGGCTAACTGAGTCCCCTGATACAACAGAAATAGTAACACCTGTGCAGGAGGTAGAGGAAAGCCAGCAAAACCTAGAAGAACTAAATAAACAAACACAGGAAATTCTGCAAGAAGTTGCTGAAAGAGTTAAATTGTCCAGCGAAGCACAGGAAACAATTCTGCCTGAGAAAATAGAGAAAACAGGGCAAGAAACTACTATCATATTTCAAGAGGCAGAACCACCCTCAAAGGAAGAACCAGAGAAGACAGATATCCAAGTTAGTGAAAGTAGTCAAAGTCAAGATGAAGCTAAAGAAAGTAGTTCAAAGGAAGCGTTGGAGAAGAGTAATGACATTTGTGTAGAGGTGAAGGAGAGCTCGAAAGAAAGTGTTAGCTTGGATAAGACTGATGAGAGTCATGATTCAAAGATTGAACAAGGAATTGTTCAAGAAATCATTGAAAAACAGACTGCTGAAGAGGAAGGATTTGTCATTATCACAGTAACCCCTGAAGAAGGGCCAGAAGTAAATGTTGGTGACTTGGTAAAGGAAGCCAAAACAAATTTAAAAGATGCAGTTGAAGGTGGGATTACAGATACTGGTCGAGCAGTTGATGAATTGGCAAAAATGTCCCATGAAGAGAAGCCTCAGTTCTCCCAGAAACTCGAACAAGTGGTGAACACCATACCTGACTTGGAAGCTAAATTAGTAACTGCTGCAGATGAGGTAAAAGCCCCTGTGCAAAAAGAAATAAAAGAAGCTGAGCCTCCCTGTGCTGAAATTTTTGTCCTTGAGGCACCCATCCAGAGCAAGGTAACTGAAGTTCCAGTGCAGAATGCAGTAACTGAAGTCAGTGACCTAGGTATGGCCAAACATGCCACACTTGGCTTACTACCAGGAAGCACAGAGAATGTTGTAGTTGAGGCCTGCATCCAGAACAAAGATACAGAGGTTTCTGTGGTAACTGAGACCCATGTACAGAAGGTGGAACCCAAGGGCCAACTGCAGAAACCAGAAACCAATATTTCTATGGTAAATGAGAAACTTGAACCTCTCCATGCTGAGACTGTAGAAGAAGACTTGCCCACAAGAAAGGTGGAAGTGGAGGTCCACAAGCAGAATGCAGAGACTGAGACCCATAAGCAGAGTGTAGAAACAGATGGCCATGTCAAAGAGGTGGAAATGAAGTTCCTCGAAGAGAGGGTAGAAGCAGAGAAGGCAGAATTAAAAGAGGACTTGGAGCTTCCCACAAAGGCAGAAGCAGTGTCCCCCTCAGAAAAAGAAGTGGAGGAACATATAAAAGAGACAGAAGCACAGATCTCTACAGAAAAGGCACATGCAAAGTTGGAGACAGATGCCTGCACAGAGAAAGTAGATGTGAAGGCAGATGTAGAAAAGGTGGAAGTTGAGATTTCCAAAACACAGATGGAAGTGCAGACCTCCACGGACAAGGGGGAATCACAGGCTCCCTCAGAGATTATGAAAGTGGAGGACCCTATAGAAAAGACAAAAGCTGCAGCAGAAGAATCAAATGCATCTGTTTGTGTGGAGGCCATCACAGTGAAGCCAGATGTGAAAGTGCAAGCAGAGGTGCCTGCAGAGAAGGCAGAAACAGTGGCCTCATCAGATCAGCCAGATGAAAAGCTAGATATGGAAACTCCTTCAGAGAAGGTGGATATAGAGTCTGCTGTAGAGATTGCCAAGGAAAAGAGTCAAGTGAAGGTTCCTGCAAAGAAGTTGGGTGCAGAGGACTCCGCAAAGAAGGCAAAAGTGGCATCTGTAGAAAAAGCAGAAGGTGATATTATTCTTAAAGAGAAAACAGAAGCCCCCATAGAGAAGGCAGCCATCAAGGCTGGTGTGGAGGTCTTTGCAGAGAAGGAGGATGCAAAAGTGGAAGTGAAATCTCCTTCTGAGAAAGTGCATAAGGAGGTCTTTTCAGAACAGTCAGAAGAAATTGTGGAAGCAGAAACCACTGTCACCAAACAGCCAGAGGTAAAAGAGATCCTGAAGAATGTGGAGAATGAGGTCAGTTTCAACTCTGAGGTTGAAGATACTTCAGATTCCCTAGCAACATCTGTTGAGATAATTTATGATAAAGCCTCTGTAATTAGTGACAAGACTGAAGCTTCTGGGCAGAGAGAAATGCAAGATGTTTCCCTTTCCTTAGAATTAAAATGTTTTGATGCAGTTGTTACTGAGGAGCTTTCAAAGAACGAAGTAAAAGATGACTCTCCCCTAGTAAAAACATCAACAGAGCAAGCTGTAGCTGAGAGATCTGTGGAAAGGGGACTAGTTGAAGTCTCCACACCTGATCAAAATGCAGTGGATGTCATCCAGAAGGATGTAGCAGATGCCAGCCATACCTTGAAACTGGAAGGCACAGAAGGAATTGCGGTTGACGTTCCAAAAAGTAAAGAACACACACTTGTAACTGCAACTGAAGGATCTGTGCAGAATGAAAAGGAAGATGCACTTACTTTGGGATCAAAACACACTGAGGCTGAGTTAACAGAGGACAGCACTGTGAAAAGTGAGGCAACTGTGGATTTGGTGAAAAAAGAGGTTGAAAACAGAGAGCTAACAACTGAAGCGAAATTCACAGGAATTGTAGCAACTGAAGCAGTAAAGACCAAAGTTGGAGACACCCTCATCTTGGACTCTGGTGCTTTATCAGATGTCATCTCAGAAAAGAAAGGAGAGAGTTCTGTCACAGAAGGCAGTGAAGCAGGTATAAATGGCGTTTGTGTACAGAGTGAAGTGTGTCCTCGTAAATTGCCCCTGGAAACAGTCCTTCCACTTCCACAATCTGCCACAGTTTCAGATAGCTCTGAGAGAAGGCAAGCATTGTCGGAGAAGGTGCTAGTAACAGAAACAGAAAAATCAACAGGGAAAATTGAACTTGCTGATGCTGATGCACTTTGTGCAGCTCCAGTGCAGCAAGAAGTGTTCACTGAGCAGCAGGAGGTTATCACCACTGACATTCCTGAAGTACAAAGTTATGGAGTTCATAAATCCTCTGTAACAGTAACAGCTGCAACAGCCGAAGAACAAGTTGTTGCAGAGAATGCCACAGTTACGGAAACATTAACTGAAAACCTGCAGTCTCTCCTAGAGGAGCCAAAAGAAACCACGTTCAAAACAGTTCAGCAGGTGAGCTTTGTTCAGCCAGGACTTGGGGCTCTAGGTCCTGATAAGGATACAGTGTCATGGTCTGGGAAAGCAAATTCAGTGGTAGAGGAGGCAGTTTTAGCAGCAGTAACATGCACCAAAGATGATTTGATCCAGAAGTCTGTATTGGATTCCAGCCCAGAAATGAAGCTTCAGAGATTAGAATCAAGTCAAGAAGGTGGAAAAAAGACACCTCCAGAAAGAAGCCCCTCTTTAACTCATATAGAATTTCAAAAAGATGTGGTTCAATCGGTGACTATAGAGTCACAGAGTACAAAAATTGTGCTGAAAATCATCCAGAATGCTGTTGATACATTGGAGGAAACAGAAGAGTTGCCATCTGTGTCAAAGCAACAGAGTGAGCCATTTCTAAAGGGTGTAAATAAATCTGAAATTCAGGAAAGTTTGCAGACTGGTCAGATTCTTCCTGTAAAAGGCAAAGGAGAGAAAGATCTAGAGATCCAGCCATCAACTATAATTTTAACTCAATCTGCAGAGAATCAAGAGGGCTTCAAAGTGGCAGAAGAAATGCCTTTTGCTTCTGATAAATCTGAAGACGCTAAAGTGAAACTGATGTTGCAGCCAGATGAACGATCAGGTGCTGTGACAACACTAGCACAAGACCCTCAATCTCTGAATGAAATTGTGAAAGAAATTAAGCAAGAGACAGATTTCCAGAAAGAAAATGGTGAACCAAAGCTGCATTCTGCAGGGGATACAGCCACTCCAACAGAGATTCAGAGACCAGCAGTAGAAGATACTGCCTCAGGAGATCTACCCAAAGAGTCACTTGAAGTGGCCCAACCAAGGCTGACGGATGTAGAAGCTGGGCAGACTGTTCAGATCCAACAGCAGTTTATAGAACAACAAACACCTATGAAAAACAAAGATGACCAGAGCCAATCAACAGGATTCGTGGAGACATACACAGAGAAAGATGTAAATAATCAAGACTACACCATCAGTGAGAGTCCACAGCTAAGCTTAGAGCTCATTGAATCCTGAGGTTTAATGTAAGTACTATTTAAATTCAGAATAATTAACTATTTTCAGTGGCTTTTTAAGCTAGATAATTGAGCTAGATAACTTGCTATCAGAACTACAAATTATGGTCATATATTTCATTGTCAAATGGCTTAGAACAGGTTTTCAGTTTCTTATTTGAGAGACTGTACTTAGTATTTTTTTAGAAATATCTCTAAGCCGTCTTTTGCATTCAATTGAACTTCAGAATTTAACTTTGTTCCAGCAGTTAACAAGTTTCCCTAATATGCAGGCAAATATGGGACAAAGTTTGACTCCTTGTGCATATGCTTGCCTTCACATGGCCTGGTTAGCGCCTAATGGCACGATGGGAGCTGGGCTGGGAAAGGTGCAAAACAACTGGTTTTCTAAATGTGCACCAGCATGCTGGCTTGCTTGTACTAACCCATTCTTTTTGCCTAGAACTATGTGTGAACTGAGCCTGTGAAGATCCATTATTTTGCCATCACTTTCAAAGGATGTTATTTAAAAGAACAGTGAAACCTAGAGGAGGAGGCCTTCACACAACTTAAAGCCATATACAGCTGTGGCTAAATAGGAAATGTTCATTTCTGTAATTATAACAGATGGCTTTATGGCATTGTCCTAGTCTGTTGTCCCCCTGAATGATGCAGCAGGTTAACAGGATATATTCAGAGCCCCAAGTTTACTCAGGTTTGTAGAAGCAACTTGAGTCTCTTACCCCTTTATTAAGGTGGTCTGAAACTCTTCTTACCATAAGGTTCCTGTGAGGCTTAACTGTACAGTTTTAATCGCTACCCAAACTTTTTAAAAATACACTTTTCCCTCTCCCTAGGATACATCCAGTGACCAACACCATGTAGTTGCTCCACTCACAATGCTGTTTTAGCTGCCCCCACCTTAAATCTTATCTGCTGTGGCTGGGCCTGTATTTGCTGTTGTGTGTGCTTGCCTCTCCTCTGCCATCCCACATATTGCCTTATATGCAGGTGGGAGCTGAGTCAGCATCTTCAGGCTGTTCTTGCAGCCAAACCACGTCCTCTCTGGCACAATAATCAGATCCAGTGAGATAGCAGCCAAGGCTGTTCCTGGCTACCTCCCAATAGGTTTCTTAATGTAAAAAGAAGAGTCAACCGCATATTCCGCAGCTGTGCTTAGAGCATACCTATCACAAGCAAACTATCGGACAAATCAAAACACCGGTTAAAGCTAATCACTGCTTGCCTGCTTCTTTTGCTTACCGACTACTGCAGGGAAGATGAACCTGTGGTTGTCCAGATGTTATTGGAGTTCAGTTCCTTCAGTTTCAGCCAGCATGGTGAAATACCAAGTAAGGGTTGTAGTCCAACATCTGGATGGTCACAGGTTCCCCACCTTTGCACCACTGCATTCTCCCTTCTGGCAAGGGAAGGTTAACAATTCAGCCTTATACAGGCTTCCTCAAACTCGGCCCTCCAGATGTTTTTGGCCTACAACTCCCATGATCCCTAGCTAGCAGGACCAGTGGTCAGGGATGATGGGAATTGTAGTCTCAAAACATCTGGAGGGCAGAGGTTGAGGAAGCCCGGCCTTACAGCTGGGTGCTGGAGGCAGGAATAAATTACAGCGGTACCTTGGGTTAAGTACTTAATTCATTCCGGAGGTCCGTTCTTAACCTGAAACTGTTCTTAACCTGAAGCACCACTTTAGCTAATGGGGCCTCCTGCTGCCGCCGCGCCACTGGAGCACGATTTCTGTTCTCATCCTGAAGCAACGTTCTTAACCCAAGGTACTATTTCTGGGTTAGTGGAGTCTGTAACCTAAAGCGTCTGTAACCTGAAGTGTATGTAACCCGAGGTACCATTGTACGCTGCTTATATCATGAGATTTTGCTAACTTTTCCAAGCTGAAAAACACACCGTTAGCCCCTTTTTAATGCTACCTTAGGTTGGTGAACAGTTAGTCTGTCCTGCCTTTAAGGGCTTATGACTGAGTCATCTCCAGCCTGGGCAGTTTCCCACATAGTGCCACTGTTGCCAGCCGCTGCATAGCAGCATCATGCTTAACTACTGACTGCTTCCATTGATGTGGCATCTAGATTTGGTTCATGATGTGCATAGAAAAAATTCCATTATAATATGATGGTACTGCCATCACTCTGGATAAAAGGCTCGGGCAGCAGGATTTTGTTGATTTTTCTTTACTTCTGTTTCCACAGTTCTGGAAAAGTTGTGTCTTTATATTTGGAGGGACCAGTTCCTGAAGCAGCAGCAGAAGATAATGGATTCTGTTTAATTGGGTTGAAGGTCACTGATTTGGAACAGAGAACAGATGTCTGATGTCATTCTGAGAAATATACCTGACAATCCTGAGATACCATCAGGAGCTTGAACCGTCGTCTTTTACTATTGATTGTCAACACTTGCTCTTCACAATATTCTTTTATATTTTTTTGCTGATGAGTTGGAGTGGGGGGCAGAAAGTGTTAACTTTTGCTGAAATGACGTCCATACCTTAACCTGGGGAGGAAGTTGGCATCTTTTAAGCTCCCCATTTTATCAGTGCTTCCAAAACTGGATTGTAATTCTTTGTGTATTTATGTGTATATCTTCAAGCAAAATCCGATTTTAATGTATATTTCCTCCTCTTTATATGTGGAAAGAAAAAGACAAAGAAAGAAAGAAAGAGAACGAAAGAAAATGATCTCACTTGTCTCACCCAGTAAAGAAACAAAATATGTGACCAATAGGGAAGAATTGTGAGTTGAGCTACAGTTGGCCACAGATAGATCAGAATACATTTGCATTGGCTTTCCATGGTGTAGAATGGTGTGAGAACCATGTTCAATGTTGTATTGGGTCTTGATTTGGTACAAGTCATACTCAAAAGGCATAGTTTTGCTTTGGAAAAGTTGTGTTACTGGTTTACTAAACAGGACTTTATTTTCCACCACCTTTTATAAGCATGGCACTATGGCATTGTGTGTTGAAAATATGTCAGTTACATTCAAATGGAGAGTTAGGCGTACTTAAAAAGAAAGATTTCAGTGTATTTAAGCCTTCCTAAGTCTGCATTGACTTTCACATTTATCTGAGTACAGTTTAATTCTAAGGGAAAGTGGAAAGTCTTTAGAAGCCAGACAAATAGATAGCCCCATCAATGTTTCTTCAGCCTTCCCTTAGTCCATTTAAGAAACTGTCATACCATCATAACTTTAGGCAAATGCTGAACTGGTTTGAAGCTATCAAGAAAAATAAAGATGGTTCAATTTTTAGTGTAGCATTTAATGCTCTCCTGTTTTTGGAACATCCATGTCATGAAGTAAGACAATTTATTTTCAAAAAAGTTTTTGATGAGTAAAGGATTATGTTTCCTCTATATGTGTGTCCCCTCAGTAGGAAAGTATATTTCATTATGCTCGCGTACATTTAGAAAACTCTGAAAAGTGAATTTAAATTTCTGAAAAGTGATTTAAACAAAACTTTGGCTTATACTGAGCTTTGTGCTCTTAATTAATAATTTTAAAAGCCCCACAATTTAGGAAACGTTGAGCAGGAGTCACTCTTCTGTTTCGTTAATGGAGAATTGCAGAGTTTAGTACTGGTCAGTATAGGTTGTGCATAAAACTGGGCAGGCTTGAAATGCTAAATAATTGAAAGGTAATTAAAATATTCAAAGCATCTAGTGTTTGATCTTCTAGACACCAAACATGCCTAGAAGGTCAAGTTATATTGCACTTTGTAGCCTTCGTACCTGTCTCAGCTGTGTCTTGCATGGCTCAGCAGCCTCATTGTCCTACATGTATAGTAATTTATTTGAAAATTATCTAAGTGAGCCAAATAAGACCTTTGGGGAGCTGCACAATGAGTAAAGAAAGAAAAATGTCACTGGTCTAATAGTACCATCTAGTGGTTGCTGTATGCATAATGTAGGCTAACAATACTGCCTTTCTTCAAATAGAATATGGAAAGTTGTGAGTTTTTTAAAATTCATCTAACTTACCTGGAACAGCTCTGCTAATAAAATGCAAAATAATAATATGCAATGTTCTCAGTGTATTGGCAAAATTTGCAGTTCTGCGATGAAGTAGCCGATTTATGAAAATTAAAAATGGAACAATGCTTTTTATAAACCCTCTTAAAAGGTATAAAGACAACAGGGTTTCTTTGAACACCAGAAAAGTGAAACACTAATACATCAGTTTGTTTCAAAATATAACTGAAATAATTTTAAATAGCTAGGTGGATAAGGAAGGTGAGTGGCCATTCTTTAAACATGTACAGTATCTACAGCCGTTCTTTCAGTTTCAATTACTACCTTCGCTGACGAAGATCCACTGGTGTCACAGTGCAAGAAATAATAACATCATTTTGGTATAATCATTGAACCCTTTTGGATTACAGAGTTGCCAAACTGGCAGCCTGGATAATTGTTTAGCTTTCAAATTAGCCCATGAGTTGGGCCAGGAAGTACTGAATAGTAAATTGCGGTGGGTGGGTTCCCCCATCTCTTTACTGGCAGCTATTTGAGCAGTGCTGCCAGAACAGATGGCAGCTGCTTGCTAGTAAGCCTCTTCCATCTGTGTCTCTTGATTGCAGCTAGTACACACGGTGTAACAGTGGCAAGGTATTCTCTCCCAACCCACCTCCCTAGGCCCATCAACTGAAGACTCCATGTATCTGCTAACTTTTCTCCAAAATGATGGCCTCCCCCCCCCCCCCATCACACCACTTTCGTGAGCAGTTTGCTTGTTCAGTTTGGATCAAGTTTGGGATAAATGTGTCTTACATTTGTAAGACAGGGTAGGAGAGAATAATCAAAACCAGTAACCCTTTCACTCCTAGTGGGTGCTAGTCCATGAGGCCTCTTTACTAATCAAAACAGTGAGCTGGTGAATAGCACCACAGCAATCTGTCTCCCTGAAAAGTAGGTGGTGTATGTATCTACACAAGTTAGCATGTGCCTCCTTCTGGACTTAGTGTGATAAGATACGAACTTCTTGATATGAATGAATTTGTAAGAAAGTTTAGTTTATTCAGTGCAAAATGGAAACTTTAAAAAGTATTGGTTAAAGCTCAATGGCCTCCAAGAAGAAGAAAAAGAAATACAGGTAGGCGCTTGTTTGTGGATCAGTTAGATGTATTCCATGTGTGTGTCTACAATGTGTACAAATGTGTAAAACATTCAGTAACATGGTGTGTTCCAAAATCATTTGGGGGAATCTTTGGTTCTCTCCCACCTTAGTGGCGGCTTCCCCAGTTAGAGTATGAATTAGAAAGTTTGTTCTGATTGCCAAATGCTATTTTGATCACTTTCATTGTGTGCTTTACAGCAAGTCTGTCAAAGTCATTGTCCCTGAACTTCATGTGGCCTACCAGTTATGGGTTTAGTAGATGCTTGATGAACCTTTCATAGCCGAAGGGGACCTTGAAAGAAGTTTATCTCACACCCGGCAGGCCACAAAACATGGCCTGTGAATTTCACAGCCCTGTTTTACAGTGCTAAGCAAATGGAAAACCCGCTGTGAAATGTAACGTGTGTATGGAAAGCCATATTGCAGTAGCTGCAACAAGCTAAATAATAATAATAAAACAATGGCATGGCCTATGTTATCCTGGTTCTAATCTTTATAGCTCTGAGGCTGTTAATAAATATGTAAAGTTATCTAAACATTTAAATAAAACCTAGTAATCACAATGTAAATTACCTGGCTAGAAGTTGGGGAACAAGCGCTTAGTTCTTGCTTGGGTTTTTTTAAAAAAAAATACTGATCTAGGGCCTTTCTAAGCAATGCAAAGAACACAAATCACATTACCAATATTTCTGCTTTTAACTGACCCGTCTCCAAAAACCAAAAGCACCAATAGATTTTTTCCCCATGGTGCAGGGAGCATGTCTCCATACACAGATACTGCTTTGTTACAGTGTATTGCTTTGGCCTCAGAAATACTCAAGACGAGGCTGCAAACTTTTAGCTTGTGCCACAACTCCAAGCTTTTGCAGTTTCTTCTTAATCCAATGTATTGGATTAACCGATACTTTGATTTTATATGTTGTTTTTAAGGTAGATTTTCATGGACTAAATAAAATACAAACACAATTCATGCTCACTGTGTCCTTTGTCATTCTTATAACTGCTGTTCTTTGTAGTCTCGTTGTCATCACACTGATGGGATTTGTACCTGGGAAGAGCAACGTTGAGAACTTCTAGCCAGGGAACTAGCATTCATCTTTTCCTGAAAGCTGAGGGGCCCATGAAATAACACCATTACTCCACTGATCCCCAAAAAATGGTGGAATGCACCAACTGGGTAAGGAAAAATCAGGCTTTGGCTTGTGACAAGGACCACTTGCAGAAGCATTTTCAGGTGCACATAAAGCTGTGGGATTCCCTACTGCTTAAATGCCAAATTGCAGCCTGGGCATCTCGGAAATACCAAAACCTTTTGGTTTAAGACTAAATTGTGGTTGTGGGATTTTAGTATAGCTTGCTTTTTGCAATCCTGAAATTCTCAGTGGAACATGCTTTTATGTACATATATTTAGGGTCAGGTGATTATCTGCATTTTTATTACATAAAAAGAATTCATGATATTGTTGCAAATAACCATGAAATAACCCTTGCTAAATATACACTGGCAGCAAGCGTTGAAGCAATCCACCATATGATCCACACTAATGCAGCTACAGTAAGATTCTGTGCAGTTGTTTCATTTATGAAAATTGCTACCAATGGAGCATGTTCAGCAATTCTGAAGACTTGCAGAAGAGCATCTGGTGTGTTTGCGCCAATTGTGCAATGGTGTAGCAGTTGTAACCCATCCATATTTCTGGACAGTGCAGCAGCTTAGGTTCTTAGAATGTGAACATCTAGAAATGGAAACATTTCTGTTTTGCATTAGTATTGTCTTTATAATATCTGTCCCAATAACATTTGCACTCTATGCAGTTTAGTTCCTCCCCTTTAATCCACTGTCATTCAAATAGCTTGTCATTCCTAAAGGATTTTGGAGAGCCAAGTCCTTACTGCCTACTAGTACAAAGCAAATATTAAATGAGATTAGATTAATGCAGAATAAACGAAGAATTGGATTTGGCATGCCCATGATCCTGCCGTTATGCATGCAGACATCTTTTGCAATAGAAACAGTGTGGTGGGGTATCGCATAACAAACCCTGCTATTTCAACTCAATAGACTTGACAAGAGAAGCTTGGTACAATCTCTGCAAGCTTTATGAACATGCCAAAAGGGCAATTACATTACAATTAGAATAATCATATCACCGAACCAAAAGGTAAACGTACACTGACCCAATCCAGCTAAAATGGTGATTTAGGGTTGAATTTAGAGAAAAATTGAGAATGTGGTCAGTCCCTGATCCCAATCCACCCCCCCACAAAAGTGTCTCCTCTTAAGTAGCCCATTTGATTTTTAGATCTCACCGCCTCTACAAGCTTCACTGTGCCACAAGCCACCCCATTCACCAAGTGCCTTGAACTGCCAACAGGTTTGGGGAGGGAAAAGGGGTTGGGGAAGTCTACAAGTACCTTTCCATGGCTTTTCACTGAATTTAACCCTTAGGTAGCAATCATTTGCATATATCTAGGTGTAAGACCCTTTGAAAGCAGTGGGACTTCTTTCTGAGTTTTTTTTTTAAAAATATACTTCTAGTCAATCTTTTAGAGTGCATCAAAAAAGGGGGGGTTCAAATTAGCCTGTGGAAGGCATTCCAGATATATAGCCATCATGGTACCAACTTAACTTCTTTCACCAGTGAACCAGAGCTGATTAAAAGGTTAGGTGCCTAGAGGTACAGGTGATCTTTCTAAGTAGCCAGGTCCCAAACTCCTTACAGAGCTGTGAAGGTTAATGCCATCACTTTATAAATTAAATGGAGCCTGGAATTTAATAGGCAGCAAGTAATTTGTGCCACTGACTTCAGTGAGGCTGTGTGGGTCTGAGTAGCCCCTTATGGTGAACAGCCAACCTGTACCACTTGAAATTGCAGGTGGCAAAACGTATTTTATTTCGCCACTTTGTAAATTATTTCCTATAAATAGCACAGCAAGGAAGGGGCTCGACTAGCCCCTTATTCCCTGTTGTACCCAAAGGGAGCTTGGTTTAAACATGCAACACATGTCCTTGTAGTCTGAACTGGTATAGCGTGCACACAGGCTAGCTTTGACATTTTCTGGAGTGGGGCTCTGTCACGAGTGTGAGGCAGTGTGCTTTTTAAATTTCTGGGGTCCAAGCAAACGATAATGGAGTAAAGGGCAGGAAGAGTGGGGACACACTCTGTGTATAGGTCTTCACATGCAGCTTCCTGGATCAGGAACTTGGTGGACTCTGAGCTGCAGTCATGAAATCTGATAACTATTTAAGAACATGCTTACCTCTAGTCCTTCTATTTTTTAAAGAGAAAGCCTTATAGTTCGATTCTATCCCTTCACACGCTTGATCTGATGCAAGCACAGGCCCGTGACAGAACAGTTACATTCAGTGTGTCCCTTTCCAGAGCGGCTGTGCAGTGACAGGCCTTAATTTGGGGACATAAGAGGCCCATGATCGCGAACTGCATAGACTTTCCCCTCGCAAACACACACATTTCCCACATCAGTTGTTCCTGCTGCTTTGGCCCCCCAAACAGCCTCGTGCTGCATGTTGAGTCCATTTCTAAGATCTGCACAGCATGTACATATGATCAGCTCACATTCAATCACCTTTGACTTGACAAAAATCAAATTTTATTTTATACCTTTTTTATTCCATAAAATAATGTATAAAAACTTACAAACTGGAAAACATAACTAGACACAAAATAGGATGATACTCAAATAAAACATGTATACAAAAGCAGATTTGTATCTGCCTCTCTCCCCCATCAAACACACACTGCCCCCATTTCTGGTGGAATGCCTCTGTTTCTTGAAACTTTCCCACCAGGACAATTGACCTTTCAATGGACTCCCTCCTCTCAGGTTATTTATACTATTGGAGAATATTATTATATTTATATATTAAAAAGATAAAAATCAGCAACTTGATTTTAAATTTGCATACGGTACTATCCAGAGCAGAAACTTGAATGTACACTGTGTCCCCTTTATTTATTTTTTGCACTTTGACTGGTGCCCAAATTGAAGGAAAATAAAGAATATATAGCTTTCCACTCAATGTTGCACTGTTACTTAAAAACCAACCATGATACAGTTTCATCATTATACCATTTGCTATGTTACAAGAGGATGCCAGTAGCTAAATATTATTTAAGACCAGATTTCCTTTCCCTTAATTCCTACGTTAATCACATAAACTCAGATTGCTGCTTTGATAAAATAAAAAAGCCACAATGTTTTTCCTTTTTCAGTTACACTATAAAGGCTCAAATCTATTATTCCCACATTTAGCACAGGGCTCACTATGTACAATTCTTCTAATTTCTGATTTCCTTCACGTTTTGGGTGATAGCTCTGTTCATCATTATCAATTACTAGTCAGCAGGATTAAAAAAAATGCATACACCCTGTACCAATTCAAATGTAAATATGCTTTTAAAAAGGACCAATTTGTGAGACGTTACAAGCAGTGGCCAGTTTGGAAAGGGTGCATGCACACATTTTACCTGCATTTACCTGAAGTACATACACACACATACATACATTTTTATGCATATAAAACGATTGCCATCACATTATTACTGCTATTTTAGCAAAATCTGGTCCTAAACACATTTATCTGGAAGTTTTAAGTCCCACTGCAGTTAGTGGGGTTGACTACCAAGTCACTGTGCTTGGAGTCAAGCCTTAATAATACATTTTTAATGGACATAATGTCAATGAAGTTACCTGGAAACAAACACTTGACAATAATCATGTGGATTAAAATAGTGTTCTTGGTTCATTAAGGGAATTTCCAAGCTTTTGTAAAATGACAACTTTACACAGCTTATAAGTGTGTAACCATGAGAATTTTGTATCTTCGGTATTCCCTCAAAATGCTATTTGTTGAGAGAAAATATTGTAGTTTAATGAACATGTTTAGTTTCCTTTCTGTCTTCTTCTCACATTGCATCTCACTGCATTCAAGTATATATATATAGAAACAGTCTTAGAACTCGCTTAGAGTATGTTACAGATGCATTTTAGCATTATTCACATAGTTAGCTGAGTTACCCTTATACATTTTCTTCTTGGTTAAAATCAATTGTTATAATGTGATACAACACCCTTTATTAATTTTATACTTTTGCTGGAAAAAGGAACAGAGCCAGACTTCCTTCCATGTCAGTGTAGTTATGGTTGTGGGGAGGGGAGGAGGATTGGTTTAGTAAAAATGAGTAAGACAAACTGTTTTCTTAAAAAATAATAATGATATGAGCCTCACAGTCAGTCTAACAACACTGCTTCCTGTTCTTTTTTGATAGAGTCTAAGACCGAATGGTCACTCTCTGTGGTTTCAGCATCCCCACCACCTAGCAAAATGGATCTATCCTCGTCTAGAGTAAAGACAGAGTTCTGACTTTGGCACGAATGTTTGACGACTTCATTAGGCGTGGAGAACGTTTTGTCACACAAGTTGCATTTATAGGGTTTGTTGGTCTGTACCAACATGTTGTCCATTTGGTTGCCTTCCTCAAAAGTACAAAGCTCCAGAGTCTGCTTGTCCACCATGGTGTAGGTGTCCATGCTTTGGTTTAGACATACATGTCGAGCAGCTTGATTGGCCCGGCAGAAGCTTTTGTCACAGGTGCTGCACTTGAAAGGCTTGCCAGTATGAATGTACATGTGCTCCCTCCAGTGGCTTTTCTGAATAAATTTGCGCCCACAAATGGAACACTCGTACTTCCGCCTTTTAACTTCCCTTTCTTGATCTGCTTGCTCCAAGTTGTCTATGTCAGCAATGTCAGAGGGTGGTGGTGTTTCAGCCTGCGGTTGTCCATCAATGATGGGTGAATCCGAGATCTGCTGCAGCTCGCTATCGCTAATCATTCCAGCTTCAGCAACTTCCATAGAATCTTTTTCAGGAGCGTTATTACAAAGAGATAAAGGAACGCTACTTTCCCCGTGCTGGCTTGATGAGAAAGGCACCCCTGTGTGAATCTGGAGATGCTCACGCAAACTACTTCGCAAATTGAATCGCCGACCGCAGAGGTGACAAGCGTAGTATTTGGGGAAGCTTCCGTTCTTTTTCATAATGCTTGGCTTGACGTGCGCAATTGTGAGAGAAGCAGGCTGATCATCTGAGGAGGAGGCTTCCATGTTGTTTTCATCACCTGGAGGAGAAGGATGAGGAGCAGTAGAAACCAGTTCAGGAGACAATGGAGGCTGTAATGGGTCTGAAGTGGACATATTTGTTGGGGGCACTTGAGGCAGCGGTGGTGGTGGTATCTGTGACAGTTGGGTGGCTTCATGCATCTGTTCTTGATTTGCTCTTGATGACTGTGGCCTTGGTCCTCGAACAGGTTTGTCAGTTGTGGCGGCTGCTTTTGTGGAATTTCTTGCCTGGTGATCCGCAATCTGAATACCGTATAATGAAGATGCCAATGGAAAAATCTGCTCCGGGTGTGTAAAGTTTCCTTGACTGGCAAGGCTAGCCTCTTGAATAAGCGGGAACGCATGCAGAAACTTTATTCCTTGCTCCAATCGAACAGGATCTATGAGCTGAGGTGCCATTTTTCCAGTGTACATCAAATGTAAGAGATAGCTGAAAATATCTGGCTGTATGTCAGTTGCCTTCAAACGGACACATTCACTGAAAGAAATTTCAAAACAGTATTAAGGAGGAAGATAAAATGCTTCTGAAGGATTACAATAATCTAAGTATACAACTAAGTGCACAATTTTAAGTATACAAGAATGCAATCCTAGACATGTTCATATAAATAAAATAAATCTGTTATCATGGTTTAGGCATTACTTCTACTGCTGCAATATATATATATATATATATATATATAATCTGCAAAATTGTGATCTAATTTATTCCAGAATATATACCTTCAGGGCAGCAGTTCATGAACTTGATCCACAAACTAGTTAGGAGTGAAATCCACAGGATTGGCACTGTAATCTGGTTAACTGATTTGTGGATGAAGCTGGATGTTTAGTTATTGTGATTTATAAAGCAACTCACATTAGGCTGCCTTAACACTTTCTAATTCCTTCAGACTATTTTACCTTAACTAAATACCATTTTTAAAGTGTATTATTTTATAACTTCTGTACCTGCTTTGATGAACAAACAGCATCTTGAAATAGTTGGAAAAAGAGGCAAGGACAGATTTGTGTGCCTTGAAGTAAACATCACCAATAGCAACTGTACAGTCACACAGGAAACCAAACTCCCGTTGAGCATTGAGCTGCTGCAGAAGAATCAGTCCATGGTTGGCTAAATCCATCTTTTAAATTCTGTAAAGCAAATATACTTGTTTAAAACAATTTCCTCAAACATACTGTTACAGATCTGGGGTAAACAGAATTTGGGGATAAAAGGGCACCCATAACTGCTAGGGCTAGTGAATGTTAGAAATTAATAAATGGTAAAATTTAGATAATATTTGAAGTATTGAAGGGAACATGCCCAACATTAGGAAATTGCCCTGGGGAAAAGTGCAATCAAGGTGCAATTACCAGACAATGGCCAGTGATTGACCCTGTTCCTGAGCTCAGGGTATATAGCAGAGTTGGGAGGCGGAGGTTACAGGTGGTGTAATGTCACTAGGGCTGGGCAATATATTGTCCAAAACCAGTTTGAAGTCCATATCATGATACTGGTTTCATAATTTTTGACCTGACTATGATGTTTGTGCACGTGCGCAAAAAAACACGATGCGGGGGAAACTGTGAACCCAGCCAGTGCCTCTACAGAGCTCCATCCTTCTTTCATGATGTTAAGCGGGTTTATTTACACATACTGTATATACAACCTGGAGCCTACAATGGAGGAAGTTGGCAGCAGCAGCAGCAGCAGCAGCCCAAAACATGTCAGCTTATTCCATAGCAGCAACAACAATAAGCTCAGCACCATCTTTTCTCTTCAGCCTATCTTGCACTGCAGGGCACAACATAGCTTAGCAGTTCCTTTCTGCTTCCTGATTACATCAGTCCAGCCCTAACCTCATAGCTTCTTTCCTAGCCTCAGCTCTGGTCCCTCCTTTGCTATGCTAAAGCTAATTACCTCAAAGGGACATGGATGGTACTGTGGTCTAAACCACTGAGCCTCTTGGGCTTGCTGATCAGAAGGTTGGCAGTTCGAATCCCTACGACAGGGTGAGCTCCCGTTGCTCTGTCCTAGCTCCTGCCAACCTAGCAGGGTCGAAAACACCAGTGCAAGAGATATATAGATACCGCTGTGGCGGGAAGGTAAACAGTGTTTTCGTGCGCTCTGGTTTCTGTCACAGTGTTCCGTTGCGCCAGAAGCGGTTTAGTCCTGCTGGCCACATGACCCGGAAAGCTGTCTGTGGACAAACACTGGCTCCCTTGGCCTCAACCCCATTGTCGCCTTTGACTGGACTTAACTGCCAAGGGGTCCTTTACCGTTACCTTTTACCTACCTCAAAGGGGATTAACTTTTCACACATCTCTTTTGAGGCTTTGAACTTCAAATGGTCTATGCCCCTCCCCCTCCTTCACCTAAACAAGGAAATTAGTCTTTTCAATCAACACTTGTTGATTGGCTAGCATTACTGACCTGATACACAACTTCAGAAAACTGCCTAATTTAATTAGTGGCTTACCCACAATAATTTTTGATGCTTAGAATACATCACTTCCCACGGCACATAATTTGTAACGCAAGCCAAATTAAACACATCAAACCTTAATTAAATTATGGCACTAGCTTGATCTGGATTTTTAGGCTGTCTTGCACCCCAGATTATTAACAATATCCTGTGGCCAAGTTGCTCGCCAGGACAATGGTTGTAGCTTATTACACCACTCCTTGCCTGACTGTACTGTCTAAACTGCCATTCCTTGCCTGACTGTACTGACTACACCACTCCTTGCCTGACTGTACTGACTAAACTGCCATTTAGTTTCCAGGTCCAATTCAAAGTGTTGATTTTGATCTATAAAGCCGTAAATGGCTCAAGACCACAATACCTCAAGGACTGCCTCTTTCCATATGAACCTACCCGGACCCGCAGATTATCTTCTAAGGATCTTCTTCAAGTGCCTCCTCCACAAGATGTCCAGAGGGCAGCAACACAAAAACAGGTCTTTTCTCACCAGGCAACAACATTAGTCTTCCACCATGCCTTTGGCTATTTAACATCCTATACTCTTTTAAATGTGTTTGTGGAAGGGAAGGGTTTTGTTGTTTTTATGTATGGTTTTTAAAAAACTATATTGTATTTTTATGGTGTGAATCTCAGATCCTTGGATTAAGTGTTATATGCAAATGAGTGCTCACTGGAAGGACAGATCCTGAAGCTGAGGCTCCAATACTTTGGCCACCTCATGAGAAGAGAAGACTCCCTGAAAAAGACCCTGATGTTGGGAAAGATGGAGGGCACAAGGAGAAGGGGACGACAGAGGACGAGATGGTTGGGCATTGTTCTTGAAGCTACCAGCATGAGTTTGACCAAACTGTGGGAGGCAGTGGAAGACAGGAGTGCCTGGCGTGCTCTGGTCCATGGGGTCACGAAGAGTCGGACGTGACTAAACCACTAAACAACAACAACATTGCTATTCCAATGTACAGACCTGAAACACTTGGATTTAAAACAAAGGAGTCCCAGGGAATCTGGTGATAACTTAAAAGTTAAATATCCCCCTTTAACGGATTTGTTTTTCAGTCCAAGATGACCAGGACATTGGGTTTGGGGCACTAAATAAAAATCTGAGGCTCTTGTGGTTGTGATCCTGGTTCGTCTGCTACTGCGCGCAAACAGAAATTATCGAAATAAAAGACTTAAGAGCTTTAAGGCGCCGAATAAAAGTGGCAAATCCCGTCTGCATCCCGGCCAGGAAGGAAGCGGGGGAAAGGAGCATTTTGCAAACTAAGCGGCTGCTCGCTCGGCAAGGAAGCAGACCGTCCGGCTCCTTCTCTAAACAACCCACAAGAGCCAGCGAGACTCCGAGGCGGCGCTCATAGGCGACAGCCGGACGGAGAGAAATCAACAGCAACCAATAGCGGAGGAGCGCCGCAACCTTCCTTTTAGCTCCTCACCCGGCGTTTCCCGCGGTGAATCACGGGGTGCCTGCGCTGACGGCGTTTCCTATTGGCTGCCCGTCGGTGGGCGGGCGGGGGAAAGAGGACAGGCAAAGCCAAGCCGCCGCAGCCATCGCGCGCGCCCCCGGGCTCTCGCAGCCGCAGCTCCGCCTACGCCACGCCCCCTGCCCTCCCTCCCCCTCCCCTCGGCGACGCGAGGTCTCCACGTGCGCGTACACGCAGCTCCCGGAGGGGGGCGGGGCGTACGCGAGGACGGACGGCGGCGCGAGGCGACGTAAGCAGCGCGAGCGAGCGAGCTGCGGCGCCTAAGGCGCGCGAGAGACGGGATCCGCCGCTGTCGCCAGGGCCGCCTAGGCTGCTGAAGAGACGCAGACGGAGCCGCCCACCATCAACCCCCCCCGCCCTCCCTCCTTCTCGCTCCCTCCCTCCCCCTCCCTTTCCCGCTCCGCGCGGCTGCCTCAGCGCCCGCCCCTCCCCCCTCTCTAGGCCGGCCTGCTGCTGCTGCTGCCGCTGGTGAGAGAAAAAGCGGGGAAGGCCGCTGCGTAGCTCGGCGGCTCCGAGGGAGGGAGGGAGGGAGACCGGAGGGAGCGGGGAAAGCAGGCGCCCAGGGGCCCGAACCGAGCCCAGCTCACGCTGACCCCGCGGGCCAGGGCTGGTGAGAGCAGAAATCCCCCCCCCCTCGGGTCCTGACCGGGCGACCTTCCCACCCGCCGACCCCGGGGGGGGGGGGCAGCAGCCTCCACCGTCTCGAGGCCGCCGCCGGTTAGTCGCGAAATCTCCCTCAGGTGCTCGGGCCGCCCTTTCCCTCCTTTCGGGTCCCGACCTGGCCTAGCCCAACCGCCAGCACAATGGTGGGCATGGAGCGGGGTGGGGGAGCAGTCGGACGCCTCGGCCTCCTCCTCCGCCGCCGCTCACGCTTCCCCCTCCCTCTTTCCCCCCCCCGCCGCCCCGATTCACCTTGTGTATGCAGGGGGGGGGGGCAGACGGAGCTCACCTGGCTCGCGCTCTCCGGGAGCCCCCGCCGCCGCCTCGGCGCGCGCCCAGCAGCAGCAGCAGCAACAACGGAGTCGGAGACGGCGGCGGCGGCGGCTTTTCCTGTCCGGTTACGTTAGGGTCACATGACCGAGAGCGGAGCAGAGAGGCTGTGGCGAGGAGCCCCCGCCGGGGAGAGAGGCAGAGAGGAGGGGGAGGGGAGGCGGCGACGAGCGCTGTGGCGGCAACAGCAGCAGGAGCCACCCCTCCCCCCTCGCCTCCTTCCCCGCCCGCCTCGCCTCGCCTTTTCGCGCGCCGCTTCCAGCGAGCAGCAAGCGCAGGCCGCACCGGGCTCGGGGCGGGCGGGCGCTCTTTTGCAACGGCGGGGAGAGAGGGAAAAACGAAGCCGGGCCTGTCGGCTGCGGCTGCTTTGGGCTGTAATGCACCGACATAGGCGGCGTACTGGAGCGAGAACTGCATCTTCAAACATTCGCTCCATGCGATGTTCTCTCCCCCGAGCAGTTACAGGAGGGAGGGAATTGCCACGAGGTGGCCAAAACAAAAATAAGATACGCTTATTTGAGGGTAAGAAAGTAAAGGTGCGATGGGAGGAGAGCTACAGCAGCTAGGGTTAATGACCAATACTATTTTTAACGTGAGGTTTATTTATTTTCAAAGGATTGAATTGGCACTACAATATTTATAATATGCAATTTTAAGTGGCTACTTAAGCCTTGCTTAGAATATAAAATATGCTTACTCTTCAGTGCATTTTTGTAGGTGTTTATGGCGGGCCAGATAATATGTAATTTTTTGAATGTATCAAATCCCTTAAAAAAAGGGATCCAGTGGTGTCATAAGTAACTGAAAAAGTACTATGCCATAGTTGGCAGTATAGATATATAGGCCACAATCGGTACAAAAATACATGCATTTGGCTTGGCACCTGTTGAAATGTTTTGATTACATGTGGCTATTGCTTCCATGCTTTGTGGCAGTAGTCAAATGTCAGTTCACGACGAGTGCTGAGACTCTAGAACTGCAGTAAAAAAAAAAGAACTTGCTGAGTGGCCTTTTGTGTTTTTAAAAAAGGAGAGAACTCCAAATAATAATAGTGCATATGAGAATTAACCTAATCTATAAATGGCATCATCTTCCCCAAAGTGAATATGCTTCTGCTTGCTAGTGCTTTGAATAATAGGTGTCCTTATATCTGAAGATAGAAAGAAATGCGATTGCAGTAGTGAGTTCTCAATATGTAGGATTGCAGCTATAATACATACTTACAATATTTCCCCCCAGTCATGTTGAGGCATGGGTCTGGAATACTTAAAAATTGCTGAATTTGCTTTTGTTCCCTGAATTGCTTCCTGTAACAACTTAGGCTATTTGTGTTCTTCTGTATGATCTGTAGCTGTACACTGCCTTTCCTGTTAAGCTTCAAACATCTACAATGCTAGGTGTTACAAATATTATGTTGTAATGATATTAAGAGAAAAGGTTGCAGAATATTTTACTTACTAAATTTTAATCAAACCAGGATCTAATAAACTGTTCTATCTGCATTTATGTATTTACTGGAAGCTTGCTGTTAGAGAAAAAAGTTATTTGTTAGAAAATGTAAGGAGCCCATAGGATTTAAAATTGAAGATTCTGTTTTGTGTAGTTCTGTTGTGTGTCGCTATTCTTTGTTGGTTCCAGAAAGTTGATGTAGAGTTTTAAAACTGCCATAGGCAAAGGAGTTCTAATAATGTTTTGTTATGGAGTGTCAGGCTCCATTGTACATACATGTTTAATACATAATATTTGCATTTCTTTGATACCACTAATTTTATTATAGAAGTTCAATGGATCTGAAAAGGCTTGAAATTAAGTATTTCATTCAGACTGACTGACTTATACTGACTTAATCCCCACAGAATTTAGTCGGACTTAAGTGTGCATAAGGTAGTAGCCTCAGGTCTCATCCTTGTGCCCATACCAGGGCAGTCAAGCTTTACCAAATGGGCCACAAGACTACTTTGACATGGAAACCGTGGGCCGCACCCCCCCTTCCCATAGGCATCTAAGCAAGGAGTCAGGCTTTGGGAAGAAGGTGCAAGGCTCTGGCAGGGTCCTAGAGTCCTCACACCTCCTTCCCAAAGCCTAGTTAGCACTTCCCAGCTGTGGGAAGGAGGTGTGAGGACTCTAGAACCCTGTCAGAGCATTCATGGCTTCCTCCCAAAGCCCAGCACTTCACTTTACTGGCTTGGGGAAGGCAGTGTGAGGGCTGAGGTGTGTGTGTGTCAAATGTTGCTGAGGGTCACCCAGAAATGCCTCGAGATCCACATGCAGCCCTCAAGATGAGCATTGGATATATTTGTACATCACCTCACCCAACTGGTTCCCAGAGCAATTCAAAACAATTAAACAGTGCAAACCCAGAATAAAATAGTAAAAAGTAAGATTGAGTAGAACAAGTAGATAAAAACAAAGATTGTCCAGAGCTTAAAAGGCCTGTGGTAACAAAAAACATCTTTGCCTGATGCTGAAAAGATAAAACAGGCAGGGCAGGTATTCCTGGAAAGGGAATTCTGTAAATGTGGCATCCTTTCTGAAAAGGCTTTCCCTATGGTTGCCATCTACCTCTCATGAAAAGGAGAGGCTTGCTTGCTGACTTAAATCGTTGGGCTGATGGATGTCCTTTAGGAACCCAGTATTCAAAACGGTTTATGGTTTTGGAAATTTGCATCAATACCTTGAATTCTGCTTGGAAACAAACCAGCTGGTGAAGTTTTTAAGCCTAATGTTGTAATGCCTGTAGTTTGGTAGCTGTATTCTGTACCATCAGTAGCTATCATGCAAGTCTTCAGATGCAGTTCCACATATAATTCATTATAGTAAACAATACTGGGTGGTTTATCAGAGTATGAAGAATAGCCAGGCTCTCTCTGTCCAAGCCAGACTATGGCTGGTACAGCACTCACAGCTTATGAAAGGTACTATGTACCACAAGACACAAGATCCATAAACACACCCAGACTGAATCCTATCCTATAGGGTAGAGTGCAAACCCATCTAGAACAGGCTGAACACCCATCTCCCTGAGCAAATAAACTATCTGTGCCCAGAACCTCTGTTTTGTTAAGATGGTTTAGTGCTCATCTAGCCTATCACAGCATTTCAGTGATATACATACGGACTCCAAATCACTTCTGTTAAACCACACAGTAACAAGTAATCACATGTCTTAAAAACAGCTTTTGAATATCAGGTAGGTATACAATTCTAACCCCATCCCCAATGTTTAAAGGCTGAGCACTGTAGTTAACTGCTGGCATTGAGTCACACAGCTAGTTGTGAGGGGTGCTACCCAGGTGGGCAGAAGCTATCTCCAGTGGTAAGCCCTGAAGTGGTAAGTATCACAGGGGTGGGGTACTGGCAGTTTTAGAGCCAAAGCCTTGTGTATCCTTGGGCCCCACAGTTGTGCCAGCCTGGAGATGGCATGAAGAATTTCAAGAAACCATTCTCTCCACTTTTCAGCCCGGCTGGCATGAGCCAACAGTGTTTGGGATGTGGTGGTGTATCTACCATGTTTTTCCTCCAATCCCACCTAAGATTGCTCTGCTAGTGACTTCGCACCTGTCAAACCTTGAGGTATGCTTGCAGTCAGGTGTGCCAACTTGAATAAAATAGGGGGGTAGGTAAACCCCGACCCACATAATCACATTGCATGGCACACACCATTTGAATGGCAATGCCCATCAACTTTGCAGGGGTGTGACGCCCTCAAATATTTTATTTGTGGAGGCGAATGGGCCCTCAGCCCCTAGAAGTTAGTTCCTATGCTTCCAGTACTTAAGTGTTCATATGTAGTACTGTACTTTTCTCTCTATAACACGCAGATTTTTTCTCCTAAAAAGTAAGGGAAAATGTATGTGCGTGTTATTGAGCGAATGTGTGGTCCCTGGAGCCGACCCTCCCGAGTGCAGGGGCAAAAATCAGGCAAAAATCCAATCGCGCGCGTCAGGGAGAAGGGAGTGAGAGAGGAAGCTGTTGCTTTCCTGCATTCTGCCTCAGGGTCTTAGTGCCCACCCTCTTCTGTTTCGGTTGCTGTTTGCTCAAACGGAACAAAGAGCAGGCAAATCCCCTCCCCTCCAGGCAAGCAGAGGGGAAAGGAAAGGATCTCCGTGCTCCGGTGCGTCCGGGGAAGCATTTTAGGGACTCGCAAGCAGCCGGAAAACATGCAGGTGGGAGAGAGAGAGGGCTGGCTTAGGTGGGTGTGTGGGGGAAAACTTTTGCCTTCCTTTCCTCCCTCCCGTTAAACCCCTCTCCTGCATTCTTAGCCAGCTGCTTCTCTGCACACCCCTCTCGTGCTTCTTGTCCCTTCTGTGTTTTTCCTTCCCTCCCCACTTTAAAAGTGGTTACAAAGCACAGATCCACATGGATCCTCAGGATCTTTGCATTGGGTCACCCCAAATTCACCATCAGATCACATAGCATGTCCATGGCTACAGCCTGCACCAAAAAAATCACGCACCCACTGTTGCCTGGGACTGCAATGGTGCAAAAACGTGGTTACAAAGCATGGATCCATATGGATCCTCAGGCTCTTTGCATAGGGTCACCCCAAATTCACCATCAGATCACATAGCATGTCCATGGCTACAGCCTGCACCAAAAAAATCACGCACCCACTGTTGCCTGGGGCCACAATGGTGCAAAAACGTGGTTACAAAGCACAGATCCACAGGGATTCTCAGGATTTTTGCATTGGGCTACCCCAAACTCACCATCACATCACATGTCTGTTGCCACAGCATGAGGCACAAAAATGATACATCCACTGTTTAATTCAGAATTTCCCCCCCTTGTTTTCCTCCTCTAAAAACGATATGCGTGTTATGGTCAGGTGCGTGTTATAGAGCGAAAAATACAGTACATATCCAGGTGTTTGAAACAAAACATGAAAGTTTGCCTTCATGCACTGATTGTAGACTTTTTTAAAAAGCAGTTTCAAAAGGTCAGTTAACTTGTGCAATTTCCACATTAATGTGAAATAAATTAGCAGGACTTTAGTGTATGAGTTCTGCTTTTAACAATTGGTTAATGAGTTTTGAAATGTGAGACTTTGTATGTGTAAGAGCTGCTTTACATCTAATGTATGGAAATGATAAATATGCTGTGGCATGTGATTGGTTACTGGGTAAAAACAGTCATAAGACCAAAATATGCCTCACTACTTAAATTAAATGGTATAAAACAATAAAGCTACACATGTAAATTAAGAACAAGATAGAATCTGAGTATTGGTTGTGGTTGTGTGATTAATCTGTATGTTTTATTTGTGGTTTTTTTTGGTGGGAAATTGTGCTTCACACTCATGAAGAAAGGAATCTATATAGCAGTGATCGCGAACCTTTTAGACACCAAGTGCCCAAGCTGCAACCCAAAACCCACTTATTTATCGCAAAGTGCCAACACGGCAATTAAACCTGTATATCTTTTTTCCCCCTGTGTGTTTCACGTTTCTTCTTTATGACTGTTGTAATAAATAATGCTTCATAAAAGTTATTGCATTACATTCTTCATTAAATTATCTTTCCATTTATATATAATTTTATGGTATAACTCAGTGCTTTTTTTAAAAAAAAAAAGTTTAGGGGAACTCTCATTTTGACTCAAGAAAATCGTCACCAGGGGAAAAATAAATACAGTTCAAACTGGGAAAAATACAGTTCAAATTGGGAAAAATAAATACAGTGGTACCTCAGTTTTTGAATAGCTTAGTTCTTGAACTACTGGGAACCTGAACCTGTTCCAGTTTTGGAACTTTTTTTGGAAGCTGAGGAGCCCTGGCTGCCTTCAGTTGGTGCGGGGGCTCTCACATGCAGCTTCCGGGCTGCCTCCACCTTCCCCAACCCCAGCAACTATTCCGCCTGGCTGCCTTCACGGGTTTGCAGGGGATCTGATGCAGTGGTGAGGGCTCCTTTAAACTACTCCCTTGAGGGGAGTGCCGCCATGAACCCCTCAACGAGCCAGCACCTCCCCAGCTGAGCAGCCCCGATCCAGCTCCTGTTCCCATGCAAGCAGCAAGGCTGCCTAGCAGAGCAGTCCAATCCCACTCCTACTTGCCTGCAAGCAGGAGTGGAGGCAGGGATCTCTCAGAAGTGGAGCAGACAGGGTAGGGGGCAACATCCCTTGCCTGCTCGCTTGCCACCCCGGCCCAGCCTTCCCTCAGCCCCGGGGGTCGCAGGGCTGCATTCAAAATAAAAGCTGAAACTCCAGAAAATCACAAAGCCAACAAACTTGCAACTTGTGAAAAAGCAGCAACACAACAAATTGAAAAAAGCAAACCATTGCAAATGAATCAAAATCACAAGAAAACATAAAACAACACTGACCCTAATCCTAAGCCTAACCCAGTCCTCTCCTCACTCCTCCCCTACCCCTGTCTCGGAAGCTACAGCACTAGGGCTGCAGGCTTTGGAGCCGTCCTCCCCCACCCCCTGCACGGAAGCTATGGCCCTGCTGGGGCGCGCATGCCCACAGAGAGGGCTCTGAGTGCCCTTTCTGGCATGCATGCCATGGGTTTGCCACCACTGCTATATAGTCTAGCTGATCACTGCCTGTAAGGTTTACTGGAAGCACAGTAGTGCGTGTCGGGTGCCTAATAGGACTTCTTTGGCGATCACTAGGACTTAAGGCTGTAGCAGCTACCCATGGAATTGGACAAAATGCTGTTTTTCAAATATCCCAGCTGGACACAATCGTTACATGCACTGAAGGTTTGTATAACTTCTAATAATCTTACAAATTTTGGATTTATTTTTTTAAATACCTTGGGGATGTTAAATATTAGTGATTTTTTTTCCTTAGTGCCGAGATCAAGTTAGGACTTGGGAGAAACTTTTCTGAAGTATAAAACAGGAATGGGCCTCAGGTACGTAAGAGATCCATGCCCACTCAGATTTGTACACCTTGGGCTCAGTTTACACATTGAGGTGTGAGAGCTTGCTGGTAGCTTACAAGCTGTTGGGATTGGGCTCCCTTCTGTCAATTTGCAAGCCCTGAATAGAAGCCCTTTTGGGAACTCTGTTTTCCACAGCTGGAGCAATAGCCTCCATGCTTGGCTAAGGCAAACAGCTGCTTTAGAGCTAAACAACTAGTAGTGCTAGGATGATGTGTTAGTGAGACATTGGCAGCACATCTTCACACTTATCTCCTGCCCCTTCAGGTAGTGATGAGTTGTGAATGCTGGAATAGAGCCTTTGGTTTTAAACAGGCTGAAAGCATCCTTTCACATGGTTGGTTGCTATGTGAACCAGTTTCTAGAGGGATAACCATATTCTGCAGCAAAAACTAGACTTCCTAGCACCTTTTAAGCCTTAAGTTTACTAGGGACAAGCTATATCACTGGTTCATGCAGCCTAGTGGTGTATTCTGCCTAGCAGCTCTGATTTCAAGATAGGTGTTTCCCTGGCCTGCTAGCTGCGATCCTTTAAATGGGATTAAACCTTCCACTCTGTTTTGGATGGCAAAAATAAAAAAAATTATATGGCAAGCAAGAAAACCCTCTTAGGGTATTTTCATTTTGTCTGAAATTATTTCCTTTACATACTCAGTTTTCTCAAGTTATTAAAACTTCTAGGTGCTATAGACACACACAGTTCTCAAATCCTCATCTATTTCAAATTCCTCTTGTCTTTTGCAGTATAGGAAATGAATTTGCTTGTTCTTCAGTACATTGAAATAAAATATGCACTCACAAATGGATGTTTTTCCAGAGAGATGCTAGAAAAGAGGAATTGTAGCATATGCACCACCCCTGCCACAGTTACCTCACAGGTTTTCATATTTTGTGTGTGGTTCTGGATCTATAGTTCATCTCCGTATATTTGCCATTAAGTAGAATAATTTTCTCTTCCTGTTACTGGTTAATCCATTGCCCTAGCTGCCAAACTAAAATACGTTTAGAAACCTGTGAAGAATTTTCCTCCCTTCACACTTGCTGGAATTAAGGAATTCATGGTTGTTATATGAACACAAACAATACAGTTGTAGACAAAGTTAGTAAAAACACACTTCCTGTAGAAGTCTGGCTTATGGACTTTGTTTAGCTCACTACAGAATGAAAGATGAGCCTGGATCAGGCCAGTGGCCCATCTAGTCCAGCATCTCCACAGAGGCAAACCAGATGCCTGCAGGAAGCCCATCAAGGGGGCCTGACCACAAGTAACCCATGTACTGTAATCAATCTGAAACCAGAATCTCTGTTACTTTAATATGTGAAATAACTATGCTTAATTGTTGCTTTAAAATGCAGTTAGCATTTGATACGTAATTCAGAAAGTAGATTGTGACCATAAAGCACTGTTGACAAGGACACACGTTCTGGCACTTGTAAAATACAAATGTGTAATTAAAACCCCGTTATTCCAATTCAACCCATAAATGATAGAACTGAACCTTTTGATAAACTGTAGTTCAGTGGAGTCTCTGAACTCTCTTTGAAGTCCCCCCATTTTAAGAACAGTCAAGCATCCCATCATTAAGCAAGAAAAGGGATTAGATTCAGGATAATTTGAAGAATATCAAAGCTGCTACCCAGGATGTTAAGCCCAAATTTCATCATTCAACTGTGCTTATTTCCAGTTCATGTTGCCTTTCAGAAGTGGTTCAGTAACTTGTTCAACCCACTATGAAGCAGTTCAGATACATTTCGTACAGGTAATCAAATTCTGAGTGCTACATGAAGTGTAAAATGAGAATATTCAAACGTTTAAAACATGTCATTTCCTTGTACTAGTAACACACCCTACAGAAGTTTGTCATTTCACTTGACCAGAAAAACAAGCACACGCTAAGCCTTGTTGGTATGCTGCCAAAAATGGTGCCCTTGTTCTCTCCCTCTCATGTAGCATTTTAGGTACTCTGCATGCAATGAAGCACTATGATGAGTGTTTCCCAGCTCCCTCTTCAAATGTTTGGCTGCCAGTGGTGGTGGGAGAAACTCGTAATAACCTATCAAATCACAAGTGTACTTGTAACACTACAGCAGGGAGATTTTGCCATGTGAATGCTGTTTTTGGTGGGCGTACTGCTGGAGTGGGCCATCCTCAGTCTGCTTTTGTGTGTTCCCTAGAGCTATCTGACTTATTTTCCTCATACTTGTACTTGTTGTGATGAGGAGAGAAAACACTGAGTGAGAAGAGGAAGAAATATACATTACCACAACCATTTCTTGCACGCATGCACACACAAACACATTCACATTCCCCTACCTCCAAAGTAGTATGTGACACTTGGGGGGGGGGGAATTGCCCACTCCTGGTGTACTTCAAAATGCATAAAACCACAAAGTTTGATAACTATTGACGGGGGGAAAAGATGATGAAATATTTTATTACTATTGGCTATAATTTGACCACGCACTTCCTTTAGGATCCCAGGGCAACAAATAGATAGGCAGTTAAAATCTTGAAGGGATACAAAACAGTATTAGCAAAACAATTTAAAATACATAATTCACAGTACAGACAAGGAAGAACATGTCATCAGCCATTTTCACCCTTCCCCAAAGATCCAGATAAACAAATAGGCCTTTAGCTGTCAGTGGAATGATATTTGTGCAGGGAAACTAACTCTTAGGAGAAGATCCATAGGGTGCCACAGTGGAGAAAACCCTATTCCCATGTTTTCATTTTGACAAAGCCTGTTGGTTGGAGATTTCAAGTAGGACTAAGACATCTGTAAACATTTTGATGAAATTTATGCCTACACATTTATTAGTCCCGCTTGAAATCTCCCACAAGCAAACTTGATAACTGTTGCTCCTTGGAGAAGTAGGTTAAAGTCAATCTGAACTAGCTAGGTGCTTCTGATTGAAGAGACCGTCATATTTAGTGCATCATCTGGATAGAAATTTTGGGGTCATTCCAAATTTGAATATGGTTTATTTAGATCAGGACAGCGAAATAACTAATCAGAAAGAAACTGTTTGTGCTTGGTGTGGGGAGTTGAGATAAATGCAGGATAACTTACTTTCTGAGTCCTTTTTCCAATTTCCTACAAAATACATTCTCTTTTGTCCATGTCTCTAGAGTTAGAAGAGACAAATGCTCTCTCATCCTCAAAAGAATCTCCTAACTTCCTGGGACAGTTACTGGTTTTTCTGTTTATGGATTCAGTTTCAAGACTGAACCAGTTCATCAGTTTGGGCTCCTACTTCTGGCCCAGGCCAAGAGCCAGTTTATACTTGGCAGTGTAACATGGACATGTTTTTCCTGAGCTGTTCCTACGTATGCTGCAGACGGGGGAAAACATGTTTAAATCTTTCCCTATTTAAAAAACTGCACAAAACAAATTAGCATGTTTGGGAGAAGAGTTCAGCCTATTTTTCTCCCAACACACTTATTTTTCTATGGATAACTTATTCCCCACATACACAGTAGTACAATACTGGAAGCGCTTCCCTCAATTCTGGCAAATGTGTCACAGTTGTGGCAAAATACGCACCACACAGTGAGACATAACCCATATAAAAGCCTTATTTTACATGGCACAGACTACTGCATCATTACATAATTTCCTGCTATACAGCAGATAATAAAACTGCAAGTGTGGGTACAGCTTTAGTAAGCCAGTCTTTGGTTGTCTGCTTTCTAAACAAAGGTACAATATCTTAAAGAAGGATCAATATACTCTGAATCATGATTTCTTGGAAACAATCCCCAATTCAAGCTTTGGTTTAATCTCAGTGAATTCAATTGTTTCGTTAGCAGCAAGTGTCCATACATTTATTATAACACTTGCTGAACTTTTCAGAAGTGTGAAGAATAAAGTTGAAGTCCAGCAAACACAAGGCTGTTGGGATTATCTTCACAATCTTCTCAAACTTCTCTTATCATTCACAAGTTATCAGAAAAGAACTCTGCCAAGTTCAAACATGACCTGCAAAAGAAATAGAATTTTATTATATTTTTTCCCAAGTGTTTTCATTGGTAATGAAAGTCAACCGATCCAAACTCTTCCTTACAGTGGTATTTAAAACCACACTTAAAAAAACACACACCCTAATGCTAACTAATACAAATAGGGCCCCTTACTCCAGCACAAGCAATCTGTTCAGCAGCTAAAGGCAAAGGGGTGGTTAACATTTTCATAAGTGACGGAAGATTCTAATGTTGCTCACTCACCCATATAAGCCTGGTGGCTAGAAAGCTAAAGAAACAGGTGGGGAGGGGATAGGATGACAGGATAACAGCCTTCTTTCAGATACTGACTTAAAAGGTGGTCACTTTCATCAGCAGGTACTACTTGAATTGCTATTCAAAGTCTTCTGCTTTGCTCTCGCACTTGCACCTCAGTGTGTGGAGACTGACTGGGGCTCTGATTTTGTACATAGCAGTTCCTTAACTGGAGAGAACAGTTTCCAGCCATTGCTTGACTTAACAGGTGTAACTGCTGTTGATTGCCCCCAGAAACCAAATGCATTTGTAGTTTGCGAAATAAAAAGTACACAAATTCCAGTAACACAGGAAGGAGGTAATTACAGATCAATATGCATTCTTAATTTAGAAATGCATCATGTGACATAAAAAACAGTGTAGACAATGTAACTTGTGGCTTTCAGGGCATGTAAACTCAGAAAGCCATGAATACGCTTGGCACTTGAACTACATGCAGGTTACATACCATCCCATGATGGAATTTTGTGATGTGAAGACGTCCTAGATGACTAATTTTGATTTCTTCTTCTTACATATGGGTAAAAATTATGCTGGTGCAGCGTGGTGGCCAAGTTGCTTGTTCAAATCTCATTTAATCAAAGTCCCTATTCTCTCAGTTTCAGTTCGGCATTTATGATTTAGGGATAATACTGGCCTACTTTATAGTTCTGTTGCCAGAATCATCAAAATAATGTGTGTGAACCATTTTGAACACTAGAGAGTGCTATATCTACATAAATTCCTCGAGGATATTTACAAACTTCTCCCCAACTTTCCCTCATCATGTTTAATTAAATTGAAATTATATCAAGACGTGATTCAGTGAACTTGCTAACATTATAGGAAGTGATATACTGATTGTACTCACAAGGAAAGAGCTCAATACATGTTTGTTTCAACAAAGCTGTTAAGTTCATACTAACACTGCACAGCAGCACATTGTTGCAGACTTACCTCTATGGTGATGAGTATCACTATCATCCACTCTAAACGCAAAGCATGTTTTTCACTCAAATGATTTCTCATCAAATCTGTCAGCTCTGTGCAGTGCTGGAGCTTTTCATTCACCACCTGCAATAGAGGAACTGATACTTCAGAAATCCTTGGGTAAACAACTTGTTCAAGGTATTCTTACCTAAACAGCTTATCCACTGAATGGGGCTTAATGAACATACTGAAGTTTGATGAACTATATCAGAACTGATGTTTCTATCAATGAATGCAGCAGAGCACCCAACACCATAAAGTTAGCATTAGGAGTTTTGACATCTCAGTGTTAGCAGATTTATTGAACTGTCGTTTACAAATGTAGACCACAATGACTACATCAGCCGGAACTTTGTTCATTAATAGTTACTAAAATTGAACAGTTTCTAAAGTTTTGGGTTTAAGTAATGGAGGATGAAGGCAAAATCCAACTCAATCCAGTGCAAAGCGTCAACTTGTAAAGGATTCCCATAGACTTAACTGAACTATAATTTCTCCTCCCCTACATGCATGTGTGCATAAGCATGGGATAGCTGCAAACCATGAAGAATGAATTAGAAATGACTGCATTCCTCTCATATCTCCATCAAACACTCCTGTCTGTTCAATCAAGTGACAATCAAGCTGGACTGCCCTAACTGCAACATATTTTCAAAATGATGTCCCTTTCAAATGCATTTTAGCAAAAAGAGTGCAATTTTGGACTCTTATCACCTGGAGGGCAAAAATCAGCACTTCCTCAAGACCTTGTTTATATAATACAGCTCCTAGTTCTTACCAATGGAGACCCTTTTTCAAACCAAGTACCAGCCACATAGGAATCAGAGAAACTCACTAATGTAAGACTTGTACAGGCCTGCCAGAGTTTTCACAGGCAGCTATGGAACCACACCTATCAGCAGGAACAGCAGTTAATAGATTGTCAAAAGATTCATTGTGATAAGCAGATTAATATCCTTTAGGAGAGAAAACCTGGCTTCGTGGGAATCAGGTTACAGACGCCGCTAACCCAGAAATAGTACCTTGGGTTAAGAACTCTGCTTCAGGATGAGAACAGAAATCGTGCAGTGGCGGCGGGAGACCCATTAGCTAAAGTGGCACCTCAGGTTAAGAACAGTTCTTAACCCGAGGTACCACTATAACGCGGGATGAGTTTGCTATATGAGAAAACTATACTGTAATTAACAAAATTAAATACAATACCAGCAAGCCAGCTCTGAGTAGGAATGGAAAAAAACTGGACATATTACCCAAGAGAAAGAGAGAATAAGATTTCCAAATAGTTCACCTTGCTAAGAAAGCAAACAGAATACCAGTTTACTACTGGGATTGGGTTTTTTTGTTTGTTTAAAATTAATGGCATGAAGCCCCAAACCATGTAATGTTCTGCATGTGCACTGCCCCATGGAAGCCCTTTGCTCCTGGAAAAGATGCTCCCAAAATTTGGTGGACCCTCTGGAATGGCCTGTAAAGAGGGTAGTATACACCCTGTGAAGTGGGAAGAATCAACAATCCCCCCGCCAATACTAGGCAGAAGTATCTTCTAACTACACATGGGTCACTTTGAGTCCATGCCCATATTCTTGCTCATCAACAATGAAATACTTGTACACATCAAGTGCCTTTATTTACTTAAATTTATGTCCTGTCTTTCCTCCAAGAAGCCCAAGGTGGCACACACGACCAAGATGACCAAGAAAACAGAAGAAGAAAATGGAGAAGGATGAAAAGTTTAAGACTTCTTTGAGGTGAACCAATCTGTGAACAATTGGCAAAAACTGAAGTTTTCGCTGAGGCAGGAAAGCTGGAATTGTGTGCCTACCTTAACTCTGCGATTAATGCTGAGAAACTGGCAAGTTTTATCATATAACTGTTCAAGATGCTCTCTATCCCAATAGAAATCTGGAGTCATCAGCAGGTCGGAACTCAGATTTATGCGGTGCCTGAGGAAAGGTAGGTAAATACATAGATTCAGAGCAATTATGGGTGGTTCTTCCCTCCTAATCTGAGTTAATAATTATACCTAGGTAGTTCAGATGTAATGCCAAACCATGGTTTGACACAAAATGAATAAGCACTGGAAAACTCTCAGGCTTACACAATCCATTTTTCTATCACATGCTACAGCTGCTTCACTTGCTTGAAGAAAAATAATAATTTTCCAGTACCAACAAAATGGCAACCTATGGTGTGCCTCACACCAGGAAAATATGATTTTATCACAGTGAAAAAGGGGTATTTCAGGCTCCTTTTTGTGCCAAACCATGAAGGCTCTATGAAGGCTATACTGGTCACTCAAAACAAAGTGATGATTTTCGTATTCCCTTATGGGCTTCTTTGAGAGGAAGCCTGGACTATAAATTTAAAAAGTAAATATTAATTACTTTAAAAAGGTACAAATTTAATTAAGAAATTGGGCAGGATTCACCTAATGAATCCTGTCAGTGGAAGTCCTGCAGAAGGGGTTCCACAACAGGGCTCCCCCCCCACGCCCCCCCCCCCCCATTGGCGCAGGAGAAGCTTCAGAACAGCACATGGAAATTGTTCTGTCTGGCACACTGATACACTTGCGCAGATGGAACTTTTGGAATAGCAGGACATTGAATTCCACCCATTATTTTTGAACAAACAAGTATGTTTGTTACTGAACCGCTTTTTTCCCTTGACTACACTATCCTACCAATAAGATCTGGAAACAATCCTGCTCTCTGGTTAAGACCTGTTCCTGCAGCAGGACTTCTCATGATTAGTACTTCTCAGTGGTACTTCTAAATTCTTATGATTAAAGGATTTAGGGCTTATCTCCCATCTCTAAACAAAAAGAGATTCCCTGCTCTCAGCAGCTGATCTAAGCTTTATTTACCATTACCCTTCACAAATCATACAGGTCTATTACAGACATTCCTAGAAACAGGATTTGGGGAAAATACAGAACTTGTCAAGGTTATAACAGACACACTTGCTTATGCTCTTATCACATATGAAGGCTTAAATGCAGCTGCACCGTACACTGTAGCTCTTAAAAACTGTTACAATAAATCCATAATGTTATTCAATAAGATTTCCATTCAACTGAAGATTCTAGTTTCATGTTTAATAAACACCAGTTAACAGGGTACGTATTTCCAAGTGTTTAGATAATATGGTGCTAACTGGGGTGTGTAGGAAGAGACATGACTGCATTGTGCTCTCCCACTGTATTTAACATTTTTGTTTCTAATCCTTGGTGCCCTAAATTGATCCACCTCTTGCAATTAGTAGGCTTGACTTTGGGTGTGAGCTTAGGATATCTTTAAAAAGATGATGCTAGATTTCTATAGGAAGTTTTGCTTCTTAAAAGGGAACCAATAACTGTGTTGGTAGTGAAGGCAGGGAGTAGAAAACGAAGGTGGCTGGAAGTGAAGGATCAAAATATACTGTAAACGTCTTCAGGATGCCTTGTGGGAATCTATTTATAATTGAAATAAATAACAATGAAGTGTCCTGGGAATAAAGTTAAGTTTCCTTGTTTTAATGAAGATACCTCAACGCAAATAATTCCCCAATTTTCTGCATCACATCAGCATGAGAGAGCTTCACCTTCCTTCTTGACTTTAGTATCTGTTAAAAAGAGAGTAGTGAGACGTTAAGAGCGAATATATGTTGCAAATAGCTCAATTTAATAATAGTACGTAAGACCAATGAAGTAGTGAATACCTCAGGTATTGACTGGATAGATTCTACAAAATTATCCAATGATGATTCCCAAATTGCCAGCTTCACTACATTAGGGAAAAGTACAAGAGATTTATTATTCAAGTTCACTACCCTTTAATGTTTTCACAAAACCAAGTCCCTACTTTCAATTACCGTATTTTTCCGTCTTTAAGACACCCCCAAGTATAAGGAACCCCCCCCCATTTTTGGGGACTCAATTTTAGGAAAACAAGGGGAGATGGCCCAAAGTTGTTGAGCCTCTCCCCCTACACAGCTGCAGGCAGGAAACACTCCCTGCATCGTTTCCCACGTGCAGCGGCATCAGGGGAAGTTGCACTCTCACCAGCCATCCGGTTGACGGGAGTGCAACCTCCCCCAATGCCGCCGCACACGGGAAATGACCCAGGGAGCACCCACCATGTGCAGCAGCATCGGGGGAAGTTGCACTCCCGTCAACCGGATGGCTGGCTGCACGCAGCTTCTCTCCCCCCCCCCCAGCAGATGCGGGCAGGAATCACCCCCCAGATCGCTCGCTGCGGCATTGGGGGAAGCCACGCTCCTGCCGACTGGCTGGCTGGTAGCACGCTGCTCCCCCCCCCCATATGCCACTATCCGTGTATTGGATGACCCCAATTTTTTAACATGATTTTTGAGTCAAAAAACCTCGTCCAATACATGGAAAAATATGGTATATGATGTCTTCACAAGGAACCTAAAAAATGCATGGTTGAGGGCCAAAACAGATGTCAGGTGGGAGACTTGCAATCAGACTTCCCAGTTGTTAGGAATTAAAAACAAACTTTAAAACAGCAATGGAGTAGGGATGTCCAGGTTTTATTCTAGAAGTGACAGCAGGTAACAGGTGCTAAACTCCCAATCTAAATCCTCCCCACCACAAATTATTAGCCTTAGGCTACTTCCTGCAAAGCTGAATTGCTTTAAGTGGCACTGAACTCCAGAAGTAACTCAAGAAATTGCTTATCATTTGAATTTGATATCAAGAAGGAATTGTCCAAAACAGACACAGCAACACACATTTTAAGGATACTTTATCAGTGTACCTCTGTAATGATCTCTGAAGTTCACTTCAAGTTCTTTGCATCATGCCGAAGTAATACTACTATACAGAATTTATCTCTGGTGCACATTCCCAAGCTATCCTCACACACACATTTTAGGTAACACTTTGGGGGAAAGTTTTTCGCAGCACATGCTACACATCCCAAATTCTGATGCAAAATGCTGCTTAGAAAGCCTGATGCAATATATCACTTACCAGAAAGGCAAAGAGCATTTGAAAAAGCAAACTTCTCTAGAGTAATTTCATCAGGATCTAGTTCCGAATTTATCAGGATTTCTCCTCTATGAAGCTTTGACTGTGCTCTGTAAAGAGCAAGAGGAATACTTTAATTGACCACATGCATCAAAACAGAATATGCCTAGTATGAATCCATGACACATAGGAACTAGCTATTCTATACTTTAAAAACAAAAACAAATCAGAGCACCTAAGAACATGCTTAGTTCCCGTCACAGATAATGGAAGAAAACTTCAGACTTGTTGAGCTTCTTTTTCAACTCTATTTGTCAAACAAGAAAAGCTCTTCACCTGAACAGGGAGTTTCAAAAGCTGCTTAGCAAGTTATTTGGGATTATTTTTTTTAAAGGGCCAAGTATATATGCTGGCCGACTGAGACGACAGAACTCTCAGTGGCCCATTGCAATTCCTTTCTGAGGTCAGTTGCATCCACCATTACTTTCTCTTAAGTTAGTGCAGGTGATTCTTAAGGTTAATTTATCTTGGAATGGGTGTCAGTTGGTGCAGACTGAAGATACTGGTTGGATGTGTGCAATCGCTTGCTGATCCATGTCCCTTGTGGCTTATAAAGGGACCAATGAAGTTATTAATACAGTACCTCATTACGAGAGGCAGTGGTCCCCAGTTCCCTAAAGGTTTTTATTATTATTTAAATAAGAATATTTTTGTGCTCCCTGTCTCAAAGATGGCAATGGCAATACTTTCTTACTTTGCAAAGGAATTGCAAATGCAGCTTTATTACAAAGATTATGGGAGGTCTAAACAAGCTGGCAGAGTAGTGTAAATATTTAGCAATGTTTTCAGGAAACAAATATATGCAAGAAGCTACACTGCACAGAAACTAGCACTTGATGACATACAAACACTTACTCTCCTAATCTGTAGTTCATCTCTTCATTTTCCCAGTGAACAAGCGCAACTTCGTATGGCTGAATTTCATGCCTTTCCAGCATTTGCATGATACTCTTCATCTAGAAAAGATCCTGCATATTAGAATTGCTGGCAAATGCTAGGAGGTCATCATATAAACCTGCAGGCTAACAGTCATGGTGCCTTCAGCCAGTTTTGAAATACCATGGAGAGGGAGGGTGGAACTGCACATCACAAGGAAAACAACTCCAGCTTTTCCTTACAATGCAAATACAAGGGCAGAGAGAGGCATACTTACAAAGGGAGAATTGACCTAGGAGAGGAGATGCTTCACACTTCCCATCTCTCAATCCCTCCCCCCAAAAATGGTCTCAGGCATAGAGGAATAAACCTTAAAAAGAGGAGGGTGTGTGAAGGAAGGCTAAAATGGTAGGTGTGAGAGGGCTTAAGCATCCCTGCCTCCTACTACTTTCCCCTACAAGCAACCTCTGACACCACACTTCTGTTACTTTGCTAGGCGCAGATGTGGGACTGTGTTTGCAAAGGCAAAATGTAACTCCTCTCAGAGTCTGGCTCTACTTTGCACATGGCCACAGCCCATAATATCTTCTGTCTCATCTCATCGATTTCCTACAATTTTCTACACTGACAACATTGTCTTTATTCTCAAATAACAACTTGCAGAAATACATCATTGTGAATAACTTAGTTTTTTTAAAAAAAATAAAAGCATCAAAAGACCTGGGACAAAAACTCCCACTGCCCTTCATATACAATTTTTTAAAAAACTGAAAAATTAGACTGTAAAATGTAAAAAGATACATTAATAGCATTTGCTAAATCTACACTTAAATCTAGCCAAACCATTTTATTTTATGGAACTGCAAAGACCAATGGAGTTTACCTCATAAAATTTGGCTTCCACTTACTGTTTTTTCTTCAACATTCCAGAACACAACAGATCCTTCCCTGTATGAACAGAATTTCAAGGTGGTGTTAGCAGCACAGATTATGTTTCATGCTTACATGTGTATTTCTTGGCAAGAATAAATACTCTATTCTAAATAAGGATGGAGAATTTAGTTTGTTCCACTTTAAGTGAACTGACATAATTCACACCCAAATTAATACACAATCAAAACAAAATTATACTTTAAGATTTTAGTGGCAATACTTGGCCCAGAAACATACAGATCCATACACTGAGGGGGAAATACATATTTAAATAATATTTTGTGATTAAAAATTAAGTACATAAATACAATTTTTAATGGACTTTTAAAAAACCCAGAATAAGGCAGAAACAGCATGGAATCAATTTATGACTGTACTGATGTGAAACTGACGCAGACTGAAAATAGACTGTTAAACATACAGTCCTCAACTCATCCAAAATTTTAAATCTTAGTTATCTGGCTTCGTGTGATCAATTAACCAATTACTATGGTGATGGTGTGTTTATGAGGGTTCAGAAAATATTAAATAGCTTTAAAAAACTTTTAAATGGTTGAATTTATTTATTCTCAAAAAAATATAAAGAGTGCAGAGGATGGCCATCACATAGTACAATTCTATACATATCTAGAAAGCCATGAAATTGCAATTGTCAGTCCTTGCCCCTGTACTCATTGGGAATTACTCTGGAGTTTGTGTATAGCTGATGGCCTTAGGGAAGCGCTGCCACCCCAGCCTCCTTCATTACAGCAAAGAGGGAGGAGGAAAGATCTGTACTTGCTTGGGGGTTAAGGCCTTTTGAAGCCAAGTCCCAGAGTTGCTATCAAGCTAAGCAATAAAACCTATCATTTTGTGTTACAATAATTTTTTTAGTTCACATGCACTTTATTGCTGGGCATTGTTTACCTGAAGAAAAAAATTATTCCAGGATCATATTCTTTCGCTGAGCTTTCTGTACCAATCACCAAAACATTTGATGCATCTTGTTTAAAAGAAAGCAGATTTGGAATCATATTCTGAGACACAGAAACAGCGTTTAAAACCCTGTAAAACATTTACCCTACAACCCCACATATAATTATCTGGGCTAAACCCCACTGAGAACTGTGGTGATTACATCTAAGTAAAACTACTGGGTTGCATTGCATGTATCCATTTAATATACAGTCATACCTCGGGTTGAAGTAGCTTCAGGGTAAGTATTTTCGGGTTGCGTGCTGCGGTCAAAATGATGTCATGCACAGAAGCGGCAAATCGCGACCCACACACACACGGGTTGCGTTCGCTTCTGGATGCGAACGGGGCTCTGGAACACATCCCGTTCGCATCTAGAGGTACCACTGTAGTCCTATTTCAGAACCTTTGAAATGTTAAAGATACCACTTGCTGATGTGGGGAGAGAGAGATTTGGCCTGCTTGAGTCCATAACAGTTCCTAGTACAGTGGTACCTCGGGTTAAGAACTTAATTCGTTCTGGAGGTCTGTTCTTAACCTGAAACTGTTCTTAACCTGAAGCACCACTTTAGCTAATGGGGCCTCCCGCCGTCGCTGCGCGATTTCTGTTCTCATCCTGAAGCAAAGTTCTTAACCTGAGGTACTATTTCTGGGTTAGCGGAGTCTGTAACCTGAAGCGTCTGTAACCCGAGGTACCACTGTATACTGAAAACAGAATTAGGGGTTTGAAGTACTCATACAGCTCCACACCTAAGCCTCAAGCCCTTTAGCACTATATAGCACAGCACAGGAAGTTTGCAGTACAGCGCTTCCAAAAGCATTACAGAATTCATGCTCTAGGATGGCTGGTGATGTGAATAGGAGTACTTCTATTGCATGCAGAATACACATGGCAACTTTTTCTTTTCACTTGTACATGTGTACAAGTGCTATTTTCAGATTAAAGATCTACAGGCATTGATGAAAAGAAATGCTGTCAACATCTGCAAATAAAAGTATGTTCAACAGTGGTATTGTTTTACCCTCTGATCTAGAGTGACAATTTATGTTCAGTTTAAGAACCAATAAGCCGTTATACGAGGCCCTTCCTCAGTTTACTCATGTAATAAATAATATCTTCGAATTACTGTACAATGCTTGCCTACCAAATTGCTCTTATGAATTTAAACAATATCAGAAAATATACAAGAAAGTGGAGAGGATTACCACAAAGAACAGGTCATAGGAAAATGTTTTGCCAATGTGCTTCTGAGTATTTAAAGTGTTTGTCTCATTTCAAAGCATCAGAAAGATTAAATAGGCATGCTTTTGGTGAAGTAGCAGCTAAGCCACATTACAGCATGCAATGGAGCATGTTTCAAGGTGCATTTCTGTTCAGAAAGTTTTGAAAGAGAATTTTACAAGGTGATAATCATTATTCCACAGTTGATATAAACACTGCAATTTTATTACTAAGAGGAACTGTGTTCCATGCATTCAACAGAAGAGGGGCAAACTGTTCAGAGGTCTACCTCTAGGTAATGTTGTTATTTCAACATAGCCATATGACGTCAGATCATGGCATAGGGTACCAAGATTATATTCTTCTGCTGTTGCAAAGGCTGTGCACTGCATCAGATCCTGTGCCAAAGGAACAAAGTTTAGTTTAAGAAAACAATCAAGTGATATATTTAGAGGACATTTATTTGGCTTATTCACCAGCACTGTGATACACTCGACTGTTCTATGACCCCTGGTATCAAAATGCAAATGTCACACAAATACTAGGAGACCTATCCTAGGATTTTTGCTAATAGGTAAAATCACTGTGCTTCACAAATCCTATAATTAAGTTTCAAACTGCAAGCCTTTCATGAATACCATGGTATAAGATTCCATGTGTAAGATCTTGCAATAGGCTTATTTATTCATTTTGCCTGTTGAACAAGACCCTTTGGAAGCATCCTGGAGTTTGCAGGGTGTAAAAGATGCAAAAGACTCAAATGCAATATGGCTATGATCCTATACAAACTTAGTTGGGTGCAAGCCCAACAGATTTTGTAGGATTCAATTCCAAATAAATAAAACCAGGCTGCAAGTGAAGTACTTGAGTAAATTACTGCCCAAACGTTTTATCCCCTTCTTTCTCTCCCCTTAAAAATGCAGCATTATAAAGATTACTCTCATTTTCTGTAACTGGAATAAAGTATTTTTTGGTTAACTTCAGCACTTCATATAATCTAAAAAAAATTGTTACTGACAAGTGTTTTGCTATCTGGTGTGTGTCAAGATTAACACTTGCCCTTGCAAAAAATCCAACATTAACATCCAGCAGGTGGTGCTCTGCATCAAAGAAAGAGACAATTTTGTAACTCCAAATGTTTTTATGTACTATAGTCTGAGTCAGTGCAATCTCTGGCACAAGGTTTTTCCATGTGGCAGCTTTCACTGAAGTAACCTACCCTTTCACCATGTCTGACACTTTGCCCTGTATTTTTGAGATGGAAAAAACCACAGCAACAGAAAAGGTGTCTGCAAAACATTTATTTGTGTGTAATTACAACCCCCCAAACGTTTTGGGTGTTTAAAACATCAGTGTTTTCAAAAACCAACCTGCATTTCAGTGACATGGATACTTAAGAGCATATTCCACACAGCACAATATGTGTATGCATATGCGCACACACACACACACACACACACGTACACACAAATGCTTGTCGCAATGTAACTTGACCAGGAGCAGCACTTGGGAGATTGCATCACGAGTTACACAGAAATTTCACCCTATATAACAATTATGAAAAAAACGATGCTCTTTGGGGGAGGGAGCAAAAAAAGAACCTACCTAAGGCCAGTGCTTTTTTTATGGGGGTACGCATACCCCTAAGCATTTTGTAAATCTTTGTACTTTTGTCCATTTACTGTATTTATTTTGAACTATAAAATGGTGATTTTCTTGAGTCAAAATGAGAGTACCCCTAAACATTTATTAAGAAAAATGTACTGCCTAAGGCCAAAAAAAAAGTTGGCAAGCTCTGGGGGAAACATTTTTATAAAAAAATGTTTGATTTGGAAAGAATGGTGGTTTTCTTTTATTTCTGGATGGGGTGTCTGTATTCTTCAGTTCCTGTATTGAGGATACTCGCAAGGAAAGTGGGGGCAGGTAGTGTAGCTTCTAAATAGGAAAGTACAGTGACTCCAGCCTGGGAGGAAGCCTTCTGTCTGATGAAAGCCCTTCTCCTTCTTTGAGGCAGGAGAGGTTTGGTGGAAAGATAAAAGCATTCTTGCCTGTGCTCAGAGTCACTTTTTGCACATTTCAGCTGACTAGTAAAAAATATTGTCAGGTATATTCCAGCTACAATTCTCATGTCTACTTCACAATGTGGTTCACTGCAGATGTTTAAAAAAGGAATGGTTTAGACCAGGGGCCAGTAAGGTTTATGTTGCCTGGCCTGTTCGGTCGCACGGTGATCCCTCCATGAGCCGGATCGCGTGCGTGCGATTTTTGGCCTCTGCGTCTGCACAGACACGATTTTCGGCGCTGCAGAAGCAAGTCCCCGTGCCATGCTGCACCAGTTTAGCGCAGTGCGCGAGCAGGTAGCTCGGTTTGGGGGCGGCTCGTGGGCCAGTCAAATGACCTCTGCGGGCTGCTTCCGGCCTATGGGCCTTAGGTTGCTGACCCCTGGTTTAGACTGAGACTAGAAAAGTAACCATAGTTTATCGTTAGTCTATATTGATACCATCTGCGAGCCAGCTAGGGTTTTCAGAGCTGTGCTCTACAGTGCAGCAGTGGCTAAACTGCTTTGGCCCAAGAGCTGCATTGATAGTCAACCACCCCTCTAAGGGTTATATGCCAGTGGCATGCATAGCTAACATATTCACATTTGTATACATACACTCTATACACACCCCTCACCACAGACACACATACACAACGCACATATATACTCTCACTAGACATGATGGTCTCTTGTCTCTCTCTCTGAAATATATGCATTCATACACTCTCACATATAAACACATGCACACACAGGTGCAGCCACATAACCAACATTTCCATGTCTGTCCACTCCAGGTGGCTGAAAACACTGCCTTTTACTTTGCAGAGTAAGCAGCTGTATTTCTCTCCATCCCACTTCAGCGCTGGAATGAAGGTAGGTAGAAATGCTGCCTTCTACTCTTAAAGAGCAGGCAGGGGGTATTTCTGATGTTAGAAGAGCCTTCTTCCTGCTCTTTATTTCTAGAGAGCAGCAAGCCCACTTTACCCATAGATTTCAGAGGGGCTCTCTGTAGCTGCCAGTCAGCCAATCAGTATTTACAGCAAGCCTCTTTGAAGACACGCTCCAAGGAGCAATCAGCTGCTTGGTGCTGAAAGTACATCTTCAAAGGAGGTTGCCAAATCCACCAATCAGTTGATTGGCAGATACAGCTACCTCCTTTCAGATTTAACAGGTACCAATCACCTGATGTCATTATGAGTGGGTGCTCCTTCCCACCTGTCCAAGATGGCCTGCAGGGATTGAGGGAATTAGGAATCCAAATCACCATCCAGATTCAGCTCCCTATCCCTGAAGCAGTTGCTTGCTGAGTATATTTACCGTATTTTTTGCTTTATAAGACTCACTTTTTCCCTCCTAAAAAGTAAGGGGAAATGTGTGCGCGTCTTATGGAGCAAATGGAGGCTGTGCAGCTATCCCAGAAGCCAGAACAGCAGGAGGGATTGCTGCTTTCACTGCGCAGTGATCCCTCTTGCTGTTCTGGCTTCTGAGATTCAGAATATTTTTTTTCTTGTTTTCTTCCTCCAAAAACTAGGTGCGTCTTGTGGTCTGGTGCGTCTTATAGAGCGAAAAATACGGTAAATGCCACATCTATTCAAATACTGGTTTTCTTTTCACAATTTAAGCAGGTTCATTTTTGTTCTATCTAGGGTTTTTATCATGCATTTTAAGTGAATATTATTTTTAATTCACAGAGGGTCTTAAACTGTGCCTAGCAAGCCCCCTCACACCAAAACGGATGCAACATATCTTCAACAGCACTCAAATGCCACCACTAAGGCAGGAATGAAAATAGAAGTAACATGACAAGAGCCATAGGGACTTCAGTAAAGAGAAAAGAAAAACTCATCTTTGTGCATGAATGCTCTTCCTTAGACTGCAGTCATCGACACAGCCAAAGTTGAGGAACTCGGTCAAGAAAGAGTTCATGCTTTCATGTGCTGGCCTACCCTGTACTGTTAGGAAGACAGGAGTTTTCTCATTCCTGCATAATACTTGTTATGAAACATTATTCTGGTCTTCATAACCCTTCAGTGTTATAAGTACTACACTTCAAAGTTTTAATACTTTACCTCAGTTTCAGACGGTAGTGGCAGATTAGCTCTAGATGGCTGCTTGGTCCTCGATGCTTTTGGTAGCCTTTTAGCTGGCAAAATATGTTGATTTGGCATAATTTTACTACTTGATAAAACTGAATAATGTCTATTTGGTATATCTGTAAATTTTCTCAAACACTTTGCATTGTGCTTGAAACTTGTGTTTTTAAGAGCACAAAATTGTTCCCTGTGTGGAGGACAAACATGCATACTCAAATAATTCACAGTCTTTGCTGCAGTAGGAACGTTAGCTTGTGGTCTCTGCCATTTCTTGGCTTGCACACAAAGCCTGCTTAAGCAAGATGTTGTTGCCTCTGGAATGCACATACTGATGGATCTACATGCTAATAAAGAATTGCTTGACACCCCTTGAAGATTGTTGCTTGATGCTGAAAGCCCATATTTATGCAAGTGTTGGCAGTTGCTTGTTTTGTGTGAAGATCTAGCCAGGAATCTCAGTAGTTTACTTGCCATCTTTTCACTGTGTCCTGAATGAGAGAGTTATAGTACATCAACTTTCTGACGAGCAATTTATCATTTTATAAAAACAGTTCTGCACTACAGCAAGTCAATCACATCAATAATAGGGCTCGTTCTGCATTCATAGGCTCAGGTTCAAGTGAAGCAAGCAAGGAAGACTGCAGCAGTACATTTACTTTACCCGCCACAGCAACATAATGGCCAAACACGGGGTCAGATCAGAATATTCTTATCAAAATATCTGTTCTCAAACATATTAAAATTTGGTTAACGGCAAACAGGGAGATGCATCTTTCTTCCTTGTAGCATAACTTTAACCAGCCAAAGGTAAATAGTGCAGTCTATACTCAACAGAATCTGTGAGTCAGCCAATGACTAAGACAGTGATAGTTCAGTTTCACCAACTGAGGAGCAGGATAGGCTAATAAATTAGACACATCATACACTGAAACACATTGAATAGCATGGTACTCTGACTGAATAAGGTCACAATGTATTCCTTAGACCCTAGGTTCTTAGATTGTGGTGTGGCAAAGGGCACCTAAAGGAAAATTATTTGGGGATGGCCCTACAGTAGCTGGGGTCCACTAGTGAAGGTTTGGCATTTCAGTCACCTCTGCCTTCAAGTAGATGGCACAACTTTGCTGTGAGGTGTGAGGAGATGAAATTATAGTGACAGAAGCTCATATGACACTTTCCACTTCTTCTCATCCCTGCAGGTGAGACTTGGCACTGCTCAATGTACTTGGCTCTGCTCAATGTACAGATGGAGGAGCTACTGCCATATTACCTAGCTTCAGGCCACATAAACACAGCTTTGTGAAAGAACTAGGCACTTGCCTGCATAAAGATTGTCAGCGCTGAGCTGGGTGGAATGGAATTACGGTAACTGAGAAGCAGAACCCCAGTTCCAAGAGCTTGAGAAGTGCTGCCTTAATGGTCTCTCTTGCATTTGACTGTCACTCACATGATCGTTCCCCCTACAACTGCCGGATATCTCAACACAGGTCCAATCGTTCCTTCACTGCAGAATTTTTTCCCTCAGGCCAGGCCATTCCTGCACCAATCATATTAGTATTATTTGGATGAGAAAAAGCTGGACTCCGGGACCCCCAGGAACTACAGGAAACATGGCAAACGACCAGGATCATGGGAGCCGTAGGGCCTCAGTATCTTCCTAGCACTGCGCTGAAACCCTCCCTTACAGCGCCCAGGTGACAGGTGAAATTAAAGGTGAAACCCACACCGCTTTCCGCATTCATGCTATACGAGCGCTGCCTCTATCCCTCCCACTAACAAGACCGGAAGGTTGCGGGGAAGGACTCCGCTGGGAACCATATTGCGAGCGCCAGAGGAGACCCGCCGCAGGTGACCATCACAGTATTAGGGCGTTTTAAGCGGGTGCGGGAGGAATGACCCACCCTCCGCTCGCACTCTGCCCCATGCGCGCGCCCCAAACACCATCCAATCAGAGGGAGACCCAGTTCCACGCGCAGGAGCCTTTTACCAACCTGGCGCCGAAGCACGAGGTGGGAGGAGGACCCGCTCTCTCCACGGAGGGCCGGCGGAGCCACAGAGTCAGCCCCGCCCCCTCCGTCTGTGCGGTTGACGCGTGACGTCATATTCCCCGCCCCAGAGCGCCGATGAAGGTCGCCACCTCCTCCTGAGGAGGCGATTACCCCCAAGGCCTCGCGTTTCGTTTGGCGCCCGCCCTCCTTTACCGAAGGGGCTGGTTTGCTTCAGCGCCCCTCCTCCCTAAGCCCGTTGAGCGAGGGAGCCCAGCCGCCAACCAATGGGAACAGGCGTTGCTTGGGAAAGCTCGCAGCTGCGCCGGGCGGCGCTACGATGAGCAAAATGGCGGCGCCGACGGCAACGCTGCCGCCTCAGCTCGCGGGCAAGTTCAAGGGGTGCGTCCCGTCTCCGCCGCTTCGTCGGGGGCTCTGAGAAATGGGTGGGCGAGGGGTGAACCGTCGGCCATTGGCGGGGAGGCTGGAGCTGTAGAGTACCAGGGGACAAGGGTAGGGAGCTATGTCCGGGACTCTTCCCCTCCTCGCTCGGAGAGCCGGGGCGGCTGAAAACGCGGCACTCTAGTGAGCCGCTGTTTTCCATTTCTGCTCTTCTTCCTCCGAGCTCCAGTTCGCTTTGCACGGAAAGCCGGCTTCCAGGTTGGGAAAGGGAGGTTTCGCAACAGAAGCCAGGAACACAGTGGCCTTTTTCGGCTGTCAGTGGGTGGTTGGGTTCCGCTCCACCCCTCGTGCTTCGAGTATTCAAGTCTTCCCTGCTCCTGCAAATCACTCGGTGGTTTGCAAAACCAAGTTTTCTATTACGTCGCAACAAAGCATAAGCCATACGTGTCTCTGAGCCAGAATTAGAAGTGAGTTTCCAATTCAGGCTTGAGGCAAAACCAGGAAGTTAAGTCAGAGGAACAGAGCGTATGTGAAGCTAAGTTTGAGATGTCCAAATCATGATTTGAGCAATGTCTTTGACAGAGGACTATTTAATCAATATGTTTGTATTCTCGCGTATAACATTTTATTTTAACCATGCAGTTTTATTTGACACAGAACCTGTGGGCTGCATGCTGCTTGTCATGGGAGGTGGGGCGCTGGGGGGGGGGGTAGTGAGGCCAAAATTTGACACACACCATAACCTTCTGGCAGGGTCCTAGAGCCCTGCTGCCTCCTCAAAGCTGGGAAGTGCTAACTAGGCTTTGGGAAAGAGGCGTGAGAGCTCTAGGACCCTGTCAGAGCCCTCATGCCTCCTTCCCAAAGCCAAGCGCCTCCTTACTTGGCTTTGGGAAGGCAGTGCAAGGGCTTGGGGAGGGGGTGTCACGATGATCCTTGTGGTCCCTTCCAACTGTACAGTTCTATGAAAACCAGTTTTGAAAATATGTTTATCTACTGTGAAACCCAGCAATAATACTTGAATTGCTACAGTATTAACAAATCATACATTTTCTTACTATTCTAGACAATAATTCAGATGTACTGACATCAGAAACAAAGCATTGTCTCCCCCTCTCCTCTTTTTTGAAGAGAACTAAGTTGTTTATTTGTTAATAGTAAATAAATGATAATAATAATATGGTGCCCATCTGACTGGGTAACCCCAGCTACTCTAGGCGGCTTCCAACAAATTAAATGAATATTTGAAGACTGACATTTTGGTTTTAAGATAAAGATTATTAAAAGTGTTACCCAGAGTCATAAATACCATCCTTTAGATATGAATTAGAATATTTAGCTTATTTGACCAAGTTCTTATTGGTCTGGGACATGGTTTAAGGAAGTTGCTGTGTACATATGAAGATGAAGTGTAACTGCAATAATCCATCCTTTATTTTCCATGGTAAACTGTGTGAGATTAAGACCACAAAACTTTTCCCCTGCAAGTCTGGACACTTGGAAGTAATATTTCTGCTTAATTTTCATATATGGAATCAGTGTATTGCTTAGGACTGCATATCAGTTGGGCAAAATCTTAATGGCTTCAATGTTTCAGTGTGATAAATACTGTGTTTGCATTGAGATGTGGTGTGGAGGGGTATGAGAGGTTTAGAAAAAGTCTGTGTTTAGACATCATGATAAACCATAATTTATTGTGTATAAGAATAATAGACCTGGGCTCCTTCCCTCTGCTCTTTCTCCTCCAGAGCCACAAGGCGGTGATGGGAAGCTTTCGCTTCTAATTTCAATTTTTTACAACCATAAATGGTGGTTAATCTTAAATATGGCATGTTTCAAACAAAGTTCAACCAGTTCGTCAAGTTCAAGCAAGAAGATGAGCATTGGTTTATTGAAAATGGAAGTAAAACTTTCCAAGCTTGTCTTATCTACAACAGGGAGGGAAGGAGTATGCAAGCTTGGGAGGAGGCGAGGCTCACTTTGTGAGCCAACATAATTATGGGTTACCATGATATCTGAACACAGCAGTTTACTCCTTCTGTGTAGAAATTACCGTATTTTTCGGCCCATAGGGCGCACCTAGTTTTTTGGGGGGGAAATAAAGAAAAAAAAATTATTTCCCCCTAGGCGCGGAGCTGGGGCGGGAGAAGTCCGAGCTTCCCCCCACCCCAGCCCCCAGAACAGGCAGCTCTCCACAAGCCGTGGGAGAGCTGTGTGAAGCCCGAAGCCTGGGGGGCGTTGAGTTCAGCACGCCCCCAGGCTTCGGGGTGCAGGCAGCTCTCCGCAAGCCGTGGGAGAGCTGCGCGACTTCGCGCAGCCCTCCCACGGCTTGCAGAGAGCTGTGCGAAGCCCGAAGCCTGGGTGGCGCTGAGCTCAGCGCGCCCCCAGGCTTCAGGGTGCAGGCAGCTCTCCACAAGCCGTGGGAGAGCTGCGCGAAGTTGCGCAGCTCTTCCATGGCTTGCGGATAGCTTCCTGAAGCCTGGAGAGCGAGAGGGGTCGGTGCGCACTGACCCCTCCCGCTCTCCAAGCTTCAGCGAAAGCCTGCATTCGCCCCATAGGACGCACACACATTTCCCCTTCATTTTTGGAGGGGGGAAAGTGCGTCCTATAGGGCGAAAAATACGGTAACTTTAATAAAGTTGCCTGATGGTGATTCTGATGGTGATGGAAGTGGCTATTTACAAGCCTAAAACAATATTGTTTTTTTCTTCATAGATCCTTCGCATACAATACAATTAAAGATAGGCTGCCTCTAATCCTGACTAAAGTTATTGATACTCTGCATCGACACAGAAATGAGTTCTTTGAAGAACATGGAGAAGTAAGAAATTGCTGCCTTTTATTCTTTCTCTTTCAATGCTGTTCTCTTAAAAACCTTAAGCAAATCAAACTTTGTGTAATTATTTCTGCATGCTTAAGTAAATATTTTTCTGCTTCCATAAGAACATACAAAGAGCCTTGCTAGCACAAACTAAAGAGCCAGTATCCTTAGTGGCCCATGTATTTGTCTCAATTTTCCATTCAAGCCTTTTCAGCTAGTGGCCCTCATTACAACTTTTGGCAGTGAATTACATAAATTATTCCTTGTGTGACCAAGTACTTTTCTGTCCTGAATCTGCTGCCCTCTGTTTAACCGGATGACCCCAAGTTCTAGAATTCTCTGTCCACTTTTCCCATGCCATGCATAATTTTATAAACCTGTAACGTCTCAGTCACCCTAGGCCCTGAGGCCACAAGTTGCCTACCTATGGACTAAAGCATTTGGTTGTCATGTTTGATACTTGGGTTCTGGACTTGCACTTTTGATTGGAATTCAGTCAAGTTATTGCAACCCTATAATTTATTGAAAAACATAACTTTATGAACAAAACACATTCAGATTGAAAACATTTGTTTATCTCTTCATTTTCTCTTAATTTTAGAAAGGTATTGAATCTGAGAAGAAAGCTATAGCCTATCTCTCCAGGTTACGGAATGAGCTGCAGACAGACAAACCACTGATTGCCTTGACTGATAACCTCCCTGATAGCACTCTCTGGAACCACTGCTTAGAATATCATCAAAGTTTATCAGATGAACCACCAAGCTGGTTTCAGTCTCCTTGGCTATATACAGAGTGTTATATGTATCGTAGAATTCATGAGGCACTCGCTCAAAAGTAAGCATGTGTGTTGTTTGCTGTTGTATCGTTTCCGTCTGTGGGATGGGGAATTGGGGAATAAAGTTCAAGCTTAAGGTAAAACAGAGAAAATAACTCAATCTTAAGTGCCAGCTGTTTTCCTGTTTTTATTCCTTCTCCTGACTTCTAGTCAGCAACAGAGTGATAGTTGCCTCTTGCATCTGGCACCAAGAGCCAGAGCAACATAGCAGCAGTTTGGGTAAATAGACACCATCCTGTGAAGGACTCCAACAGCCATTTCTGGGCTTCGGTTATTTCCTCTGAAACCTGCTATGCGGTACACAGATCAACAGCAGAGTGCCAGTGGAACATCTGAAGACTGGGGAAGGTGAACTTTGTTCCTTCCTAGTGACTCTTGTCTATTTCATGCATTTTAAATATTTTCTAATCCACCTCAAAACCTAATTTAGTAGGTATAGTATAACTACAAGTTGGAATTTTAGTGTCACTTCTTGCTACAAATTTTGAAGTCCTTGTAATTCTCTTCTTCCTTTGCTTTCTGATTAATGATAGACCTGTAAAGTGATTTGTTTACTTTAGCCTACAGCTTAATTGAATGAAACGAAAACTGTTGGCTACTTTCTTTTTTGAACCCCACCCATAGAAAAACAGCCATCAAATAAAATGAAAAAATCAGTTGAAAAATACTGTAAAGTTAATGTGTGAAGAATAATTATATTAATTTACGTAACTTATAACCCACTTTCACAGCTTATACAGTGCCTCAGGATATAGTAGTTACCCAAATCTGGAGTACATATTGCATGTGGAGTCCTATCAGATGACATTGAAATGATGAGGGGAAAATTGTTAACATTCTTTTCTCGTGTTCCTGGAAGGATGAAGGAATACCTTGTTTCTTGGGAAGAAAAAAATGTAAAGTTCATTTCAATTTTGAAACCATTATGTGTTTCATAATTACAATGTTTATTTGTTATATATTATTGCTTGGAATTGTTTCTCTATAAAAGGTCGTATAAGCTCATTAAAATGTCAAGAAATGTGTGCTTTGCTTATGAATTAATTATTTTAAATAACAATTTTTTTTATATTGAACAACTTCAGATATTTGATTTCTGTATTTCTGTCATTTTTATTAGACAGGGGCCATGTGTGTTAATAAGGGAGGAAAAAATATGAAATATTCCTGGTATATATTTATAACTCAAGCTATTGTTTCCTTCTCATGCATTTGTGTACCACAACCAAACCACTGGTCAGAGTTGGGTAATAGGGAACAACTGCAGCTCAGTAATAGAGCATCTGCTTATCAAGCAGAAGCTCCCAGTTTCAATCTCTGGCATTTCCATGTAGTGATGGGAAGGTTCTGTATGAAAACCCTGAAGAGCTACTGCCAGTCAGTGTAGACAGTACTGAACTACATTGGAGCAATGTAGAAGGCAGCTTCTGATTTTATTTATCTGGTGCATGCATCTTATTTGGTAAATATGAACTGCAGATTAAACATTCTTGCTTTCTGCTCTTGGCCAAAAAAAGAGAGTAGTGGTGGGATGGATTGGTGTATTTATGATGAATGCTACAAGTATGATGAGCTGGGGCAGGGAGAATCTGAGAACTTTTGTATTTGTTCTCAAACACCTTTCTAACATTTACATAGTAAAATTAAACCTGTTTGACTAAGGATGGAACTTCGTATTGTTCTTTGTAGCTACACTATTGGGAGCTAAGCCATGGTTTGGCTGAGTGTTACATGTTACATTTTGTGTCCTGATTCACACATAACCCTAAGCCAAAACGTGGTTTAACATAAATAAGCAAATGTGCTAGTGCGGTTAGGAAATCACAGGTAGTTCACTCCTCCCGCTGCTGCTACACTACCAAGAGCTAGCACATGGTTTGGCTTAGGGTTATGTGCAAATGTGCTCCTAGCTTGTTTTTCTCTAGACAGACAATGAGCTGTATAACTAAGGTTTGGAGTGAGACAAACCACAAGCCGAGATTCACAGGTAACACTAAGCCAAACCATGGCTTAGCTCCCAATAGCGGAGCAACAGCAGGACCCAAGAAGGAGTGAAGTGCCCTAGTTTTGCACAAGTATACTTGTTTATGTATATTTAGCAGTGGTTTGGCTTAGCATTTTGTGAATGAGGCCAATGACTTTGAGCTGGGGTGTGGAAGTATACAACATAGCACCATGTCACATGGTAAGCAATTGGCGGGGTGGGGAGCTCAACATGTGGATGTGGTCTTCAGTATTTATTAAGGTCAAATACTAATTAATGTTTTCCCCTGTTTCTGTTTAGTCCACTCATCAGTGACTTTGATGTGTTTAAAGAAGAAAAGGTACACAATTTCTTTGAATCTCAACAAGCTATAATTCTAATGAGTACTTATCTGCAAGATATATTGAAAAACGTGGAGAAGCTAGATGAAAATTTATTGAAAAAGGAATTTTTTAAATTGCTTCAGGTAAAACTAGTAATACTTACTGTTTATTTAATGTTGCACATATTCTATAATTTTTAAGTTTCTTGTTTCAAAGATGGCCTAATGTAAAACAGGAGACGTATCACATTTCTGATAAGAAATGTTGAAAAATTATTCCATGCCAGCAGAATAATTTTAAGAAAGTTGAGATCCTTCAACAACTCATATACTGTTCTCTGCAATGTTGTTTTAAACGGTGAGTAAAATTCTTATATCATTGGCTGCAGTTCTAATATTGGGGCACAGAAACAAGCACATAATTCTTTTTCATGCACATAATTATTTCACAGCTCTGAAATAGATGTTTTTGCGATGTTAATTTCTCTGAAATTTGTTTTCTGCTATACCCATGGCTTCCCCGATTATCTTTCACAAAATAGCATTTACATTCCTTCTGTTTTTCTTCTCTCACTTATAATCTGTTGTCACTTATCCCTCATTGGAACCTGATTTTGGTGTCCTGACAAAGTTATTGATGTGATGCTCATTTGTTGAAAACTAATAAACATTACCTAAACTTGAGACTAAAGTATGATGGATGTAGTTTTTGCTTTTGAATTTAGAAACTTGGGAGTTAGCTGTGCTCCACAATTCAGAAGATGATTTGCTGCCCTGGGTTGGGGAACGGCAGAATATAAATTGAATAAATAATAAAATGATCCCCCCCCCACATAAATCAGCATCCTGCGCTAAATAAGAGAGATATGTACTTCGAAGGAGGCTTCAGTGTCCATATCCCTATCCTTAACCCTTTCGTGATATGGAATAGCTTATGTAAATGGGTGCTGTGTGCATGGTTCCCCAGATTAATCCAACAAAGGTAGTTGATATTTTTAAAGTAAGATTGAATCCCCTCAATCAGTTGTTCAGAAGTAAGGAGATTGATTCAGACACTCTTCTCTGCTAAACAGCTGACTACTGGGAATCCAGCTTTTTCAAGTATGCAGTTAAATCTGAATCTAAATATATGTGATAGGTAGTGCAACAAGGCATTACTGTACTCAGCTCACAGGGATTGTGTACTTTTTCTTCTTCTTTTAGGTTTCACTGTGGGGCAATAAGTGTGACCTTTCACTGTCAGCCGGTGCAGATAGTTCTCAGAAGTCTGACCCATTACAGTCTGTGGAAGAGTTAAAACCTTTTATCTTGGTGGATCACATGGAAAAGCTTTGGTCACTGCTTATAAACAAAAAGAACATGAATAAGCAGACTACTAGACTTGACATAGTCCTGGATAATGCTGGTTTTGAACTTACTACTGACCTTATACTGGCTGACTTCTTGTTATCCTCCAAATTAGCTACTGAAATTCATTTCCATGGGAAAAGCATCCCATGGTATGTCTCAGATACTACAAGGCGTGACCTGAATTGGACAATTAAGCAAATGCAGTCAGCTAATCACAAGGGGATGTCTAGGTGTGGTGTCTGCTGGGAGGGCTATTTGAAAAATGGCGTTTGGATTTATCATGATCACTTGTTCTGGACCTCGCCGCATGAATATTGTAGGATGGCTCAAGTGGCTCCTGATTTGTACAGTGAATTGCAGAAGTCAAATTTAATTATTTTTAAAGGTGATTTGAACTACAGAAAGTTGATAGCTGATCGGAAGTGGGAATTCACAGTGCCATTCCATCAAGCCTTGAACACTTTTCACCCTGCCCCTCTCTGTAGCTTAAGAACGCTAAAATGTGATATCCAGGTTGGGCTGAAACCTGGGCAAGGTGAACAGCTTACTAATACTGAACCTGATTGGATGATCATTGGGAAATATGGAATAATTCAGTTTGATGCTGCTTCATGATTGATATGCAAAGTTTAAAGGACAGTGCTGTGCTAAATGCTTTTGTTGGTCAAGGTTGAAAGACCGCTGGCTTTCAATGTGCATGTTCTCTTCTACGGGTCTTACTGCTATTTTTAAGGTGGTGTGCAATTGTGACATTTTACAAACCCTTTTCTGGTATTCATGGTCTTAAAAAACGAAAACGTCATTATACTTAGATATTTGTAAGTAAAGAATACTTGACAGAGGAAACACTGAGTGAGAGCAGCTTTAGTAGCTGCAGTTTGTCTGACCTCTATTCTAACATTAACGACAAAATATTGCACTTTGATTTGCTAAAAGTTTTTGCTTTTCTGTAGCTCAAGTCTTACTTTTAAGCTGCCTGAACTTCTCTGGTCAAGATTAGCTTAAATAAATAAATGGATTCAAATGGATTCAATGGATAGACTTGAATTCTTTCTCCAGTATAAGAGGTATCTGCATCAGTTGGTGGTAGTTTAAATAAGTAACCTGGCATATAAAGAACACCTTTTCCCACTTGCTAGCTACGCTATGCTTTAAGTAGCACTGTGGGTTAACTACAAATAGAGATGGAAGGCTTTGCCCTGACATGATTATTGGCAATTGGGTGAGACCCCATTCCCATTTTCCCCTTCCTGCTTACGCTCAGGCGCTTTGAGAGATGGGGTAGGTAGTAATTTCATTAATTGCAGAGGAGGAGATCTAACAATGGATGAGTGTTGCAGCAGATAGGAGAGGAAAATGTGAGGAGGAAAGGGCCTTCCCTACCCTGCTTAAGCATTTGGGAGGCAGTTATATTATTTAGTTGGAAAACAATTGTCATTGGGTTGGATGGCACCTTGTACGCTCTATTTTCCTTTGGACCACATCAACGAGGCCAACAATGGGGGGTAGGGACCTTCGTACACACTGCTCAGGTCTGCGCTCCAGTGAGGTCACTTTGGTGCTGCTAAGAATATCTAAGAGTGGTTCTTGTCTATTTGGTTAGGCAGTCCATGAAATCACAACGGTGAATTCCCAAGAGAAGTACACACACTACTGTAGTCTGCATTTTAAAGAAAGAGACTTGTGAAACAGTTTATGGTATAATATGCTTTAGATTATTATAAATTAATCTAGCACTATTGGGTAGATGGGTTTATGATACAACAAGGTATTCAGGTGCAGTCATCTTACACAATTCTAGATACATTCTGGGTTTTCAATGGTACTTTCAGTTGTTGAAACAGTCCCACAATCCCAATAAGCTCTTGTTTTTCCAACACCAGCATCTATCAACGGACCTCCTCAAAGTCATGGTGCAAGGATAGTCAAGCAGCTTTATCTTTTAAGTGTAGAATCAAAATGGATTTTCAGCATTCCCTCTAGTACACCCACATTGATGCTAAAATTGTGGTGCTGGCAGTAGTTTCTTTAGTTGGAGTCCATTAGGATGCAAACAGTACAAAATTACACGAGCACCTAAGTTGGGTTGTCACCTCTGTACCTCCCTGCCACTGAGACAGTGGCAAGATCTATTTTCTGTTCCTGTAATTATTAAGAATCAGCTAATACTGCCACTTGGTTCTCCAATAACCCAGGTCCAAGGGTCTTCCTTCATCCTTAAAAAAGAGTATGCATCCAGGACCAATATTTCCTCATCTGTATAGTCTGTCCCTCTTCCTCCAAGTTTGTCTTGCCTAGATTGATCTTAAGCTTTAAGTCTACTGCAGAGCCCAGACTCTTGTTCAGGGATACTGACTATATGGGATAATCTAAACTGAGACATTAATGACAAGCAACTCCCTGTCTGTGGTTGCGCTTAAGCCTGTTCCAGCGCCAAAAACAACATGTGTTGAGGGTCATGCATCAGTTGGAGGTGCACAAAAAGGTAGCTGCCTGTATATATAATTTAGAAACACTTCACTCCATTGGCTCTGCTGTGACCAGCTCTGGCTCCATCCTCTTCCTCAACTGTCCCCTTAGTGTAGCCATTCCACCAAACTGTCTCAGTGGGCGAGCTGGGAGGCAGAAGGCTCCTTCCATCATCAGCTTTCTATCAGGCACCTCCTACCCATCAATTGTGCCAGCTGGTCATTATAAGAACAACTGTTCTAAGAATTGGCGCCTGAGTTTAATTTTTTTTTTCTTCTCCCTCTCGGTCCCTTCTCCCTTGCGTGTCCCGTTTTGTAAGTCTGCGGTTATAGAGTATACACAAGAATCCTAACTACCTTCTGCAGCTTACTTTTTAGGAATAACTGTAACCTACAGTCGCAACTCCCTCCCCTCCCCCGCTCACTTCGCGTCTCTTCGCTCCGCAGCTACTCAGCGCCAAGGATTGCTGGCGGAAGCCAGCTGTGCCTGGTCCTAGTGAGGGCGGAAGAGGACAGAAGAAGGTCTCCCAGGGGAACCGCCGCAGTCCTGGGACGAGCGCTTTAATCGGAGCCGTCTCCATGCGCGCGCATCTCGAATAGCCACTCAGAACGAGACCTGTTACCTTTTTTTTCTTTTTCCCGAAGCGGAGTGAGAAGGAGGATCCTCCGCTCCTCTACATCAACCCCGCCCCCCGCCCCTCTTCTCTGCCTCCTTACCGAAGGAGCTGCTTCGCTCTGCTCCCTTTCTAAGGCCGCTGCGCGAGGGAACGCACCCGCCGACCAATGAGAACAGGCGTTGCTTGGGAAAGCGCGTAGCTGCGCCGGGTGGCGTGCCGGGAAGGCGCCTCAGTGAGCAAAATGGCGGCGCCGGTGTCGGCAACTTTGCCGCCTCAGCTCGCGGGCAAGTTCAAGGGGTGCGTCCCGCCGCCGCCGCTTCGTTGGGGCTTTGCGAAATGGGGCTGGGAGAGGGAGCTTGTGTCCAGGTCTCTTCCAGGGTCTTCCTCCCGCTCTTACCAAGACCCTGAGCTCCTGTGCCACGTTTGCTTTGGGCACAAGGCCGGTGTCCAAAGTCTCCTTTATCGCGCAAGGCTTTAATAAGATTTTATCTTAAATCACTTTTCCATGCTCCTTGACTAGCAAGAGCATCGTAAGCGTTTTCTCTCTCATGGCATAAATCCCACTGTGTTCAACAGGACTTTTGTTATTATATTCCCCCCACCCCCCCGACCGGGATTGAAAGCGGCTTGCACAAATGACAACAAGGCGGATGAAATATGAAAAGCTAAAAACTTGCAAAAATGATCTTTAAAAAATAATTAAAGTGTAAGGGAATTAAAACAATAGAAAAACGAATCGTTTTAGAATACAGAAAATAAAAACAACTTAGAATATAAGAGTTGGAGGGAGCATGGAGTGACAGTTGGGAAATGACAGTTGGATGAAGGGCTCTTCCATACAGCAGTGTGCTGTGCACTCTGTGCTCCTTACCTGAATCCTCACAGCCACATCAAAATGTACCAAGGTATTTCCCTATTTAACATGAATTTACGGTTTTTATGGAAAATCCAATAGTTTTGGCTTTTTGTTTTTTCACTCCAGAAACTGCTATGTGGAAGTGTCCACATAGGACGTTAATAGTTCTATTCCTGACCTGATGACTGGTAGGGAGCCAACAGTAGGTAAAGCTAATGACCAGGGGGAACAACTAATCCTACTTTTGTACCCATTCACATCACTTCCAAACTCCACAAAGAAAGCACTGAGGCTAAGGAGGAGGAAACTGACAACCAGGTCCACCCCCTGGGCTGGCTATGTTAGAAGGCAGGAGCCAAGACGATGATAGGACAGTGCTCTATTTTCCATAATGGGCCAACCAACCCTACTGTGATGTGTGTTTAGGAAGCAGACTATCTATGCAGGGAATGTTTCTTTATAACTATGTTTTTAGTTGTATGTTTTAATTTATGCTGCGAGCCACTTTGGGTCCTACACAGGGAGAAAGTTGAGATATTAAAAATATTTAAATCCTAAGAAAAGGATACATTACAATACAAACACATTTAGATATTATATAGATATAATATTTTGTTCTTCATAGATCCTTTGCATACAATACAATTAAAGACAAGCTGCCAGTAATCCTGACAAGAGTTATCAATAATCTGGAGCAACATAAAAATGAATTCTTTGAAGAACATGGTGAAGTAAGAAATAAGTATATTTGACCTTTTCTCTCTTGATATTTTATTGGAAATCTTAGGTCTTCCTGTACCTTTTGATAATTGTTTCAAATGCCTAGAAAACATCAGCTTTCATTTGAACTTGTGAAGAGCCATGCTAGATCAGACCAGAGATCTGTCTTATCCAGCATTATGCTTCTCCAGCGGCAAACTAGATACTATGAAGGGAATAGGCATCTTCCACTGTCTTTCACTATCAACTGGCTTGCAGTAGCATAACTGTTTCTGAACATGGAGGTTCTCTGTAGCCATTGTTACTATTAGATAGTGATAAGACTTTTCTTCCCCATGAATTTGCCATTCCCATTCAAGCCATTTAACTTGTGGCAGTCACATATTATGCACAGTGATATCAATAAAATATGCTTTGTGTGAACAAGCATTTTCTTTTTTCCTGAATCTGCTGCCATGTATTTTCATTGGCCTTAAGTTTTTAACTTTGAGACCATGCTGGGGGTTCCTGTCACAAAATGGCTACCATGGGAGGTGTAATATAGCAACATGACTGCTATGGGAGTGGCTATGGCATAACACAAAATTAAGGATACAATCACACTGAAACTTCCCAGGACTGCATGCCTAATCTGTTGAAGTTTTGCACACAAAACAAGACAGAAGCAGGAAAAGGAAAAGGACATTTAAGGGGAGGTAGAAACAGCGTCTCTTTAAGACTGTGGATTCCTATTACCTAGTGCCCAAATCACAGCTCTGACTTCACTCATCAGCAAAAACACCTGACAGAAGCAGCCAGGTTTGCTCATTTCACAGAAACTGCTTATAAGCATATCTATACATTTTCCTTTATAACTTACCGTGTCTAGGGGCACCAGTTAAAGTCTTTCAGGCACCACCATGTCCCATGGGTTGGCAACCCCCATCTTAGAAATTTGTTTCTAACTTTAAATCACATTTACTTGATTAACATCCAGTATCACAGACAGGTTAGCAATGCCAATGTTCATTCAGCTTAATTCAAATACTATGTTGTTTGTCATGTTCCCTGCTCTGAGAGCTATGCCCTCTGGATTTGCACTTTTGATAGGAACTCCTGAGAAAAAGACTTTTTATAGCTGTTCTGGTGCTTAAAGCACTTTATTTATCAAATAAGATTTGTTTTTTGTGGGGGGGAAAGTAAGTTTTATCAACACACACATTTGATTGAAAATATTAATTTCCTACTTTATTTTAGAAAGGTATTGAAGCAGAGAAGAAAGTTATAGTCCTTCTGACCAAGTTACGAGATGAGCTGCAGGCAGACAAGCCACTGACTGCCTTGAATGACAGCCTCCCTGACACCACTCTGTGGAACCAGTGCTTAGAATATCATCAAAAATTATCAGATGGACCACCAAGCTGGTTTCAGTCTCCTTGGCTATATACAGAGTGTTATATGTATCGTAGAATTCATGAGGCACTCGCTCAGAAGTAAGTACATAGGTTTATATATCAGATAGTAAGCAGTGGCGAGCATAACCCATCTATAAAACAACACAAAAATAGTTTGCCAGCAGCAAACTGCATATCACTGGACAGTTGAGTTACTTTATATAGCAGAAAAGTACTGTGTCAACAAGAGTCTTAACATAGGCAGCTGAAACAAAGTACCAATGGTGCTTGCTTAATAGTAATAGGCAAGGAGTTCCACAACCTAGGTGCAATCATGCTTAAATGCCTTCTGTCTTGTAGAAGCAACACAAACATGGAACCCTTAGCTGCATCTCCAACTTAAAATATCAGGTATATGGGGAAAGGTGGTTCCTCAAGTCAGCTGATTCCAAGCTGCTTAGGTCTTTATATACTAACAGTAAAACTGTGAATTTGGCCTGGTAGGCTATAGTCAGCCAAGATAGGTTTTTAAACAGGCTTTCCATCAGCAGCACACAACTCTTATCAAGTGGAGAGTGACGCCTTCATCCCAGTGGTTCCCCTTTATCACATACACAGCACAAGACAACGACCTATCCCCTCCACAAGCATCATATGAAATATGACTAACCTGACCCAACAACCCTCACACTCACAAACAAACCATCCTGAAACCAACTGAATGCAACCAACCAAGCTCTGGACCCTCTCTCGCAATGCCAATAAAAATTAAATGTACAAATAAAAGCTCTACCCATGTGATGCTGACATGATAACATACACAAACGCTATGCAACAGAACAAAATACAGTTATACCTCGGGTTACAGATGCTTCAGGTTGCTTTTTTTTGGGTTACGGACTGCCGAAACCCAGAAGTACTGGAACGGGTTACTTCCGGGTTTCAGCAGTCGCACATGCACAGAAGCACTAAATTATGCTATGTGCAGACCCGCCGCTGTGGGCTGCGAATGTGCATCCCGAACGGTTTACGTTCGCAACCTGAGCATCCACTGTAACGTTATCGTTCCACCTCTCCCCTCTCTTTCCGCCCAACTGCATTTCTAGAATGACAGTGTCTCATACACAATGTAAATGAACTGTGAAAAAGGCTCTATAAATCAGAAATGGAGATGCTATATGTACTTTCCCCCATTTATTTGTTTGCTTTGTAACGCAAGAAAATCTCTTTAAAAAAAAAAAGAGGAAGTGACCACACTACTCTCTCCTTGAGGACACCTGGGACCCTTATACACAGAACTGTGAGCTACATTCTGAACCTATCCTGTCAAGAGAGCTTGAACACACTGCTGCAAGCACTGTGTCCGTGGGTGTAGTCGGGGGGGGGGCAACTGCCCCCCCGAGCAAGTAAATCAATAAAAATACTTAACTAACCGAGGTTCTGCCCCCCCCCCCATAAATCCTCGCTACACCCATGACTGTGTCCACATTTTCAGGCCCCATCAGCTTACATTGATCCCACAGCATCATACTAGACATGACATACTACAGTCTCAGCAGAGACTGCAAAGGCTATGGGAGAAAGTTTTTGGCATTTAGTGATGTCAAAGACTAATGTATTATTATGTTTCTATCCCTTCTGTTTAGTCCACCCATCAGTGACTATGATGTATTTAAAAAAGAAAAGGATCATGGTTTCTTTGAATCTCAGGAAGCTATTATTGTTTTAAGCACCTATCTACAAGAGCTGTTGAAAAACATAAAGGGCCTAGATGAAAAATTCCTGAAGGAAGAATTTTTGAAGCTGCTACAGGTAAAATTGGTAGTACTTTTTGTTTAAATAATTTATCTGTTGCACATATTCTGTAATGTTAAAATCCAGTTTAAATATCTAGTTTCAAATATGACCTAATGGAAACCATTAGTGATAATATGTTCAGAAACTATTCAGGCCATCAGAATCATTTTAAGTGAGTTCCTATCTTATAAACCTCAGTTACTACTGAGACCCAGAAACAAGCATGACAAATGACCTGGAATAATACATGGAACCCCAAATCTGTTCCATGCACATAGTGGATTTAACAACTAAGGCAAAAATATTGTTATGGAGAGTTTCTGGCATTTATTCTCAGTCATACACATACCTTCCTATGATGATTCTTCAGAAAACAGTATATCAATTATTATTGTTAGCTTGCTTTTTGTTTTTGTAGTTTGCCAAACTATTAATTCATAGGTATTGATCTCTCCTTTGCCAAAACCTGATTAGGGCATGCTGCCAAAAATATTGCTACAGCTTTTACTGTGAGAGAGAAGGTTCAGAAAGTTTCTACAACATTTAAAGGCCTCTCCAAAATGAAATAGGGCTACAGGAAGGCACATATATTGGCCATGTTTGATGGGGATGATGGAAGTTAGAAGTCGAACATTGGGAGGGCCACAGGTTCCCCATCCCTTCTTAGGTAAATCAGGAGTCTGCTTTATACTGAGAGATTAATCATATAACCCATCTGCAGAAAACTGCTAAATGCATAAGCAGAAACTATATTAATTACACTTTGGCCTCAACTTTTCTGTAACATCACTTGTTAAAGGTAAAGGGACCCCTGACCATTAGGTCCAGTCGTGACCGACTCTGGGGTTGTGGCACTCATCTCGATTTATTGGCGTACAGCTCATCTCGGTTTATTGGGAGCATTGGTGTACAGCTTCCGGGTCATGTGGCCAGCATGACTAAGCCGCTTCTGGCGAACCAGAGCAGCACATGGAAATGCCATTTACTTTTCTGCCAGAGGGGTACCTATTCATCTACTTGCACTCTGACGTGCTTTCGAACTGCTGGAGCAGTTGGCAGGAGCAGGGACTGAGCAACGGGAGCTCACCCCGTTGCGGGGATTCGAACCACCGACCTTCTGATCGGCAAGTCCTAGGCTCTGTGGTTTGCGTCCCAACATCACTTGTTAGTATTCAATAAAAACCAATTTATTGGTTTAGTTATGTTCTTTCACTAACAGGTGTTTCATACATAACACATTAGAAGGAGGAAGGAGAACTGGAGGGTCACATTGGCCCCCTGAGCCTGAGGTTCCCTGGCTTAGTGGATTGGAACCTGACAGAACAGTAAGTGTGTCTTGGCAGAGAAACTGCTACTTCCTAAGCCTGTTCAAGGTCAAAAGAAGTGGATTAATTCTCATTTTTCTTACATTTCTTATTAAATTTTATTAATATTATACTTGCCTCTTGGGAATTAACCCAGTGCCTTTTCACATTGGTTTCAATAGAAGTAAAAAGAAATACTCCAATTCTGACCTACTTTCTCCTGTTACAACAAGCAGAACTCTCAGTAGCCCCTCAACTGCAGTCCTCGAAGATGCACTTGGTGTATAGTAGAGCAAGGATCACTTGGCATACAGATTAAGGTGTACTTTTTCCTTCTTTAGGTTTCTCTGTGGGGTAATAAGTGTGACCTGTCAATGTCAGCTGGGGCAGATAATTCTCAGAAGTCTGACCCATTACTGTCTGTGGAAGAGTTAAAACCTTTTATCTTGGTGGATCACATGGAAATGCTTTGGTCACTGCTTATAAACAAAAAGAACACGAATAAGCAGACTACTAGACTTGACATAGTCCTGGATAATGCTGGTTTTGAACTTACTGCTGACCTTATACTGGCTGACTTCTTGTTATCCTCCAAATTAGCTACTGAAATTCATTTCCATGGGAAAAGCATCCCATGGTATGTGTCAGATACTACAAGGCGTGACCTGAATTGGACAATTAAGCAAATGCAGTCAGCTAATCACAAGGGGATGTCTAGGTGTGGTGTCTGCTGGGAGGGCTATTTGAAAAATGGCGCTTGGATTTTTCATGATCACTTGTTCTGGACCTCGCCACATGAATATTGTAGGATGGCTCAAGTGGCTCCTGATTTGTACAGTGAATTGCAGAAGTCAAATTTAATTGTTTTTAAAGGTGATTTGAACTACAGAAAGTTGATAGCTGATCGGAAGTGGGAATTCACAGTGCCGTTCCATCAAGCCTTGAACAATTTTCACCCTGCCCCTCTCTGTAGCTTAAGAACGCTAAAATGTGATATCCAGGTTGGGCTGAAACCTGGGCAAGGTGAACAGCTTACTAATACTGAACCTGATTGGATGATCATTGGGAAATATGGAATAATTCAGTTTGATGCTGCTTCATGATTGGCTTGTGTAAAGCATTGCACTGTTCATGAACACTGTTTATGATGTTTAAGATTGGAAGGTTTACTGGGGTTCAATATTAATGTTATTTATTTTCTTCTACAGATCTTCAGATTTTTAAAGTTGTGTGCAATTGTGAAAGTTTACAAACCCTTTCCTGTTATTCTTAAAGTATCAGAACCATCTTAAAGGCTATCTTTCCTCTATTCTTAAAATATTATTTAATAGGGTCAAGAAGTGTGTGTTTTAATGGTTTGCCTGCATCTGTCCTCTTATACTGTTTTAGTTATTACAGTGCAGCACTTTGCCTTGTGTTGTATGTTACATTTACAGTTCTTTAGCAGACGTTTTTATAGCTGCTTTGGACAAAATTTAATAAAATAACACATGTAAATAAGCATCTCAATAATTACTTCAGTATAACAGCTGCATGCATTGGTCAACAGTAGCTTAAAGCAGAAATGAGGAATCTGTGGCCCTTCCCGATGTTCTTGAGACTCCAACTCTTATCAGCCCCAATGTTAAGAATTGATTGGAGTTAGACAACCATAGCTTCCCCATCCATGGAATAAAGAAACAGGAGAGGGAGTATTCTGGATGGCTCTGGATGATAATTAGGATACATTCAAATCCAATTTCAGGCCCATGTTTGGGATAGAAACAATGTCTATTTAAGGCAACCTCTCAAAATCACAATAGCTATTTTCCAACAGATGTATACCTGAGTCTGTACCTTAAACTAGAAGATGTCCATGAAACAAAGTTCAGTTTCTAATAACCTTTATAGGAATATAGGAAGCTACATTACACTCAGTCAGACCATTGGTCCATCTAACTCAGTACTGTCTACAGTGACTGGCAGTTGCTATTGAGATAGGGGCTCTCTCCCAGCCGTACCAGCAGTTGCCAGAGATTGAACCTGGGACCTTCTACATGCAAAACAGATACTCTACCACTGAGCTACAGCTGTGTCTCAATTTCTCTGATACAATGTTACCAATACAGTGGTACCTCGGGTTAAGTACTTAATTTGCTCCGGAGGTCCGTTCTTAACCTGAAACTGTTCTTAACCTGAAGCACCACTTTAGCTAATGGGGCCTCCTGCCGCCGCCTCACCGCCGGAGCACGATTTCTATTCTCATCCTGAAGCAAAGTTCTTAACCCGCGGTACTATTTCTGGGTTAGTGGAGTCTGTAACCTGAAGCGTATGTAACCTGAAGCGTATGTAACCCGAGGTACCACTGTATGCCTCTTTTGGTAGCCAACACAGTGTTCCACAGATGATTTGGACTACAGCTCCCATCAGCCCCAGTCATCATTGCTAATGGTCAAGGATAACCCGTGTTTTCTATGTGTAGAAACCGTTATCCCCACTTTTCAACATGATGGAATGGTAAATATTAAATCACATGCACAGTCCAAAATGGAACTGTCCAGACATTGGTTCACCAGCTCTTGTACTGTTTGTGAGAACTAGGTCTATTATACTGTGACAAATAATGACCTTTTGAGACAATCTACAAACCCTCTTCTCCATATAGCATCATCAATTTGCATAGTACATAATATCACCTCTAATCACATTTTGCATAATAATAATTTAAGCCTCCAGGGACTCTGTGTGCCTCTCCACATCTGTTATTGATTGAGGGTATTTATATTCAACGTTAGTATCCAATCCACCCAAAGTGTTCCACAGATGATTTGGTCATATCTCTCCCTTCCTAATTCTCTGGTAGGCTGATTAAAAAATGTTTACATTTCTTTCTTTCTGCTTGTTCCTCGAACTATAGGGCAAGAATCCATGGCCATATGCAGTTATTGTATTTTAGATTGATTAGTGGTGGCAAAAATCAGTGCTTCATTTGCAGTTTGAGAGATGTCTTTTATTTGATTAGAAAGGTTTTCAAATTTCTGTGCAAGTGGTGCCAATGCAGTAGCCCAGTCACATATTAGGGCTTGGCAAATTCTGTCAGTGTAGGAATCCGAGTCTCTATTGACCTCCATAAGTGCTGCCACTTTCCCACCTTTCTGTGGGCAAGTGTTGCCTTTAGACATATCAGTATCTGAGGCCTTGTCTGAGCCCTCAGATATTGAGCCTTTATTTGCTTTTTAAAAAATAGATCTAAACATGTGGTCTTGCATTTAAATCCTCAAAATCCTTGACTCATTACCATTCCTGGTGTGTAAAAAAAATTCTATACCAAAGCCTATGGTTGTCTTTCAATTAGATTTGCCCCGTCATATTCAAAGACATAAAATTATGCCACCATTTAGCTTTGGAACTAGTGACACACCCATTGTCTTTGTTGTGCTCAATGTGGCAATTAATATATGCATTATCCATCACATTCCATCACTACTTTATAGGGACAACACACAATGAAACTAGATGAGATACAAAATGCTAATTAGAAACCACACCAGCAGCAAGAGAACATGATTGTCATCAAGATCACAACATGCAGAGGGGAGGTTTAACTTTAACCCATTTTTTCTTAACCACAAGCCTTATGAAAAAAAGTAAGTTATTAGCTGAGCTTTTCTCCTAAGTATAATAGCTCTGTCTGTGTCTGTTTTTCATTATGATTGTGTTGGAAGATGAAAATATGGAATCTCTCCTTCCTGCATATTGTGGCCCTGATGAAAATTGTTTATGTGTATTTGCTATATATTTATATTTAAAATTGATATTGTATGCAAGAACATAAACATATGTGAGACCACTTTTTCTTTGGCCCACAGCAGACACCAGGGGTGTTCAGGGGGTACTGAGCATTTGTTGGAGAGCCATACATTCCCTGTATCTGACAGTTTTTGTACCAGTGTCCCATACACCAGCATCACTAGACTACAGTTAAATCATACCATTATAATAAGAACTTTCAGGTGTTGGTACAGTTTCTTATTATGCCACCAATGTACATGACACTTTACAGAGTACTGTAGACTGAACAAAGGGTCTCTCTTTGCCAAATAATGTGAGTTTTGGCATCGAAAGCCATTTTTATTTGTAGACTTGCTGCTCCTCACAATGCATACAAAATACACACAAAGTATATGGTTTCAGTGTATTACATGTGTTCATCTGTGTATGAAGTCTCATAGTAGTTTACAGGTTTAAGAATTACTGATGCAGCATGGGATAAATGCATGCAGAAGTGATAACAACACAAATAATATTTACATATTCAGACATGTCAGAAGCCAAGCCACAGTTTCTCTGTGTTACTGTAGGTTTTGTGCTTAGCAAATGCTAAAATATTTTATGTTCTCTAGAAATAGAGGCAATTAAATAGAATGCATTTTCAAAGTTTTAGTCTGAAAATGCAGTACTTTTCTTAGCGCAAAAGCTTGACCTTCCTGATGATAACATCTTTATTCATGCAATGTAGTGGTAGTAAAAACATACTAATTATATCTGCTCCCCTCCCTCTTTCTGAAGATCTTCTATAAACAAGATTCTACATATGTTACGGGTAGAATGCCAGTTTGTAATAAATCTTGGGTACATGGATATTTGGTAGTCAGCAAAAAAAAATTCTAATCTATCTAACATCCTGTCCAAAGTTCTGGCAATTATCATAGACAAGGCAAAGTGGTCCACAAGAAGAACAAAGGCTTTGTTCCCTCCTTTCTCTTTTTATTAATAGGAGAGAGTTCTCCTTTTGGAAAGGAAATTGGCACACTTTAAAAAGCTGGTTAAAATATATCTAAAGAGGGTCATGAAAATCCCACACTCCCACTACTGATAAATAATTAAAAAATGAGTAGTGGACTCTAGTGGAAGCTTGCCCAAGTAGAAAACTTAAATTGTTTTCTAAGTTTCCACAAAAGGATTAAAGGCTTATCTGAGATTTTTACTAAGTGTTCTGGATTTTACAAACCTCTACCAGTAGACTTTTATGGGCTGAAATATGATTTCTCAGGGAGATGACCTAGAAGTCTAATGAATTTCATAAGCTGGTCTCAGTTCTAACTAGTTAATTGTAATTGGGAATAGAAGCTGAATTCTTTAGCAGCCTGCACTTTAAGATCCCAATTTTTTGGCGTATTAAATTAAAAGACATGATTTGGGAGGACAAGGCAGGATATCAATCATTAAAATGGTTATTATTTGAAACACTGTTTCATGCCATCAGTTCTCTCCTTACCTACTTAGCAAGGTAAAATAATATGGTTATGTACCAGCCTAATTTTCAGTTTGGATTCAGCAGTTTGTAAAACAGAAAGCCTCCATTCAGTGTGTTAGTGGGTTCTCCAATTCAATTCATTTGAATCCACTTCATTTTCTCTGCCTCCTCTCCCCAGACCCCACTTCACTAGCAGGAATTCAAACAACGGGTATACCTTCATACCCCCTTTATAAAAGCAGATGAAATGTGAGGGCACGGTAGGCCCTCCAGAGTGGATAAATTACAGACAAATAAATCCAGAAGTTCCATTGCTGATTAAATACCTTAAAGGATCACTCTCTAATTAATATATATATAAAGAAAGAACTGTATGAAATTTGCAAGAAATAGCATCCCTTCTGGGGACATTATTCCTGCCAAATTTCAGAAGGATAGCTGCAGTGGCTTTCCTGAAAGGGCAAGGTTCATCAGTCTGAAAATTGCAGGCATAAGGAAAGATAAGAAATGTGCCAGATTTCAGGCAAAGAAATCCAGGATCATTTGTGCTAGGTACTTACAAGCTTTATGTGTTAGTCACAGCAGGGGTGGGGAAATTTTTTCAGTCCAAGGGCCACATTCCGTTTTGGGCAATCTTCTGGGGGCCACCTGTTAGAGATAGAGGCAAAAGTGGAGCAACTGATGTGATGTGCTATTATAGCAGTCTTCAGATATCTGAAGACTCGTTCCCTACTGCTCCAGAGGGCAAAACAAGAACCAATGGTGGAAACTGCAGAAAAGCAGATTTCAGATAAACATTAGTACAGGGGTAGTTAACCTGTGGCCCTCCAGATGGTGTAGTATTCCAGTTTCCATCATACCCAGCCAGCATTTCCAATAGTTGGGAATTGCAGTCCAACAACATCTGAAAGGCCAGCCATCCCTGCACTAGGATAAACTTTCCCAAGGTAGAAATTGTTCAACAATGGAACTGACTGCCTAGGGAGAAGTGCTTTCCTTTGCTGGAAGTATTTAAGTTAAAAGGACAGCCGTCTGGACAGCCGTCTGTCAGCAATATCTGTCAACTATACTGTGGTTGCATCACTGCAGACTGCAATTAGCAGAGAATTTGGTTTAAAAACCTTCAAGCTTCCTTCTAACTCTTATTTTTTTGCTCTCTGGAATACCTATGATGCTGTATCTGCTCTCCTTTTAAAATGTTTAAGCTTTTAATATATTTACATTTTTATCATTAAAAACAATGAAACAGGAAAACAGGATATAATATTTTAAAACAAAGAATAAAGAAGAGCAGCCATTTGTCGTCAAAGCTCTAAACTTAGGACTGTTTCATACCTACGTGTATATACGCCTATAGCACTTAAAGTGTGCACGAAACGCATAGAGAATTTGCTAAGAATACAAGATCTTAAAGCGCAACAATACAATGTGTGGGAAAGGCGTTTCAAATTCTCCCCACCCACCTGCAGGAAATTGCAAATTAACTTGCGTTGTTCTAACTCAACCTGTAAACTGTTGGAAGTCATTAAGCCTCGCCAGCTTTTCTGGTGCCACCACCAGCCTAACCTGATAAGGAGGGCAATGCTTTCCTTACCCAGTTCCCAAACATTTGGAGAGGAAGAAAAACAAACGTTATTCAGTTGAATAAAATCCAACTTCAAGACCTCTCGCGAGAAGAACTAATCAGCCGTCCCCTCCAATCTACAAGCTCTGCAGTGTGTGCCTGTTTCCCTGGAGACCAGCGTCGCTTAGCAAGATTTGTGCTGAGGACGCGCGCGGTCGATTTCCCGGGTAAAGTTCTGATCGAACGTTGGAAGCCGCGCAGCTCAGGTCTAGCGCGTGGCGGCCCCGGGGGAGCATGAGAAGCAGCAGCAGCAGCAGCTCCCGCGGGGGCTCTGCCTCTGCCAGGCTCATCGATGTGACCAGCAACGCGCCGTTGCTGCTGCCACCTGCCTCGGTGGCAGCCTCGCTAGAAGCGGAGGTATGGACCCCTAGCTCCAGTCCTGAGCTACTGGTGCGCGGCTCAGTGCTTTGGGCAGGCCCCCTTCTCTCAAATATAATATCCAGAGTAGGCACCCCCAAACTCGGCCCTCTAGCTTTTTGGGACTACAACTCCCATCATCCCTAGCTAACACGACCAGTGGTCAGGGATGATGGGAGTTGTAGTCCCAAAACAGCTGGAGGGCCAAGTTTGGGGGTGCCTGATCCAGAGGCAAGGTTTTCTCTTGGTATCAAAAGAGAAATCCTATTAATACATTCCGTTGGTACATGTTGACTATTTACGTGAGTAAATGTGTAACTGTGTGGTTGCCAGCACCCGCCCTTTTCCTAAATTCAACAGGTGAAACTTTCCTCATCGCTGAATCTCCGTGGTAGGAAAAGTGGCACCTCCTGAATTTTACTCAGCACACAGCTATTATAGGCATAGCAGCATCACCAAGAAAAAGACAGAAAGAAAAGGTTTCGACTCCTATCGTGGTACAGTACAAGTTGGGATGTGCTGTAGTTCCCTCTGTGTCGCTGCAGTAGCTCAGATGTGCCCCCTAGCTTGCACTTTGTTTTCCAGTTCCGTTTTTAGACCCTTTATTGATGTCATGGCTGAAGTCCTGTTTTAACTCTGGCCCAGTCTTCAGTACTGCAAGCCTCTGGTTACGGTGTTTGTCATGTGCCTTGACTATAATTACGCAGGTGACAGTATTCAACCAAGTTACAGTGATAAAAAATGGTCCGCACAGTTAGGCACCAGCTCCCGTCAGGTACAGCTAGTGTGGCCAGTGGTCAGGGATGATAGAAGTTGTAGTGCAGCCACATCTTGAAGGCCACAGGTTCCTGATCCCTGTTTGGACCAACCTTGAAGGTCCTGCTTCAGCTGCTCCTGGCTGAACTGGCAGCAATTGGAGCAGGGTGTTTGCCGTATCAGAGAACATGTCGTCCCCCCACCCCATGAATTTTGCTTGGTGCCTACACTGTCATTTAGATACTAGAAAGCCATTTTAAGTTCCTGGGACAAATGCTGGTTGGGGTTTTTGCCACTGTTTTAAACGTCCGTTGTTAAATTGTCAACTATTTTCTTTATATGATCTTTCTAAAAAAGATGATGAGCTACCTTAAGCATTATCACCAGGAACGTGATATAAATAAAACATTTAAAGCATTGTTAATGCGCACAAATGCACACTGGAGTTGCAGTTGTTCAACATTCAGAACCTACTGCTGAGTCTTTACAAGTTAGAGACCAGAGCCAAATTGGGATACTCAGATGAAGGGTGGTATATAAATATAATAAATAAAAGATAAATACAAACTGCTCACGAATAATAAGGAACAGACTAGAGTGGTACCTCGGGTTACAGGAGCTTCAGGTTACAGACTCTGCTAACCCAGAAATAGTACCTCAGGTTAAGAACTTTGCTTCAGGATGAGAACAGAAATCGCACGGCAGCGGCATGGCAACAGCGGGAGGCCCCATTAGTTAAAGATTAAGAACAGTTAATCAGGTTAAGAACAGTTTCAGGTTAAGAACGGACCTCCAGAACAAATTAAGTTCTAACCCAAGGTACCACTGTATAATTTTACGCTGTATTTTGTAATGCTTGTTGGGTAAATTACTATATAGGAGAATTCTATATCTTTTTATTTCTCATCAGTATCAAATTGCAAGCATCCTTTTAAAAAAAATAAAAAAGTGGTTGCCTAGGATTCTGGGCAAAGGTCTTTCCTAAACTTGCCGCTTGAGACCTGTGACCGGAGATGCCAGATGTCTTTCGGTTTTTTTAGAGCAAAACGTGTTCTACAGAAATTCACAGAGTTAGGCTAAGTACACACTATACAAAGAAGCATCTCCCAAGAATCTTGAGTACTGCTGTTTGTTAAGGGTCCTACGGATTGTAGATCTATGAGGGGTAAACTATAGCTCCCAGGATTCTATGGGGGAGATGTGCTTTTAGTATATGGTGTTTACACAGCCTTAGTTCACATGTTATATTGGACTCAATAATGTGAGCAATGTAACATGGTTTTGTTTGTAAACTATGAATACAGCTGCTGTAAAGATCTATTACCACATCCACCCCATCATATAAAGCACTGTTACCACTTTAACAGTCATGGCTTCCTCCAAAGAATGCTGGGAACTGTAGTTTGTTCAAGATGCTGACGGCTGTTAAGAGACCCCTAGTTCCCTATCCCAAAGTGGTTTAACAGTCAATCTTCATGCCTATGGAACTCTGGCAATTGTAGCTCCATGAAGGAGTTACTCTGTGTATGGTCTCTGTTTTACTAGCTTACATATTATGTCACTGATGTGAATGGGTGACTGAATGTTGTCTTAGTCTTCCGTTTGTGTTCCTCTCTTGTTGGAAGAAACCCACACATCATCAACTTGTCTGACCACTCAGTACCTGTTCAGTATAACTTGCTTCATTTGTATTTTTCTTGGACAAGAAAGCTAACTACTAGTAAAAGTTTTGGAAGCAGCAAAAGGGAAGGCCCTCCCTAAAAAGAATTGTTCTGTGTCAGTTCTCAAGGTCTGGTAGCAGATCAATCCAGTTCATTTGCTGTTTCATTTCATAGAGCACAGCTGCAGTGTGCCTTGTATGGTATAAAGCACTAAAGATTATTGTTTCAATTATACTTAGGTACAGCTTGGTTATTAAAGCTTATCTTTCCTAATTCAAGGACTAAACTGTTTCTTGTAAAATGCTGCAAGAGGGAGTATTTATCCAAGGTTTTCCTCTTTTCAGTTCTTTATCTTTCATCCAACTCAAGGCTTTGATCTAAAGTTCAGAGAAACCCAGGAAGATTGTTGCTCAAGTTTCTCATAGGACCTTTCCAGATGATGGGGCAAAAGACTAAGATTTCATGTGTAGCATTTTATTTGCACTACACTTATACTGCATATAGTTACAACACCTGTAATGTAATACCCAGTCTCCACATAACATATGGAGACAAGTCACTTTGTGGTTTTCATATGTTCACTTTAACTTATGCTAACCTTTTTCTCTAGAGTCCATAATAATAGTGTATACTGCAAACTCATTGATATTTATAATTAAAATTAGAACTGCAATTGCATCCTCTAAAAAGAAATATCCCACATCATCCAACCACCTTAGGGACTGCACTCCACATATTTGTAGGGTATACTCCTTAGCCTTTTCTTCTCCTGAAGGGGTCCCACAAAGCACTGGGTACTTTTGTAATAACATACAGTATTCTCAGTGCACATGTAATGCAAGCCCAGGAACAAAGTTGAAGCATAATCTTGGAATATGGAAGTAGGAGAGTGAAATACCTAAAATGGATGACAGTCATGGAAGTGGATTGTTCTGTTTGTTTGTTTGTCCATCTACCCACCTACCCACCCACAGGATTTATAGCTCTCTCTTCATTGATACTAAAACCATGATGGGATACAACATAAATATGAGTTTGTGTGAATGTAACCACATCATATTTCCATGGGGAAATTCCTTGTTTGAAAGCACCCTTCATGTCAATATTCTGGATTGACATTCGGTGTTGTTTTTCGCTATATCCAGATAATTACCAGCAGTCCTGGATTCATAAACATACAACAATTGCAAAATTGAGCATATTGATTTATTGGATCTATTGTTCAGTTACAGCAAAAAAACAAACATCTTTATACATTTTTTATAACATTAGCAGCCAGACAAAAACAACCAATCCACTTTTTTTTTTTTTGCCAGTCAGCAACTACTTATCTCTGTTCTTTCTTCTTTTTTCAGGCTCCCTTCCTCTACAAAGGCAAGGCCTTTTATAGGATTTGTTATTATTTTATAGTAGACAAATTAAGCTCCTCATCTGCACCTTCTAGTAGCAAGTAACGGTTTCCTATTAAGCCTTTGGCATAACCTCCCCATTGTCAAATTTTAAATTGTTAGCTCTTCAGGACAGGGACCTGTTTTCTTGTACACTGTTGCCACAACATTCCTTATTTATTACATTTTAAACCTACTTTTCCTCTAAGGAGCTCAAGGTGACATTTATGGTTCTCCCCCGTCTTATTTAATCTCAACAATAACCCTATGAGGTAGCTTAGGCTGAGAAACAGTGGCTGGCCCAAGCTCATCCAATGAGCTACATAGCTGAATGGGAATTTGAACCCTGGCCTCCCAGTCCCCGGACCAGCACTCTAACCACTACCCCACACTGATTCAATACTGATTATATTCTAAAATCACTGATTATATTCTAAATCCTAAGGGTGTGTTTGCGTGGTTGGCTCCTAGGCTGATGTGATTTTGTAAAGTGTACAAACAATCAGCATAAAAAAACTCTGTGAGCACCTTATTTTTGGGCATATATGTTTGCTGCATGGAAAGCCCTTGTGTTTAGAAGGTAACTTGCATGCAGATCACGTGTGTTTCTTTTGTTGCAGTCAATTGTAGCTACTTAACTTAAAATATATGGCATGAAATGTGTGAATGTCATACATTTTTATTTATTTATTTAACAGAATGTATTTATCAGTTAATCGTCAAAAACTTATCTGTTTACATATGAGGTATCTACATGCAGAGCTGGCTACTTCCTCTCTTAATGGACATTATTTTTCTGTAGGAAAGTGGCTAACCTATTGGGACAGGGGTGGGATCCAGGACAAGTGTAACCATCTGCTCACCATTTGGTGCGGTTTTACTTGCATTTATTACCTGTCCATTTCATAAAACTCTTCTCTTCTGTGGGTTGCTTTTGGGATATGCAAGTATAAAACTGGTCAACCTGAAGGTTACTGGTCATCAGTAAGGTAATATTTCCTTTGATGACCCAATCGATCTGTTAGGTTCTGAAACTCTCCATAAAAAACCACTGAGCTTTTGCTGCCAGAAAAGCAATTTGCAAACTCTGTGTATGATGAAAGCAATTTTGCCTGTGGTCATAAATCTGTGCTTTGTAACTTTTGGAATTTCAAAGACACAGCGGGCATCCAAGCAAGACTCTTCTTTTGTTTGCATTTCAGCTGCTTATCATCCAGATTTCGGTAAAAAATAAATCACAGAAATATTTTCTTTTTAAAACTTATTTTTATTCTGTATTTCTTTCCCTATCCCCGATTGAACTTTAATTTTCCCATCCCTTCTCTCTCTCTCTCTCTTTAAATATTTTTGGTGTGGAGTAATGTGTCTATGAATAACATGTAGGCAAAGCTGTATGCTTTATTTTAAACAGATTGCCAGTAAAGCGTAACCCCAAGAAGATGGAGACATTATTAGAGTCCAAAATAAATGAATATATCTGATTTATAGATCCAACCCAGCAGAACATGTCAAGGTCTGTTTTTCCTTGCACATAGACTAAAGGGAAACAGAAATATCCAAAAATCACATATCACATTTAATATGATTATATAAGGTTGACACAATGGTTGTTGCACAATGGGGAAAGCTGGTGGGCGTGTTCTCAGCCACATGTTGCAGGGATGCTACCTAGATCTTGTGAGGACAGTTAGTATAATAGATTGGGAGGCATGCTCTGCTTTTGCTTTTGCAACTTTTAAACCACCCATATATGCTAGGCTCCATAAATATCCTGGGTTTGCTGCCTGACTGGAACTGCAAACACAGGAGATGGTTGAGCACCTGGCATGGTGGATGGGATGTGTTAGGCTCTGTAGTTCCAAAGCTATTCTGACACACAGTCTAGGCACATGGATCAGTTCGGAGTGGTTGTTCTCGTCTCTCGGCCGCTTTTACTACAGCATTTCATATGGAAGTACAGTGGTACCTCGCAAGACGAATGCCTCGCAAGACAAAAAACTCGCAAGACGAAAGGGTTTTTTGTTTTTTGAGCTGCTTCACAAGACGATTTTCCCTATGGGCTTGCTTCGCAAGACGGAAACGTCTTGCAAGTTTGTTTCCTTTTTCTTAACACCGTTAATACAGTTGCGACTTGACCTCGAGGAGCAACTCATAGAACGCGGTGTGGTAGCCTTTTTGAGGTTTTTAAAGACTTTGGTGATTTTTGAAGCTTTTCCAAAACTTTCCCGACACCGTGCTTCGCAAGACGAAAAAAATCGCAAGACGACAAAACTCGCGGAACAAATTAATTTCGTCTTGCGAGGCACCACTGTAGAGCAGAGGAAACCACTACCTCATTACTTTACCTGGTTTTTGATGCCCAGTCATCCAACAGTTTAGAACAGAAATGAGCAAAAGGTATTTGCTTTGTGTACTTTTCCCAGCTTTATTTTATGCAGCCTGTTTCTTGGATCTCAGTGGATTTACGATTGCTAAAATATTCTCTGATTACAGTAACCTTTTAATTGTATATACTTTAGTGACAATCTGTGCAGAAATTCAACAGACAGGCCAACACTTCACGTTTGGGAAAAACTCATTTGTTGGTGAAATAATACAACCTACAAATAACAACTAAAACAGCAGGAGCTGCTTTAAACAAACAAACAAACAAACAAACAAAAATAGTAATGTATAAAAATTTGCTAAGCACCAGAAACAATCTAGGTGCTGTACAATTTCTTAATATACAGCTTTTAAAGGCCTAGGAGCCTTGCTAAACATAATCTAACAGCCATTACCCCCCATCCCATCCAGTACTGTTTGTTGTGTTTTACTAATGCAACAAAATACAACTCACATGCCAGGTGTACCTAGTAGGTAATAAAGACAGGACCTTTTCAGTGATGGCCCCTAATCTCTGGAATTCAGTCACATTAGTTCTGGCCTTCAGAAAGGATTTGAATGGTTCAACTGAGATGATTTTTTTAAGTTTACTGCTGGCTTTTAGACTATGTTATTTGACCTTGTGCTAGTTGGAGAGTGTACAATAATGGGGGAAAGCAGTGATTATGGCGTAAAAACCTCTCAGATGAGGTGCTTAAAGGAATAATCAACAATATTTAAGCCATAACAATATGAACGATGAACCCCTTCCTGGGTCTGTGAGCATCATACCATTTGAGTACAGAACATCCTTGTAAATAAGCCCACAAAAGTTACTAGCCTGCACCTTATTTTGTCAACCTAAGAGTCTCATAATTTCCATGTTGTCTGGAAGAGACTGAAAGCCTTCTCTTCTGGACTGGAACCAGAATGGAAATGAGGCTTGTTTCTTCCATGCAAGCTAGCAGCAGAGAAAGGGGGTTCCCTTTGTGTGTGGTCATCACGGAAACCAAAATGTTGCAAGGAGTGGCGGAAAGAAGGGAAGAAGAACAGAACAATCTGTCCCTCTTCTGCCATCCCACTCACTTGCCAGCACATAATTCCTTGTTGCCTACAACAAGTGGACAAATTGCAGAAAAGAAGCCTGAAATAAAAGCACTGGAAGGTTTAGGTTTCTATTTTTCATTCAGGCCAGAGTGTAGACAAATTGAAGCCAAGACACAAGGTGTGTTCAGGCAAACACTGTATCTGTGGGTATTTGGGGAGGTGGGGGCAGAGGCAGGCATGCATGCTCCATCCCCATAAATATCACCATGTTAGTTTAGTTCCCAGCCTTCACTGTATTGAGCAGGGAATGTTTACATGGGGCTTCTACTCACATTCTCTTGAATGCATGTTGAGCCGTCTGAGTGGTTAGCTGAAATTTGTTTAGATGCCTTTGTCTGATTATTTATACACATAAAGATTAACCCCAGCCTTCCTTAAACCTCAAATCATAGTTGTACTGTTTATCTTTTCTTCATAGCGTTAAATACAATTCTGCTCCAAAAACACATTAGGTTTAATTTTATTCAAATAAACAATGCAACAGTTACCCAGATGTCATGTTAGAAGCATATTTGGAAGGCACGTATTTGATTGTTCTCACTTTCACAAATCCTTGCTTTTATTTAAGATAATTGGGCTTTGGGGGATAACTGTTGCCAGCTGTTCTCAGACTATAGAAACAACATTCAGGATTCTTGTACAGCAAGAGAAATGTACAAAACTACAAAATACCACCAACATCCTGAGTACTGTGTCAGCCAAAAAAATAAAAATCCAAACATGTATTCATTTAAAAACTATATTCTACTTTCCCACTTTAATAGAATGTCTACTTTGACCCATGAGGCTGTTTTGACTTAGCCACACACACTTGCCACACACACTGCACACCTGATGTCATATATGGCATCACCCATTAGGGCAGGCAAAGTTGTGGCTGGACCACGGGATTGCAGGCACTTCTTATCAGCTGATTGGCAATACCTGGAAAGCCTGGGCCACAGCAATTTGCAAGCACCAGTTTGCAAGCTGAGTATTCCAATGACCAATAGCCATGATATAGAACAGAGGCCTTTCAACCCCACTTACTGGGTCAATCCCTCCAGAAACCATCCTAGCCATCATAATACTTTAGCTGCAAATTCCACTCTGGAAAGGCAATCCAGAATTCTACCATGGCTGATGGCATTGAAAGTCCCTGAGAGGCCCAAGAGAATTAACACGACAGCACTCCCCCCAGTTGATTTTCTTGCCCAGGTCATGCACCAGATTGGAAAGCTGTCTTTAAAATTGGTCCTTTGCAATCCTAAGTGAAGCAATAACAGAAGAAAAGAAAACAAGGAGTTCTTATTCTTTGCCTTTGACCCTGACTATACTATTTTCACTAGGGAGCTCATAATTATTTTCTGTCGGATGTTCCTGTTACTCGAGAGCAGCTGTGCCACTATCGGAATGCAGCAGAAACGGCTCGTAGTGAGTTAGCAGCACTCCTGGTGAAGTATGAATGTTCCCAGGCAGAGGTAAGTTTGGAACTGACATTAAAATGTTTCTTAACCTTTTTGTAACACAAATGTTTCTTGACCCACAGAAAACATCCAGTGAGCTACACTTACCAGAAGGTACATGCTGATAAATGCCTCATTTTACAGGTATCCTGGTCATGGTTAGTGTATTTGGCTTGTGCCCAGAGGTTTGTCTCCTCTGAAGTCTCCAAACTTTCTTTTAGGCCTTAGACTACAAACCAGAAGTTTCACTGAGTTCAGTAAGAATGACTGATACTGGACTATAACCTTAGTCTTGTTTCCCCTTGGCTTAGCCATCCAGGTCCCATAGCCCACATACTACTTAAATCTTATTGAAGTGAATGGAATGCGAGCAAGATGGCAGAGGAACAGCTGAAGGTGCTTTATACTGTGTCAAAGCATTGGTCCAACTAGTTCAGTATTGTCTACCCTGACTGGCAGCTGCTCTCTGAGCTTTCAGAAAAAGGGCATTCCCTGTTTTAAAATGGTTTATCCTGGTGAATAAGACTTTGTATTGGCCATGCCTAACTAACCATTCACAGCACACAAACTGCAGGCTTCAGGAAGTTCTTTATTTACAGTTCAAAGCTGGTATATTACAGAAAGACATCTTGCCTCTGCAAGAGCAGAAAAATGCATCCTCTCTCCTCGACAGCTTGGAGAGAATCACACAGTGAAAAAACAGGAAACCAGTGTACGTCACATCCAGTCTCCCTTTCCCGTGAGAAACTCCAACAGTAACTCAGACTGTGGAATGCAAAACAATGTCTTGTGACTGCAGTTGCTGCTCAGTGAGGAAATAGAAACCAACATCCTCCCCTTTCTGTGAACATCACTGGGCAGCGTGTTCGTACAGTATCAGTACAAACCCAACTTCTGCACATAGGTACAGTGTTGATCCCTTGATACAATCTTGGACAATACATCAGCAGGAATTTCATTACCTGGCATATAGGACACCGTTACGAGTCCCTTCTGAATACATTCCCTAGCATGCTGCAACTTTAATTGCAAGTGCTTTGTGCTTTGCTTACAACCTTCAGACTTCAGCAAAGCCAAACATGCTTTGTTGTCCTGGTAAACCTGGATTGGACATTTGACAGGAATTTTCATATCTTTGCACAATTGTACTAACCATTCACAATCCTTAAGTGAATAAGACAGTGCATTCAGTTCAGCTTCACAAGTACTTAAGCTAACTGTTGTTTGCTTCTTGCATGACCAATCAAACAGACTCTGATTGTACATGTAGCAAACTCCAGACGTACTTTTCCTGTCTGTAGCGTCACTTCCAAAACTTGCATCTGCAAATATCTCAAGACCACCAGACTTCTGATTGTTAAATCTCAGTCTGTAATGCATAGTGCCTTTCAAATACCGCGCTATGCGTTTCAGAACTTTCAATCCTTGACACTAGGATTGTTGACTTGTCTGCTTAGCAAATTACAGCTAACAGCAATGTCTGGTCTTGAACATCTGGCAATGAAGTTTAGCTTGCCTAGCACACTCCTGTACAGTGTAGTGTCAGAAAATGCTTCTTCAGTGTCATCTACCTGATAACCTGTTGTCATCGGTGTGTCTACAGGGTTAGCATCCATCAGATTTAGTTTGCTTAACACATCAGCAATTTTCCGTGACTGGTGTACTAGAATGTTACCATCTTGATCTCTCTCTATTTCCAGAGATAGGTAGTTGTTTACCTCACCAAGATCTTTCATGTCAAAGTGCTCTTTCAGTTGAGCTAGGGCGCTATTGTACATTGCAACATCTTTCCAAAAGAATAATAAATCATCAACATAAAACAAACAGTACAGTTTCTTTTGCCCCTCCTCTTTGACAAATACACATGGATCAGCTTTCCCTTGCTGAAAACCTAGAAAACAATACTTCAGTGAGTTTGTGTGCCAACACCGTGCACTTTGTTTGAGACCATAAAGGGATTTCTTCAGAGCACAAACAAATCCCTGTTTTACCTGTACGCCATCAGGTGGAAGCATATAAAGTGATTCATCTAGAGATCCGTACAGAAAAGCTGTATTAATATCATGGTGACTAATGTGTAGATTTTCCTCTGCAGCTAGCTTGAGCATAAGCCTAATGCTTTCATATCTCACTGTGGGTGAATAGGTCTCGTGATAGTCTTCACCTGGTACCTGTGCAAAACCTCTGGCTACCAATCTGGCTTTGTGTCTGACTATCTTGCCATTTTGATCTGTCTTCGCTTTGAAGACCCATTTGCTTCAAGCAGTTTCATTCCTGGAACTACTGGAACTAGCTCCCATGTTTTGTTCCTTTCTAAGGAATCAAGCTCAGCCTTCATGGCATTTAACCATGGCTCAGCTTCCTTTGAATCCAACCCTGGATTTCTTGGAAACTTGAAGGTTCAAATACCTTCTTGGAGCTTTTAACAGCTGTTACTGCTATCTTAGCAAACTCATCAGCAAATCTCTTTGGAGGTTTGCCTTTTGTAGCTCTCTGTGACCTACGAATTAGCCTTAAGTCTTCAACACTCTCCTCTTCCTTCTTAGGAGAAAAACGACCTATTGTGAACAATGGTTCCTCCAATTCTTGATCAGAGCTTTCAGAGGGTCGCATAGAGGCTTTCGCACTCTTGAAATCCTCTGAATCACCCGATTCAGTTTCAGATTCAGACTCAGAACCTTCATCAGTGGGTGTGGGTTGTTGTGGTTGCTTTGACTATCCTCAGTCTCATCACCGTCATCAGGATAACATTGGAAAATTCCCACATTCTCCCCCACTTTGCATTGTACTCAACACTTCTCGTGAGCTTAATTGTCTTAGAGTCAGTCATCATTATTCTGTAAGACCCTTTCTGATAACCTAGAAAGATACCATGCAATCCACGCTTGTCTAACTTGGAGTTTTGTGGTGAGCGAACCCACATGTCAGAACCAAAAATCTTCATGTGTTTGATGTATGGCTTCTTGCCAAACATCTTCTCATAGAGGTACAACCAATCGCTGAAGATAACCTGCGATTGTAACTGTAAACAAAACACGAGAGAGATTCGGCCCAATAACTCTCTGGAAGATTGGCATCATGCAGCAAGGTTTTTAATCCTTGAAGCAATGTCTGATTTGCCCGTTCCGCAAGTCCATTCTGCCATGGCGAGCGAGGACTAGACAAATCGTGTTGAATTCCTTTCTCAGTCAGAAAAGCTTCAAACTGCTGAGAAGTGAATTCCCCGCGATCACTGAAAAGAGTCTTTATCTTCTTACCATGCACATTTTCCAACCAAGCACAGAATTCCTTGAACCTAGGAAAAGCCTCCGATTTCTGCTTGAGATTGTACACAAAAATATATCTAGAAAATGCATCAATGAGAACCATGAAGTATCTATTTCCACCCAAAGAGGGCGTAAGTGGTCCAACCAAATCAGCATGAACAACCTGGTATGGTTCTGTAGCTTTCCTACTAGACACCTTACCTTTCGCAGCCATTTTCACCTTGTTTGCTGCGCATGCTTTGCACTTCATGTGGTACCTGCAGGGTTTAATAGTCATACCTTCAACCAAGGCAGGCATTTTAGATACTGCCTCAAAATGCAAATGACCAAATTTGCGATGAAAATCGTGAATACATTCTGCATGCAAACTTTTGTTAGAACCTGCAATGCAACAAGTGTCATCCTGCACCACATCATCATAATACAAAACAAACAAATGATCAACATATTCTGCATGCAATACATAATCATTTTTCTTTGTGATGATGCACTTCTTGTTCTTGAAGGAAACGTCAATGTTCCGCTCATTCAGCTGTCCAACGCTGAGCAGATTATGTTTGGCGTCTGGCACGTAAAGCACATTCTGTATCGATAAGTCCAAACTGTGAAGAACAACAGTTCCGTAGCCTTTACTGGGAATAGTGTGGTCATCCGCCTGGTGAATCGCACCTTCCTGCGGTGTAAAAGACACAAACAGTTTCTTATCGTTGCACATGTGGTGGGTGGCCGCTGAATCAACAACGAAGAAAGATCTAGACGTCTTCTGGACCTCTGCAACCTTTGGAGTGAAGCGTGAAACCATAGCCTTGTGCTGCGTTGTCCTAGACACCGGACCTTTGCCTTTGCCTCGGCCTTTTCCGCGCGATGAGCTTTCGCTGCGCTGCTCTGTCTTGGCCCTGGGATGTCTGCATTCCCTCTTCATATGGCCTAGACGTCCACACGAGTAGCATTTCACTGCCTTCAAAGCTTTGGCGCCATCTGGTGGTTCCACTGCACTATGGGATGACGTCTGTGAAGACTCCCCTTGCCCATGCAGCTAGCACCCCGGCGATCTGCTTCATTTAAAATCACGGCAGTAACAAAGTCCACTGTCAGCTGAGCAGTTGGTTGCACAGCAATCTGGGTTGCAACAGACTCCCAACCTGAACCCAAAGATTGTAGTATCATGAAAGAATACACAGCCTCTGGAAAGTTGAGTCCTCTCTGTTGCAGCTCATGTCTCAGATTTTGCATCTCCATTAGATGTAAACGCACATCTCCACCTTCAGCAAGAGCCATATTATGCAGCTTGTTAAAATAAAACATAGTTGATCCAGCTTCTGTCCTTAAGTGAGCCTCTCTCAGAGCGTCCCAAATTTCTCTGGCTGAGGTCTTATCACGCAATAGACAGAGCTCTTCTGGGGATACTATCAATGTAAGAGTTCCCCTTGCTTTGGAATCCTTAGCTTCCCATGCATCTGTAACTGGAACTGGGGGTTCCTGTAATCACCTCAAACAAACCCTCTTTCCGCAGAATTGCCTCTGCATACTGAACCCAGTCGCTGTAATTATTCTTGTTGAGCTTAGGAATCCCACAAGCATCCTGAAGGGCCATCATGACTCTGGCATTAGCCTTCAGCGTCATTATATGCTGCTTTAAATCTTGCTGCGTCACTGCTGCAGCTGCCTCATTACAAAGGCACACTTAAAAGTTACTTTCGATTTCCCCAGCATAGTGACTTGTGCCTGGGAGCCTTTTGCCTATTCCCAGCAAAACCGGCTTTAAAAGTTCAAAGTCCAGCCATAAAGCCATTATCTTGAAGCTGGCAGGCTGCCCGGAGCAGTAGCACATACCTCATCAATCACTTCTACGCGCAGAGCAGATTCCTTTCCGATCCGTCCCTCTGCATTCCGATCCTCTGCCGGCACTCCGATTCGACCTCTGGAGCCCATAACCACGTGTTGATTTAAAGCAGAGTCTGTCGTTGCCCAGCGGAAGGATGAGGAAAATGTGTTACATACTCTATATTGCTTTATTTACAGTTCAAAGCTGGTATATTACAGAAAGACATCTTGCCTCTGCAAGAGCAGAAAAATGCATCCTCTCTCCTCGACAGCTTGGAGAGAATCACACAGTGAAAAAAACAGGAAACCAGTGTACGTCACATCCAGTCTCCCTTTCCCGTGAGAAACTCCAACAGTAACTCTGACTGTGGAATGCAAAACAATGTCTTGTGACTGCAGTTGCTGCTCAGTGAGGGAAATAGAAACCAACAGTTCTCAGGCAAGAAGCATGAGTGCCGCGACATCCCTGTGCATGAATAAGCACATGTACAGTGTTTGCTATATCCACGACGGTGTTCTACAATTTGCATGGCCTAAGCACTAAAATTGGCATTTCTCATCCTCTAATTTTCAGATTTCAGGGTGGTTTTCTAGTCTTAAGGTTGTGAAGGTAGTGGAAGCGACTTTCAAGTGATCATGTGTGGACTGGACCTTCTAAGGACATTTTTTAGGACTGGACTGGTACCATTAAGTAGAGTGAGGCAATCACCTTAGGTGGCAGATGATGTGGGCAGCAGCAGTCTCTCTGCCCAAGCTGGTCCCAAGTCCCTTGGCCATTCTCCTCTGCTGGAGATTATAACTATGTGTGCCAGAGGCTTATCATACATCCCCTAATGTAGCCTGCTGCCCTCAAGTGCAGTGGAGAACACAATCCCATTGCTAGTGTTGACTCATGCAATTCCAGTCAACTTCTGTCCATGAAATGAGGGTGGCAGTGTGAATCTTCTTCAATACATGGGTAAGCAGTATAATTTACTTGATCTGCAGGTCAATCTGATGCATTTGTCCATCAAATTGTAAATGTAGGTCACACATGACAAAATAAGAAAATAATCTGCAGACTTTTTTGCTTTTTCCACATTTTCTGTTTTTAATTAATGGACAGTCCATTAATTACATGTAAGAGAATATGCTTTAATGCATAAACTTTAACGTTGTAGCAAAATCCAGCACATTCAATAGTTGGTTCCTTTGTCTTGTTCTTTTATTATGGGTGTAGGTTTTTGCTTTAAGAGGTATCGTTTACTAGTCTTTTGAATTTAATCAATCAATCAATCAATCAACCACTTAATTACTTTACTGCCCTTCATCCAAATATCACAGGGCTGTTTACAACATGAAAACACAAAACACATTACATAGTTGCAAAAGTGAATACATTTGTTGTTGCCAGATCCATTTAATTAACTTTTGAGTGAAAAGTGATTTTCTTTCCTTATTGCATCTTGTTAGCATGTTAAGTATAGTTCCCACTATTTTGAAGTGCAAATGTCACACTTCAGCATATGGTGAACCTGAAGCTTTTCAAGCACCTGTTTCCATAAATTCTGTTAATAGCAGTTCTATTATATTTATTGTGCAGATTAAAGTTTAACTGTGTAAATGCTGCAGTGGTTCTCTTTATTCCTGTTTAATAATCTGGTTTAAAACCCTCATCCTGAACACGTTTCAGCAGATATTTGCAAAATAAAGCAGCATTGACTTTATATTCAGTCAATCACTTTGGTTCAACTAGTTTGGTGCGAGAGCCACTTTGAGAAGGTCCTGTGGCTGTGAGTAGAAGGCAAAACCTTCCCCAAGTAGCTAATTTCATTTCTGCAACTCACACTTTGACTCCATCTTCCTCTATGAGTTTTTAACTGGGAAATTGAGAATTGTTCTTTAAGGACTCAAATTGCTGTTCCGTAACCATATCTTAGCTTGAATAACTAATTTTTTTATGTGATTTTTAAAAAAATTAAAAATCATTGTTCAGATAATACAGAAAAAGTAATGTTGATGAGGCAGGATGGCTTCCATTTATGAGTTCCACGTGAAATAAGAATAACAATCTTTGCTAAAATCAGCTTCCTTTGTCAGAAGTTTGGGAAGTGGCTAGCATCATAGTAATTTTAAAGAAAGCTTTAAATACTGAAAGAAGGACACCCCCCCCCAAAAAAAAGTGTGAGGGGAGGTAGAGCCTCACATAAATACTCAGACATGGAAGATTTAGTATGCTGTGTTGCTTGCCCAGAAGCGTTTTTAGGGGCAAGAAGGTGCTATAAAACTAATCTGTAGTAGTAGTTCATTTGGGACATGTTTTGCAAAGAAAATGTTTTTGAAGAAACTTGGTCTACTTAACATGCCCTGATTGATATAGAGGGGTAAAACATTTCTTTCATATGGTACTTTCAAACCAATCCTATGCACATTTACTAAGAAGTGAAAGGCACAGATTTCAGTAGACCGTGCTCTCAAATTCATGTGCATAGGGTTGTATCAGGCTTGTTCTTTTCACGCGTAGTCCACCCTGCTGGTTAAATTTAATACACTGATGCAAGAAATTAAAACAAATTTAAGTGAATAGGCAAATTTAAAACTGTCCTGGGAAGGAAGAAATTCAGTAATTAAGATAATAACTTAATAACAAGTAATTAACTTATGCCCCCCTCTCCTGATACTTGAAAATGGTTAAAATATGCACTGGGTCATATTGAGATTTCCCTTGCATGCCTGCATTTCATGATCCATTTCTGTTTATAGCTTCAAGATCTTAAATCCAAAATAGCCTCTAAAGAAGTATCTGTTCAGGAACTGAAGGCTGACGTTGAAAGCTATAAGGAGAACGATGCTAGGCAATCTTCACTACTCCTCTCCATGCAAAGCAGACTCCAGGAGATTGAGAAGGAATCTGGAACAATTGCCTTTTCTAAAAAACAAACAGACCTGAAAGCCCAGGCCATTCTCCAGGAGAATTTGGAACTGAAAGAGAAAACCAGTGAACTGGAAAATAAAGTCAGGTAATGACATCAAACAAACTGACATCTTAACCTAAAATAATTGCCCTAGAGCAGCCTTTCCCAACCTGCTACTCTCCAGATGTTTTGGACCACACTTTGCTGGCTGGAGCCTGGTAGAAGTTATATTGGAAAACATCTGGAGGGCACAAAGTTGGGGAAGCACATGTATTTTCCACTGACTTTTTTTAGTTTCTGTGGTCAGTTGGAAGATGAGAGCTTGTATGTAAGAGCTAATAGGCTTAATAACACTAGCTTTTTGGGTAATTGTTTTAGGTGACTATCATGGGGACTTGGTCAAAAACCTTACTGAAATCAAGATATGCCACATCCACAGCATTCCCCTGATATATGAAGCTTGTAACTAGATCTTAGTAGCTTGTTGGTTTTATCCTGTTTCTTTGGTGCCTAGAGATAGGGAGGTATGATGTAAAAACCTTTGTAAATGCACTATGGAGTTTGACCTAGACTCCTATTGAGTATAGTTTGTGACCTGATTTCTGATGGAGGGCAGATGTTTTAAAACTGGAATTTTGATTTGGTTTAGTTTAATTACATTTATATCCCACCTTTCCTGCAAGTTGTTCAGGGTGACATCCGTGAAGCCTCCCTGAAGAGAGCATTCCGCAAGCAGGGAGCCACTACAGAAAAGGCCCGTTCTCGTGTTGCCACCCTTCAGGCCTCTTATGGAGTGGGCACATAAAGAAGGGCCTTAGATGATTAACACAGGGTGCAGGTTAGTTCCTTTGGAGAGAGGCGGTCCTTGAGGTCCTGAGCTGTTTAAGGCTTTATTGGTCAAAGCCAGGAACTAACAAGCAGCCAGTGCAGTTGGGCCAGGATTAGTGCAGTATGCTCAAACTGTCTTGTCCCAGAGTGCAGCCTGGCTGCTGAATTCTGCACCAGCTGAAGTTTCCACTGTGTTGATGTAAAAATGTTCTTTGTTTTGTGTCCATCATATAAGCTGTTTGTTTTTGCGTTTTATATCTTTTTAGAACCTATTTGAATGAGTCCGAAGAGAGCAAGACCCAAGCCTCTAAGGCCAGCAGGGTGCATAATGAATTCATTGCACACCTTTGTCATTTCTTTGACATGAGCATAATAGAGAAAGAAGAGCCACAGGAAATGCTGCTCTCAAAGGTTTATGTTTTATATAATAATTTGAGACATAGCCACATTTGTGTGTATACCACACCAAACCCAGAGTTCCCATTTTTTACCATGTCATGTGCAGATGATTGAAGAGCTTAATGAGAAAGTGTGACATACATAGCGTCGTAGGGGTTTTGAAGAGGAGAAAGTCTGAAACCACAAATATTCAACAATGGATGTGCCAGAGCAGGAAAGCATAATTTGCAAGAAAGGACATGGTTCTGAAAAAAAAAAGCAGGCATGGATCCAGATTCATATTGGAAGGTCAAGCTCATTTCCTTATCCAGGGCCACAGGCCCAGTTCAGAAAATCCCTTAGAGAATCCCAGTCCTGTTTCAAGAGCCCAGCATTAGGTACAGGCATTCAAAATGGGCAGATTGCTGAAAGGGATATCTGGGAAGGGAGATGCAATCCTTAATGACAATAGCAACCCCTCCTTCCTGCCCACGTTGAGGTTGAGGTTACATCTGGAAAACTAGTGGACACATCAAGAAGAGCTTCTCAATTGTTCCCCTCCATTTACCCATGTTTTACATGCCAGGTTGGCATGTTCTTCTCATATTAAATCACAAATAGCTGCTGTTTTACTCTTTAACTGATCTGACATTTAAAAGCAGCATCTCTGTGATTTGTGGGACCACAGAGTGTTATTGAAACTGAATGATTGACCAGAAGAACCAGCTGCGTCTTCCCCTTACCTGGTGCGTCCACCTTCTGCCACCATTCTACTGCATACCCCTTATTACCTTAATGATAGCTCTTCCTTTTCCCAGGCATTCACAAGGAGCCTACTATAGCCTGCTAAGCACATTTCCAAGGTAATATAATTCTGATAGCCAAATGGACCCCAAACAATCCTGTCCCCCTGAAACAAGCCAGTGGTAAAGGTATTCCAGTGGTTAATATGTATGGTAATAATGAAAGCAGCAAAAGACCTAAGGCCGGAGCAATGCCGTAGAGCACAATCTAGCATTTTATAGGTGGTTGGCCCTAAGCAAGCTCCTTGCAACGTTTCTTGACATAAGACAGGTTCTTCCATATTCACCACCACCACACATTTAGCCTTGCTTTACAGCTCGATGCCCAAGAGGTAGAGAAACTGTCAATCTTGAAAAGGGATGTAATTATGGTAGTAAACCCAGCGAGTGGATATAGCATACCTGATCAAAGCAATGCTTCGTACTTATCCAGAAATGGTTATTCTTTAGGATGTGTGAGATGTGACCCAGTAATGTGTACATATCTATGTTGTGAGACCCATGGAATAGCAATAGCGCAGAGCTGTAAGGTTGTTTAGGTTATGGCCGAAAGCATTTGTATTACTTGAAAGAGTTTAACTGTGATTGAATCATGGCTTTAGTTTAAAAGAAAATAATTATAATTTGATAAGCAAGAGTATTTAAATGTGCATAAACCAGGGAGGGGGAGGGAAGAGTGTTAAATAACCACTTTTAACTAGCTTCCATGCTTCCAGATCAGTGACATGCACGAAGAAAATAAAGTACTAAAAAGACAGATTGCCACACTCCAGGAGACCACGAATGTTCATGACATGGAGTCAAAAGCAAATAGAGAAACCATCATGAGGCTCGTCTCAGAACTCAGCAAAGAACAGAGGCAGGCAGCATCCTGCTGTCAAGAAATGGAAAAGTTAAGTAATGTAAGTCTTTTTCATTTTTCTGTTGTGGGGCATCAAGCCTTTATGCAAAGGCTTACAGTACTTTGAAGAGAGCTAGGTGGTTGCTTGTCACAAGTTTGGGGATGGAGAGAGAAGTAAATGTGACAAAATATTTTCTTAGAATCAAACTAGACAAGTGCAAGCATTTTTAACAGACAAATTGCCATATAGGGCTTTAACCTTTTGCACTTCACAATGGTCCCTATCTGAACTTGGAGCCCCATGCCTGATTTCCATGTGGCGAGAAAAAGTCTCATTGATGTGAATGGGAGTTTTTTCCTTAGGAAAGTTGGAATCCTAGAGGGGCTTTAACTCTTTAACCCTTGTTCTTGATCCAAATTCAGATCAGGAACATAGCTGGAGAAATTGAGTTGAAGCTTCCCTACTCTCCATACTTGGGTTCCAATCCAGATCAGACCCCCTCACACTGTCCATTTGTTTTTAAAAACTTTGTACTTAAGGACACAGACATTTCTTTGTTTTAGCATATACCAACTGCAGGTGTCCCTGATTCTTTGCAGCTTCTGTCTTACAGTGAAAAAGCTGTCAGATGACATTTAAAAATTGATAAGTTTCTGAATTCTCCTGCTAAACAAGCAACTGTAATCAGGGGCAGCTGTTACATTGAAGTAAGCACACACCCACAAACATATGCACAGGTTCCAGATGGGAATTATTTTCCTGCCTCTGGTCTCCATCTCTCTATGGGTCATTGAGAACAGGGGTGCCTCGGTTTGATTTTTTTGAGTCAGATACAAAAACCCCAAACTGGTTGACTGCAGCTACAAAGGACAGCTGTAGCAACTGGATTTTAATCCAGAAGCCATTCAAGCAACCGGTCATGTAATGGTAATAAGGTAAGCAAATGTGGTTGTCCGCACAAAGTTGTAGTGGTTCTCAGTGCAGGAAGAGTTCAAGAGTTACTGAAACAGATGTTCAGGCAAGCATTAGATATGAGAAGGTGAGCAAAGAGAAAAGATCATGAGTCACTCAGCTGATCTGGCTTAAATTAAAGGCTGATTTATCTAATAGATCTTAAATGGGTAAATGCTTTTAAAATGCATCATTAAATGAGTTAATGCTTTTTTAAAAGGAACAATAAACATGTCACATGAATCTTGTTGAAAACACTTCAGGAGTACATCAAAATATAAAGTTAAACTTATGTTTTGTCTGAAAACTTTAATGGTAAACAATGGAACTCAGTCACGTTTAACTTGCCTAACAACAAGACCTTTGTGGGATATTGGCTTTCCAGAAAACATAGATTCTGTCAAAAAACACAAGGCACGCATCAGATCACATCTCAGCTGAACTCAATACAGTCCCAAAACTTCTATACTGTTGGTGATAGTACTTAGAGGAACAAATATGTTCTTTATTAAGGGATGTGGTCAGTCATACAACTTATGAAATCATGGAACACATTTGATAAATGATTTGGATCGAAGTAAGAACACTGCTTTTGGGGTTGGTGGTCATGGAACTTCCCAGATCTCTTGTACAGTTATGTCACTCAATTTAAGCCCTTTTAAAATGTTCAGCATAGATGTCACACATGTTTACAGCAACTGTGGTGCACTTAGGAATTGTTGTAAAGGAAGGAATATGGCCCTTTGGAAAGTCTGTTTTGTAAGCATAGACTGCCTGCCAAAACCACAATGGAGAATACGGCAGTGACTTATCTGTCAAATATTAACATTTTGTTTTATTTCATGAGATATTGGAAACATGATCAGATCTTAATATATCAGTTGTTTTGAACACTTGCATTCAAGCCACTCACCTATAAGATCCCACCCTTCATCATACGTGATTTTGGGGCAGGTAAGAACAATTTTAAAAACTATTAAAAAATAAGAAAACCATTAAAACAGTCAAGGCAGCAACAGTGACTTTTTAAAGAATTGAAACTGGGTGAAACTTGATAATGGAACTTGATTCAACATATCTTCTTCCATCTTCAACTGATATTTTCTTGCCTTCATCATGATAAAGGCTAATTGGTGTGTGTGAAACACTGTGCAGTATAGATTAAAATAAAGGAGCCCCCACCCCCCTTTATCTGGTTTTGTATAATGTCATTGCAAATTTTGGTTTCTTTTTAAAAATACAAGATCATTGTAACAGCTTTGACCAGATGAAGTGTCATGGGAAGAACCTGAAACAAGAATAATAATTTAGGAACAATTTTCATTTGGACAGAGGGTAGATAGCTGCCATTTAGACCATTTGCCAATGTCACTTTTTCTTTGTTTAAATAAGGGAGAAAAATTCAAGTTATAAAAAATAATAATTCTGTTTCCTTGGGATTTTTTATCCCAGAGTATCTGAAAACTTTGTCAAAAAGGAACTTGAAGTAATTTATACATCTTCAGTTGCTCCTTGGGACATATATTTAAAAAACAATCTTTTTTTATACAGAAACCTGTTCCAACCTCAAAGGCGGTACTATCACTCCCCCCTTCCCTTTTACATTGTATTGAATTAATATCTAGTTTCTCTAAAAGTATTTCCAAGGGTCAGTTCACATAACTCTATGGAATCTTCCATAGAAGAGTGTTATAGAAAATTTTATAATAAATAAATACTGCTTGCAAATGTGCTTGTACAAACAATAATTTGCCATTTCACTTCCGGTTTAATAGCAAGCCATAGTTTGGCATTCAATCCAAGCCAAGCAACCTGTGCTTCATGTAAATCACAGTTCACCCACCAAGTAGGATTGTAAATCATAGTTTGAACTGAGTTTTCATTCCTGATATTTGACAAACTATAGGTTTATAGTATTCAAATGGGCCATTGCATGAACGAAAAGGGACATGGTTTGCAGTAACAGTAGTTTTCTAGTTTGGAAGTAAAGTCAAGAAGGACCAGAGTGTTTCTGCTCTTTCAGGTTCACTGTTAAGCTACTGGATCCTGTGAGCTGTGTACTGTGTGTTTACTGTGCTAAATGCACTTAACTGTGGATAATTAATTCATGTCACAAGCAGAAAAGCTGTGCCACAAACAAATGAACATATTGCTTGTTAGGCAAAGGCTGCTGTCTGAGTTATAATTAATAACGGGTGCTACAAAAATAGTTAACTGAAGTTTGAAATTAGTAAAAGAAAACTTACTCCTTAGCACTGGATAGGCTAGGATTAGAAGGCTGTTCTGAAGTAGGAGATCACATTATAACTTGAAAGTGTGGGTCACTTTTGGCGAATTGGTGAATTTTGCTGTAAGGTGCTTTCCTGTAAAGTAGCATGTATACTTTCTTGCCAGCATGTATATCACTGCATGCAGTAAACATGGATGCTAGGATATCTCTGCTTTCCTTGCCTTTTTGAGCATTATGGATTTTAGCCCTGAAACCCATAAGGTAGTATCCAGCAGAAAACAGAAGGAATTCATCAGCAGAACTGGGGCGGGAGGCAATTTTTGGCAAATTGTTGTTTCCTCTGAAGCCCCCTGTGCCTCCCCTACATCTGCTAGGGGTACAGGGGTCTGCAGAGAGGAGAGGGAATAACTGAAAAATTCCTCTTTGCCTGATTGCACTGACACATTCTGCAGTGGATGGAAGCTGTTGAACACTACCCACAAAATGCAGAAGGGGTCCCCATTTTGATTCTTTCTCCTGCAATGGATGTCTGCCTCTCTAGTCTCCCTGAAAACCAGAAAATGGCACAGCTTTCTGTTAACTTTCTTCTGTAGTTGGGAAACGTTTCCTAATGGTTTGATCTAAATCAGTTTCCCTGTCATCGCTTTTGCTTGTCGTCCCCTCTTAAACCTCCCCACCTCCATGGTTCTGAGAAACAGTTTTTTGTTGCTTCCTTTCTTGCATCTTTTATAAAATGCTTGAAAATCTTGCTTTTCTCTAGGATAGACACACCAAGCTCCTTCAGTCCTTCCACAGATGATGTTTCTTTCAGGCTTCTTATCGGCTGTTCTTCTCTTTGAATTCTTTCCTCTCTGGTATACTCTTTGAATTACAGTGCCAAGAACTGTCTGCAGTTCTTCATCAAAGAATGAAACAAATGTAATCTGGAATGTTTGTTTTTCTCTCATTAAATGCAGGATGGCTGCTTGTAATCATCCTGTTTTTCTTTAGAGATTTCAAATTAAGCTGTATCCTAACCAATATCATTGTAATTTGACCTTAATTTTGTCCTTCATTGCCCCAATATGAAAGAGTGCACCACAGATTTTAACTTTCTTTTCTGTATGAGCTTTACATTTAGGGAAAAGTCTCTGTGCCCCACATGCACCAACATGTGTGAGGGACGTGGCTGCTTTCTGGGCCTTGCATATGAATAGCAACATTTTCTGTTACTCACAGGAGTGTTTGGAAGAATCTGTCCATTTGTTTCTCTTTGTTTCTAAACGATGTTTGCTGCACCTGCGATGAGGAAAGAGTGCATTTGTTGAAATAATATTGCAATCCGAAATTGTTTCCTCAATTTTCTGTAATATCAGTAATTTAATTCTTGGCACTGGATTAGATTCCTCCCCACCAAGATCTTTTAAGAAAAGTAGCAGGAAAATTAAATTAAATGGAAGGATGCCAAAATATACAAAGGCAGATTTTGTTGAATGTGACGTCTCCAATTAGAGTAGGTTTGAGTGGTGACAAGTATGCACTTAACACTTCTCATTCTTCTTATAAAGAATCTATTCTTAGAGTTGGGATAATTAGGAAAATAAACTTGACCCTTCAAATCTAGCATTCCGCTTCCCATTTGGCATCCAGAACCAGATAAGTCATAAAAAAAAACAGAACACCCTTTCAACATGCACTCAGCTGGTTGTCTAATTCTTGCACTTTGCATAGAATAAAAGTATTTCCTATTCCCAGTTGTTAATCACAAGGTGCATTAAACTTGTAGGATTAATAGCCATTGCTGTTTTTATAGATTGCGTCTAATTTAAACAGTTTGTTTCTGTGTCCACAAGCATCTAATGTTTTTATTGCCAAACTCCCACAGCGTTTCATTAAATATCACCAAAATTTTGCTTTGCCAGTATTTTTTCTCTGAGGCAGTGAGTTTTGGAAGCACATTCTATGAATGAGAACCAAGCACACAAGTGTGTGTGTGTGTGCGCGCGCGCACGCACGCACGGTGCTTGCTTAAATTTTAGACTCTCTACCGCAACAGTGCCTCTCCAAAGCATCGTCTGTGCACAGAAGGCCATTCTGAGCTGATATGGAGAGTTTGTGATGGGGCAGAGAATCCTCATAAGTATGCAAGAATCTTAAAGGTATTAAAAGTAGGTGTCATCTAGTGATTTATAGGTGGGACTACATCATTTTATGAAATATATGAATATTTTCTCATTATTATTATTATTATTATTATGTAATCTAGACTTCTATGAATGGCATAGAGTAGGACAAGCAAGCCCAGGTCCTCATCCCCAAATATTCCCTTCTCCTAGCTTGTGCTGTGCTTTATTGTCCTATCATGGTTGTTCAAAGGGGAAAGTACGGTGAGCGGTGGACATGGCCCCTAAACTTCATGTTGATTACCCTGAATGCAGAATCTGCAAACTTTGTGCATTAATATAGAAAAGGAAAATTGGGGCTACAATATGATTGCTGTGGCTTTTATTTAGGATCTGAGCAGCACCACGGCAGCTAAGCAGAGCCTCGAGAGGGAGATCAGAGCCCTCCAAGAGAGACTGGCTGCAAGTCAAAGGGCTTGGGAAGTCTCACAGGAGGAAGTGAGCCACCTAAAGAAAGGTTGCCATGAGAAAGAAGAGAACCTGAAAACAAGCATGAAAGAGGTCAGGGCTGAAAAGCGTCTGCACGATGCATTTAAAGAGCAAATCATCACCCTGCTTGGGAGCAGCTGCATTATAGCCAGTCGATCTGAGGAGGACATTGTAGAAAAAATTCGAGAAATGATCCGCATGGAGGAGAGCAAAAAAACAGTATGTGGATGTCTATTGTGATTGCTTGAGAAGCTTGATTTTCTGTAGCTTATTTTCTGTGTGAATTGGAACCTTGCACGTGTTGGCTGCCTTGTTCTGCATAGACCCTTTGCAAAACAACAAGAAACAAACAAATCTAAGCCTTTCAGCTTTGGAGTTTAAGCACCACAGCATCTGCCTCATCATCCCGGAAAGTAAGCACGGGTACTTTGCAGACAATCCCAGAGCCCCATATCAGAAGCATGTCCAATTAAATCAAAGCTGATCCAATCCTTTCCCTGACCACAGGTCCACAGAGAATGCATTTTTTGGCAGTAGTGCTGCTGCCCTAAACATTTCAATTTGGCCAGCCTGAACATATTTGGCCAGCCTGGGTGTATGGCGCAGAGCCTACTTTCCCTGACAATAGAGAGCCTTCCTCTTTTCCATTGCAGGGGAGATGATCTAAATACAAACAATCGAACTAGGGAGAGGCAGAGCTGCAAACAGGCACTCATAGTAGTGGCATGGATGAAGGCTGCCTTCAAAAATAGTAGTAGTAGAATGAAGAAAAGTCCTCTGGTAGAAAACAATCTACGCACATAAAATTATGTCCTGTGGCCTTTCTGTTGCAGGAGAATTTTGATATGTAAACTCATGATGAAAGTATGTGCATGCATGAATTACAGCATTAGATGTTCAGAGTTTTGCCAGATCATAAGGCTTTTGCAGAATATATGAACCCTTTCAGATTTTAAGTTGCAACAGCATATCCCACCACAATACTCAATCATTTTCTTTTTTCATCATTATCTTATCTTTCTGTTTGGTCTCTTAAATTCCCGTTCATTACTGATAAGAATTGGTTCCATAACTGTTGACAAAACTTCCAGAGCCCACTCTTGCCTGTCTTTGAAGACTTCATGTGCGGCATTTTAAATGAAACAGGCAAAATTTTAAGTCTGTCAGGTGAGTTATTAGGAATAAAAATGATCTGTTTCACTTTTTGGAGGCCTGTCCATCTGTATATTGTGCAAGGCTGCTTTTCATTGTTAAACTTTCGCTGAACTGGAACTCAGTGACTGAGCAGAACTGTGTATATTGATGGTATAATTTCCTTTCATTTCAATTTATTGCTAGTGGGAGATCTCAGAGTGAAATCACAAATCAAGTAATAACAGCAATATTGAATTTTATCAACTTTTGCTCCTCCTGTGACTTATTTTTTTAATTTATTATGGGTCTCCATATTAATCTTTATAGCTGTCACAGCAGAATCCTACTCAGAAGTAAATCCCATTGACTTCAGCCTTGCACTGCAGTGTATACCCACTTACTTGAGAGAAAGAGTCACTGAAATTAATGAAACTTACATCTGAGTAGTATATCATGTGGTGCAGCACCCAAAGTGAATATTTGCTTATTGTAAGACTTTCAGACTGGTTTCCAGTTGAAAATTCATTGAGTTAAAATAACAGTATCAGCACCAGTTGTGACTAGTGTTTTATTCAGTTAATCCAGGAAACAACTTAGCTTCCATGTTTTTGCACTAAGGGTGGAGAAGCTTTTCGACTCTTCAGGGGTGCTGTATATTGGGATATCTGTTGGACACTGCATGTCCACAGTGGCCAGGAGTCAAAAATTGGTGTCGTCCACATCTACCGCACCCCTAATACATGCACACACATCCATCAATTCATTCTCTCTCTTTGTGTGTGGCTTGAAAACCACTTCTGTTGACACTGCAGAGGGAGGTGCAAGCTGTACGGGGAGGCCCTGCAGGCCACACCCCTGCTTTATACTAACTGAAGTTTCTGAGTAGCCTTATACATTGTGTTAGACTTAGGTGGAGATTACCAGTGCATAGCTATCTATGACCAAGAAAAGCACCAGTGGCAAGTTGATTGTGAAAAGCACCAGTGGGGAGTTCACTGAGGAATCTGGCAAATTAGCTGAAGCACCAAGGTGTCTTGAAGGTTGGCTGGCTTGAATAGGCTGCTCCACCGCACCACTCTACCTCCACCTGCCATCATTTTGTGACTGGTGGACCTTAGTATTTTCAACTGTCTCAAGTGGGTCCTGGGGCTAGAAAGTTTGAGAACCCCTTATATTTTAAATTGGAAAATGAGCAGGTGAATGAACCCCTGGAGGCAGGAGCGATGATGGTTGGAGTAGAGCATGTTACTCTTGCAATGGTGGTGCTATTCCTACTCCATGTCTTAGAGGCTGCTGGTGAGGTGGGGATAACTCTCCATGTAGTAATAGCTTATAAATGTTACCCTTGAGTGGAAAGATCTTTTAGAATTTCAGTGATATCCTCATGGCAAGAATAGCTTTGATAAAAGAGATAAAACTTTGGGACTTGTGGTAGCAGGTGGCTGGGAAGTTAGAGCACCCTTTTTTGGGGGAATGGAGATGGGGTTGTTGGGTTTGGTTTTCCAGAAGGATTCTGAGCCCATGGCTCATGAATGCTGTACAAGTGGGCTTGGCAGAAACATTTGGGGCTACCACAGAAAGTAGGGTGCATACTTGTCCATATAGAAATGGCCACTCTCAGTGAAAGCAAAGATGGAAAAGTACTGAGTGGATTTGCTGAAGAAAAGTTAGCCTTAGACAAGCACATAGTACAGATTTGTCCTGCTTACATGGCCCCAGAATGATGTCTGTCAATAAGGAAGAGTGCACTTCAGCCTCTGGAGAGTTCCTATTTGAAGGTCAGGAACTGAGATAACAGTGTCAGAAAAGACTTGAGCATACTCCAAACTTGTTTTTCCAAGGGAAGTGCTATCAGGTTTTTTTGGCTGGAGTGCAGATACACTTATACTTGATCGATCATCTTCTGGCCTCTTCAAAAAAAAGAAAAAAGAAAAAAGAGTGTAAAATCAAATCTAGCGTGTAGTGTTTAGGTGCAAGGCTCAAACAATATATATTTTTAAACCCACAGAAATTCTAGGGTTTGCTGTTAAATATGTTATCTAATATTTTTGCCTATATTCCAACAATTCATTGAGATAGGCGAGGTGGTAGAAGTGAGGCTTTGAGGCCCACATTTTAAAATAGCTAGTGTAGGACGGTGGTAAAGTCATCTAGCGTGTGGAAGCTTTGGAAACTATGTGGTTCTATATTTTTGAGAAGGTTAAAATGATATAATAATCTTCTTGTGGTATCTCATAATGCCTGCACCCTGGGCGGGTTGTCTTATTGTGCTGGAAGTAGAGAACAAATAACACCCCACTGCTGCTGTCACTTTGTTTAGATGAGCCTCAAAGCTTCAATTCTTTCATCATTCCTCACCAAAAAAATTCAATAACCAAATCCATTTTGCTACATTAGGCTACAGTCAGAGAGCCAATGGGAAGCTGCAAGGATGTCACCCTGCCTGATCTCCAGCCTTCACTAAGTCTCACAGGAAGCTGGCATATGATTTTTTTCCCTACTGTCCTGTTGACCAAAGCTAAAAAGTTACAGCATTAATTTTTAATTGCTTTAACTAAATTTGCTACAAGACTTTTGTCATTTACTTTGTGCCCTTGTTTAGACTGTTATTTGAAGGAGATTCCTCCATTGCCCTATCTCTTTACATAATGGCCCTAAGGGGGGGGGGGGAACGACCCACATTCCCTGGTTGGGTGGTGGATTGCCAGGTTTTTCCATCTTTCCATTAGGAACAGCTGGCTTGGTTTGTGCCTTATTATTGCTTGACTTGATGTTTTCAACTGTGCGGCTCACTTGTTTGCATCTCTTTGTTGCTGTTTGCGTTTCATAGCATTTATATACAACCTTTACCCTGTGTGCCTCAGTCTCGGGTAACACAACTCGTTTGTATTTGAAATGTTGCAATCTTTAAGTGCTGAAGCGGGCAGTGGAAAAGTTGTGCGCATAAATGCTTGCAAAATCAGGCCAGCTTGCAAACACGAGGTTTACATCTGCTAATCAGGAACACAATTTAACAATATTTTGAGAATGGAGCTAAAACTGTACAAATAAATACCTAAGCCACTACAGAGAAGTACAATTAAATTTAAACCATCCTATTAATGTGGTGAGTGGAATCTAATACTCTTAATTATAAGAGTCTAATGGAAGATTTGTAAAGTTAACAGTTAAAACACATTTTAATCATTTATACGGGCTTGCATAATAGGGTTTAGTCTGCTTTTTTGGCTTTGGCTACCCTGGTTTTAGGTTTTTTGTTTTAAGTCGGCGCAAAATGCATGTCTTAAAAGCATTCCTGTTTTAATGTCAAATATGTTTTAAAAATATATTAAGTAGTTCATTCCAAAAGTTAATCTATTGCTTGCCTCGTGCCTCAGCTGCTTTTAAGTTATACAATTTAATAGACCACACCCTTGTTGCTGGGTATTTCGCCAGAGCATGGTCTTACTGGCTTCTCACACTATGGCCTGTCATATTTTATTGGTATGTGGTCTACTGGCCCAGGTCTGCCTGCCAATGATGGAATGGGATTTTGTTGTCAGACCAGCCTTTGTTTATTTTCTCTGGCTATCTGTCCAATTTGAAACCTAGTTCATTGTCCAGCTTGCCTGCCACAAACTGTGGTCCAAAGCTTATTAGTCTTCTATCTGTCTCTCATCCCCCGCCCCACCCAGCCTTTTGTTTCTGAGAAGGACTTCTGATTTGGAGAAGTCCATGTAGACAGATCCCCATTAGTTAAGTTTTGTACATTCTTGGCACACTGAATCAGCCTGGCACAATCTATAACAGGCTTCCTCAAACTCGGCCCTCCAGATGTTTTGAGACTACAATTCCCATCATCCCTGACCACTGGGGCTGCTAGCTAGGGATCATGGGAGTTGTAGGCCAAAAACATCTGGAGGGCCAAGTCTGAGGAAGCCTGATCTATAAGCCTCACATGAACTGCAAATTCCAGTGATGGTTCAGTGATGGTTGATTGGTAATATAAGATGTCATCTACCTGTATTACAATCAAGTAATCAAATACATAATTAAAAGCTGGTTGGCAAACAATCTCAGGCTTGAAATAGCTATTTGTTATTTATTCAAATACAGTGTTAAAATGCTAGTTGTCATATGCTTATTTGTTGTGTAATCTATTTCTGAAAGTTTGGCAATGCCTCTCTTGCACCACAGTTTAGTTTCAAGCTCAGCCTCTGACTTTAGTTTGCTTTCTCCTCCCGTCCCCCTTAGATGGTATCCCAGCTTGAAAGCCAAATAGCTAAACTGACTGAGGCACTGGAGACTCAGGCTGTATCACACCAGGAAGTTTTGCAGAGGACCAGAAAAGCAGAAAACAAATCTGAGACACTTCACGATCAATTGATGTGTCTGGAAGCGGAGCTGGTATCTGGGGACGTGATACGAGATGCTTTGAAGCTCGAGAAACAAAAAGTAATAGCTTCTATTCATAGTATGTGCACAAGGGTAGCTAGAGAGAGAGAGCCCCAAATGCAACAGAATTCATGTTCCAATATGCTGGTTCGATCATATTATTATAAACATCTTCTGATGAATGAGTAAGTTCTGATGAATGAGTAAGCTTGACCATTTCCAGTCATCAGAATAACTCATGTAACTGACCACTGCTGCTCAAGGTTCTTCGACTGTATTATATTGTACTTGCAGAGTACTGCCAGGAACCCCAAAGGATAACTTTTACATTTGCCCAGAGAAAAAGGAGTTAGTTTTGAGTTTCAAAGCTAGCTGAGAAAAGTGGCTGAGGTTTCATGGGGTGCTTGGGAGTTTAGATTAGCACTGCTTGCTGCCTGACTGTTTCCGTACCTACAGCCTGCAATATCCTAGTAATGTAAAAGTTGAGTTGGGCCTCTAAATTAGGGATGGGGAACCTGTGGTCCTCCAGATGTTGCTGGACCACAACGTTCACCATCCCTCACCGCTGGTGATGCTGGCTGTGGAGCATCTGGAGAGGTTCCCCATCCCTACTCTAAAGGAAACTGACTATGTAAAGCTGTCTAGGAACTGCCCAGAAGTTGGGAAACGGGAAAATTAAACAGTATATTTAATATGAGATTGAAGAGTTACTGACAAACTACCTAAGCTAATTTTAGGAGCAAAGCTTGAAAAGAAATCCAGTGCATTTCTTAGGATCTGCAAGAGGATGCAGTTTCCCATCTTGGTTAATTTGGCTCCAGAGATGTAGTCATAGTAGTCTGTTACAGCAAATACACAAAAGAGCTTTGTAGCACCTTAAAAGACTTACATTTATTTGGAGGGGGGTTGCTTTTGGTACACACCAATGGCCTGCATTATTCTGAACAGCCCTTGTTGTTTGCTTTCTGATTTGAACATTAAAAATGTGCTATATACATGATTGGTGTGATAGCATAAATGGGAACAACGGAAAAATAAATTCAACTATGTATCCCTGCAAGCTGTTCTTTGTTTCTTTTTCTTTTTCTTTGCAAAACTGATCTTTCCTGCACATATTGCCTCTTAGCTAATTTGCTTTATAGGTCATGTTATGCAGGCTCCTTCCAGCTAACCTTGGCCCCAGTTTCAAAACCACCTACTGTGAGAAACACATATTTAGGACATGTTGCTTTTTAAATGACTTTCCTGGGGTTGAGAGAGAACTGTCTGCAGGAGGTCATTTTCTCATATGAATCAGGGGAGTGACAGCTTGGTCAAAATCCAACATTTTTTCCCACCTGCTAGATGATTCTGTGACTGTGGCTCTGGGAGGGAATGGGTCATTCAACTGGATGTTTGCTGAAGTAATATGACCCTAGTGGCTGAGTGTTTGGGGGAAGGCATGCTGATAAAAATCAATATGGAATTCAGGGGAAGTTACTGCTAGATCATCCAGTACACTTATTAAAGAAAAGTGGCTATGTTTATGTGACTGCTAACTAGCTTAAAATGCCAATTATGGCAAGTCCAATGAAACGTAAGAAACATTATTGAACCTACCCTGTGGTGTGAAGATGGCAAAGAAGCAGTTTTTCTCCACCACCATTGCATGTCCACGATGTCATCCAGCATAGCCTTCCTGAGTGGTTCAGGGCCTTTTGCCGCCTGGCCCAGTGGGAAGATATGGAAGAACTGTAGCTCAGTGGTACGACATCTGCTTTGCATGCAGAAGGTCCCTGGTTCAATGCCGAACATCTCCAAATAGGACTGGGAACATCCCCCAGGTGAAACCCTGGAGAACTGCTGCCAGCTCAGAACTGCTGAGCTAGATGGACCAATAATCTGTCTTGATATAAAGTCTTCCTATACCCAAGCAGACCCTGTTTTGTGCACACAAACCCTGCCTGAATTCCACCAGTTATGCATAGAAATAATTACATTATCAAAGTACCTACTAGGGAAAAAGAAAGCACTTTTCCTTTTTGAATGTATTTTTGTTGCCTCTTTTCATTTATTTCTGCATTTCTTCCCATTCTCTGAAGTATCTTAAATTCCTGGATCAACTTTCTGAAAAGATGAATCTTGACAGAATGGCAGCGGATATTGGATTTGATATGAGGTTGGATGCAGTATTGGCTCGTGCAGACCAATTGATCAAACTGGAAGGAGACACGTTAACTGAGAATAAGATCATGGCTCGCAATCTACAAAGAAAGGTAGGAAAAGTGGAGCAAGATTTGAGAATACCACCTTTCAAAACATAATAAAGTGCAGCGCCTGATTATTTAGACCTGCGTGGGGTAGTCACTCTAGCAGTTAGTGTCAGATCAGTATCAGAGAGATTTGTTGTGAGTATAAAAATGGGGGAGAGTGACAACCATGTATGCTGCCTTGAGCTTTTTGGCAAAATCCTCCCCATCACTTTTGACAGACCTTTGAGCAGAAGCAAAAGACAGAAATTTGGGATAGGAGGTTACAGTTCTTAGAGATTCTGGGTAGTGGGAACATCATTACTAGGACCATGTATGACAAAAAATATGGTTTCCTCTATGAGTAGTCTATGGGGTCAGTCATCTCTTTTGTAGTGTCCAGGTAAGAATTCTTCATCACTACACAGTGTCATTCCCAATTGCTTTAGTGGCCCCATTTCTCAACTATACAACAGCCATTCTGTTGAGTGATTTGCTGCCTAAATGCAGCTTAGTTTTAAAAGCAATCTCCGCCCCCCGAGAAGAACAGAAAGACGCAAACCCTCAGAAAACATCCTAAAACAGTAACACATTCCACTCAGTCACCCAAATCTCCACTGCCCCCAAGTCTGTGTTCACCTCCTGATCTGCCCTTCAAAGATCCCACTAACATTTGCAAAAAATGTTAGCATTCATGTTTTCTACAGGTGGCAAATAAATAAATATTCACCATTACATTTCACGGTGAAGTGTGATTTTGTGGTGTGTGTATGTGTGTTCACTGCTTTTTAACTTTTCAATGTAGTTGAGAACTCAGAAAGAGCAGCTTGACAGCAAAGAGCTACACATGAAACTTTTGCGCCAGAAGATAGCACAGCTAGAAGAAGAGAAGCAAGTGCGCACAGCCCTGGCTGTGGAAAGAGATGATGCCAACCTGATGGTCAGAAAGCTACAAAAAAAGGTGGACAGATTACAGAATGAACTTGCCTTAGCAAGAGAAACAAATACAGACCTGAAAGCTAAACTGGCTGACACCAACGAACTGAAGGTGGGGGAATATGATACCTATCTCTTTTAAGCCATGCCCAAAAGTTGTACAAATGCCAGTGGATAGTTTAAATTTTACATATGTGTATCCAAAGCTGTCCAGCTTATGCTGAGTACTTGGCAAAATAGAGCAATTTAGAAATGCTGAGAAATTTGTGTTCTTCAGAATCTGGGACTTCTGCTTAATGTCTTAGTAGCTAATAACACAAGCCTATGCAAGTCTACTCAGCACCACTTGTTTCCGGGTAAATGTAGGCAAGGGCCTTGGCGGTAGAGCACACACCCTGTGTAACAATTCCCCGGATTAATTGGTGGCTTCTCCTCCTCTCCGCATCTGATTACTAATAAATAAATATTTTAGCTACTTTTTATCATATTAAAATGTTCTCCCTGTGCTGCTCTTCCAGCTGCTACCATTCTGATGGCAGAATAATTAGCCCCCCTTTTTTTTACAACTCCAAAGCATTCATTTTCAGCCCCACGTTAAGGGGAGTGGAGTTTAACTTTCCCTTCGCACTATTTTCTAATCGAACCACCCCCACCCAGCCAAAGCTGCAATTTATTCCGGGGTGGGGTGGGGAGATATACAATGTCTTATTCAACAAGGCAAATAGCTATTTGGGGTAGCAGGATTTAGATCAATAAAACAGCATGAGGGCATGCAAAAGGTTATCCAGACCATCCTCTGCACCCCAGCAATCAAAACTGGCTGCTTTTACATAAAAAATGTAAACCTCAAGAGATCTCAGCAGGGATCTCTCACATCTTATGTAGTTTAGCTTTATACCTCCTTGCGCTAGATAGCCTACTGTTTACACCCCTCCTGAGGCAACTCTGGATTTTTTTCACAGATCAGGACACTGGAGCAGGACAGAACCATAGAAGATCTAAGCAAGTCCCAAGAGAAACTGGAAAAGATGAAGGCAAAGGCTGAGAAGCAGCTGACCTCTGTCAAATCAGAGTTGCATGATGTAGAGCGTGAAGCAAAGGAAGATAAAGAGAAGGCCAAAAGCAGACTGGAATCTGTTACCAGTGAACTGGGAACACTTAAATCTACTCTACAGGCAGTGATGAAAAGAGAGAAACAGGTATGTAACAATATGACTGACAAGCAGCTCTTGGCATTTAGAAACTTAGTATCTGAAGCAATTTCGGGTGTGTACTTTAAATGTCATATTCCTTTTTGTTGGTGTGAGTTTAAAAAATACTATTTAGTTTGCAAAAAGTTAAACTCCATAAGTGAAAGAAAACTTCTTTTTTTACTAGTGTATTATTTATGCTATTTCAAGGTTGTTGTTATTGTTTAGTTGTTTAGTCGTGTCCGACTCTTCGTGACCCCATGAACCAGAGCACACCAGGCACTCCTGTCTTCCACTGCCTCCCGCCGTTTGGTCAAACTCATGTTCGTAGCTTCGAGAACACTGTCCAACCATCTCGTCCTCTGTCATCCCCTTCTCCTTGTGCCCTCCATCTTTCCCAACATCAGGGTCTTTTCCAGGGAGTCTTCTCTTCTCATGAGGTGGCCAAAGTATTGGAGCCTCAGCTTCAGGATCTGTCCTTCCAGTGAGCACTCAGGGCTGATCTCCTGAAGTATGGATAGGTTTGATCTTCTTGCAGTCCATGGGACTCTCAAGAGTCTCCTCCAGCACCATAATTCAAAAGCATCAATTCTTCAGTGATCAGCCTTTTTTAAGGTCCAGCTCTCCCTTCAATACATCACTACATTTCAAGGTAAAGGTAAAGGGACCCCTGACCAGTTCAAGTCCATTAAGGTAGCCAGTGCCAAAAAGAATTTGCCAGTCCAACTCTTTTTGCCCTATCTCTCACACTCAAAAGCACCCTGAGCTGTGTAGATCACAAATTTGTGGGCTGGATGCTGTATAATATGCCTTAAAGGCTTCTGTATATAAAATACATAATTGGCACCCTACTTCCAAACTTCATTGAGTCAGTATATTGGTAATTATACTGAGGGCACTGGCTACAAATATAAAAGCACTGACTACTCTTTAGGGGTTTACGTGTAAAAAGGGTTTTTCATTAGACCTCTCAGGGGACTAGTTGGCAATCAGGCATCATAGTGAGCAGTGTATTGGCTGTGTTGGTTCCATGTGAAAAAAATGAGCATTCACTTCTTCCTGTTCTTCAGCCAGAGCTGTTTATTTCCCAACTAATGTTGCGCTCCACAATCTAGGTCTAGAATAGATTCTTTCATTCCACCTCAAATGGTCACAGAGTAGATGTAAGCACCTCACCTTTCTTCCCTCCAAGCTGTCCAGAGCTTGTTGGACTACAGCTCCCTTCAGTCCTGACCATTGGCCATGCTGGGTGGGGCTGATGGGGGTTGGAGTCCAATGACAATTGAAGGGATTACAAGGTAGCCTCTTCTGCTTTGAAAATTCTAGCTTTGAAGAAGCCTCTTCCCAGGGCCCACAAAATATTGGACAGACCTTCCTTACACCTTCATAGCCAGAGTGGCTTCTGAATTTTATACGAAAGCTTTGAGATTAAACTGCCCACACAGTATAGCACAGCACTCATAGAATAGAAGTGGTTGCCCTTTTCCATGAATAAAAGTAGTTGATTTATAGAAAGCACTTCATTTGATAATAGCACTGCTCTTGGGCAGATTTCTGACAGCTTGTCTTTATTCTCAAAACAAGGATAATGCAATCTGTTGCATCAAATGCCACCTATTCTAATAACACCAGATTAAAGAGCACAAACAATTGTAAGCATTTGGAAAAAGACCTTTTTGGACACAATGAACCACAAAGATCTGAATATATTTTGACATTGATTCAAGTCATGCAATGAAGTGTATAATATTTAATGTGTGGTTGCAGTATAAAATAAACAGAACTTCAGATTCTTCCTCAACTGCTTTGACTAAAAGTTATTGAATTTTCAAGTTGGATATTTTGCAGAAGACAATCGCTTCCAGCTTTTTTCCTGGAACTGAGCAGGAAAGGAAACCTAAGCTGAATATTTATCCATCCATCTATCTTTCTGACTACTCAATACTTTTCATGGAGGTGGTAAACCCTGAAGCTGGGTTTTATCATTTCAGATAAAATCCAAGGACTCATATGACTGACTGTTCTTTCATACACACACAAAAAAAAAAAACTTTCTGCACAGAGAGCTAGAGGTCAAGGATCTAGCCTTATTGAGTCATGCTAGATTTCCACATGCATTTTTTTTTCCTGTGGAGATGTGCATTTCTGCTGAGGTGAGCTCACCCACACTGGACATCTTCAGGCAGAGGCTAGATAGTCACCTGTTGGGTATACTCTAGTTCTGGGTTTCCTGCATCATTTAGGCACTTAGACTAGATGGGTTTTACAAGTCCCTCTCCAACTTTGTATTGTTTTATGTGAGTACCTACATGCATGAAGTGGCATAGACCAAGCCCATAAATTCAACATGTACAGTGGTACCTTGGGTTACATTCGCTTCAGGTTACAGACTCCGCTAACCCAGAAATAGTACCTCGGGTTAAGAACTTTGCTTCAGGATGAGAACAGAAATCTCGCAGCGGCAGCAGCGGGAGGCCCCATTACCTAAAGTGGTACCTCAGGTTAAGAACAGTTTCAGGTTAAGAACGGACCTCCAGAATGCATTAAGTTCTTAACCAGAGGTACCACTGTATGTGAAAGTCAGGTCAATAATGCCTCATTATAATTTATTTTAATTTATAATCTTTATTCAGTATTATGTAACAAAGAAAGAGAGCCACTGCATCACACCCAACAGACAGATATGCATATACACCACCCATCCACACACACGCATGTCCCATCCACAGAGAGAGAGAGATAATGAGAAACAGCAAAGGGAGGGCGAGGTTGGAAAGTCAAGGGCCATTGCTGTAGCCTCCAAGTCTGGCAAACCACCTTGGACGGTGATACTCAAGTACATTGCTAAACGCCATTGGCTCTGACTCCACCCAGTTCTGGCTTTGATTTCACTCACCATCCGCATGAAGCATCTTCCAATAAATACTCTCACCCAAGGGAGTACGACCATCAACAGAGAAAAGATTCCCCATCCTTGCAAAGAGTCCCTGCCAAATTCTAACACCCCACTTTGGTGTGTTTTTTAAAGGACATGTAAAGCTTTTTAGTGACATTGGGTTCATTTCTTGGTGTGATTTTATACTAGAAAGGCAATTATTTTCTGTTTCATAGTTTGCATTCTATGCATTTTATAAATTATTGTAAGCTCTCTTTTTTATGATGATAATCATTGTTTTCATTAAAATTTCTATGGCTACCCATCTATAAAATTCTCTGCAAAAGTAAGCATTATACAACATTAGAAATGCAAAAAATAATAACTAAAACAACCCCCCCAACAAAAATAGCAATATAAAACCTTTCTCCTAGCACAGACAGAACAAAACAATTTGGAACTCAGCATAAAGCCACAGGAAGAGAACAACTTCTTTGTAGTAGCACCCTTGTTGCAGAGATATTGTATGTTCCTAGGATAGAATCATAGAATTATGCAGCTGGTTATTCCTGCCTAAGTGCAGAAGCTTATATTTGTCCCTGTTAAAATTGGTTTTGATAGTTTTGGCCCAGTTCTCCAATTTGTTAAGGTCATCTTGAATCCCAGTTCTGTCTTCTGCAACTTTAGTTACCTTTCCAGCTTGGTGTCATGTGTAAATTTGATGAACCTCTGCTCAATTCCTTCACCCAAGGCATTTATAAAGACTTTGAACAACAAGGGGCCTAGGATAGAACCCTGTGGCACTTTCTAGGATATACTGTGATGACAAGTGCTGGAGATGTAATGGTCAATGTGCAAAATGTACACACACACACACACACACACTGTCCAGTAATTCAGACATGTTGGTTTACCATTCAAAATTATTATTTTAGAAAAGAATGGATATTTGTTATTAAATTACTCAAAAATATTGTTACTGAATTATCTACAAGATACAGTCCCAGAGTTAGCCCTGGAAATAGGTTTAAATCTTTTTTTAAATGCCCAAAGACAAAGTGTGGAAAGCATCATCATTTTTAGCTTGGCTTGAGAGGATTTGGAACATAATAATAGTAATCAATTTTACATGTTATATAAGAAAAAAAAGCCAACAAACAACTAAATTTATAGAACTTTGTCCAGCACATACCTATTACGTTTTGCAATGATAAGGCTGAGGACAATATATAATCCATAGAATTTATTTACATTCTTATAATTTTGTAATATGATCTTGGTTATATTCATTTACGTTCATTTACATTTTCGTTATGAAATGTGTTATTTTTTGTTAGGATTAATATTGAAAACAAAAGCCTTTTCAGACAAACAAAGCAATAGCAATAGCAATAAAACAGCAGCATAAAACATCCAAACTTAAATTGGTATAAAACCCCAAGCATCTTAAAAGGGCAGCAAACAAGCAAAGCCATCTTCCTCTGGCCCCAAAATAACAGCAGACACCAGGAACACTCCCTGCATTCCTTGGCAGGGTGCCTTACCCCAAAGGCTCTCTGCCTTCCCACCACCCACCTTAGCATAAATGGCGTGAGAATTGAAGAAGATCTTTAGATGCTTATGGCATGGACAGATTGGTATGGGAGGAGGAGACATGAGATATAATTTAATCTCTCCCCCCCCCTTTTGTTTTTACAGCTGGCGGACTTCAGAGAAGTTGTCTCCCGAATGCTGGGTCTCAATATTGCCACTATTGCTCTTCCCGACTATGAAATAATTACTCGTCTAGAGGGGCTGATCCATTCCCATCCACATCACTTTGTTCCCTGTGTCTGCTTCAAAGATATGTCGGTGAGGCAAGATGGAGCATTGCAGCTGCTCCACTGAACACGTTCCCTTTGCAACAGTAACGAGGACTGAGTAGAATTCCTGTCCTGGTGGTCCTCTTCTCTTTGCTATTATAAATGTTCCAGGATTTGATACCGAATGTTGGTGATAAAATTATAGAGGGCCTACAGTGAGAGTGTTTTTTTAAAAAATGTAAATGTCTGTAATACGTTTCAGAAGATCGATCAACACCCATGAAGTTCAATAGCCATGAAGTATCTTAATAAACAGCATTCTGTTACAGCTGAACATCTTATGCACTGGATATCAAAAATGGAAAGAACATTATTACTGTTGTCATCCATTAGTGAGACCTTGCTCATGGACGCTGCCTGAGCCCAATTCATCTGCCGCAGGTCACCCCACCACAGAGGGTCCCCTTATTTTAGGGGCCATAGAAGTTCCTTTCCACCAACCCTGTTCCATGAGTCCTTCTTGGGATCCAAGTTTATGTGTCAGTGCACTTGTTTTGCAAAACGAAAGATAAGAGTATTCCACAAGTCATTAATATTCTTTTGGCTGGACACAATAATCAGTTCAGCACTTTCACACCAAGGCATCCCAGTTTGCATTCTTTCCAGTCTTTCTTTTTATAGCTGTTCTCCACTACAGTACTTTTGTTTTTTTCTACTCAAGCTGCCACATTACAACTGTCTTTAGTTAACAGATGAAGAACATCCTAAAAACTGTGCCAAAGATTTTAAAATTTTTTTAAGAGAGCTCTTCAACAGGATTTTTGATTCCCCTCTTACGTATCACTCATTTATATTTCTTACGACAGGTTACCAGTTTTAAAAATTGAGAGCAAATGGGAATAACATGACAGATTAGTTGCAGCTGTGGAATTCCTTGGACAAAAAATAGAACAAAAAAGATGAATCCAAGAGCTCCACCTCATTCAACTATGAATGCTTACAAGAAATGCTGCAAAAGAACACTCTGTTACACTGTTCACAGATGGACACAGATGTGCAAGTTACAATCCCAGCCCCACTTTATGCAACCCCTGCTGCTTTCTGAAGCTGCCCAATTCTGCCTCCCCGTTAGAATTTCTCTCTTCCCATTTCTGCTTTTCCCTTTCTTACCCCTCCAGTTTGTGTGCATACAGTACAGTAAAGTCAGAAAGGAGTTACTTTCACTTGCTTTCCAGAACAGCAGCTGTATTGGTCTACAGTACTGAAAATGAATAAATCCGTATTTGACAATAACCCCATCATATCTAGTGGGACTTTTGTCTGAGTAGACCCGCATAAAATCTGGGAGTTAAAAATTTGAGGTAGTCATGGTGAAAATTGAAACGGGGCATTATTTGTTCTGGATTAGTTAATCTGGAACACTTTTCTGTCTGGCGCCACCCATAAATAGTTCTAGTTTTGCTGTCATGTAGCCACAGACAGATGATGCCAGGTTTTTTTTTGTCCAGCTCTGTTACAGAACTTTGATGATGATGCTCCATATTAATTCTTAAGATTTACCACCTCTTCCATAATGCATATAGTTGAAAAAGCGAAAAAGAAATAGAACAAATAGAACCATTTAAGTACTCTATGATTAATCTGTTTTGCATTAAGTAATGCCTAATTAACACCATGTGGTTCTAATTTGTTTTCAGTAATTGACCTAGCAATTTTAAGTTTCGGTAACACTTAGATGTTGGTGCAGCAGTTTAGACATTTACCAAGTCAGCTGTTCTATTATAGTTTCTTGACGTTCATGTATTCAGATGTGACTGGCTGTGAAACTGGGAAAGAGAACAGAGGGGGATGCAGCTTTTTTTGTTTTGACTCCTGGAGGACCTGCGTCCTGCTTTACAGGCCTTTCCCACCTGGTCTGGCAGGTTCTGCTGCTGTTTTTATTGCCCTGTTTAAAGTGTTTTGAATTGTTTTTAACTGCTTTTAACATGTGTGCTTTAAAATTTGGGGGTTTTGTTGTTTTTAAATGAAGGGACATAGGATGTACCTGGGAGAGAGGAGCTAGGGAGAGCAGGGGCCACCCTAATTTCTCGACAAGGAGAGGTATGGAAGCACAAGCCAGGAAAGGGGCATATGGCAAAAGCAATTAGTGACTGTGCCATATGCTAGCCCTTCCTCCAACCTGGGGAATTGTGGTTGTCTGTCAGCCAGCCCTTGAGTCTGTGGCTGTTGCTGCTGAATGCCAGGTTGGTTCTGAGTAAAGCCTCCCTCATCCATGATCTAATTATGAATGAGGAGGCCGAACTGGTCTGTATCACTGAGACCTGGGTGGGTGAGCAGGGTGGAGTTGGTCTCACGCAGCTGTGCCCACCTTGGTACTCCGTGCAGCATCAGGGCAGAGGAGGGTCGGAGAGGAGGAGTTGCTGTAGTCTTTTGGGAGGCTTTAACAACCTGACTCTGACTCTGGGGTGACTCATGGCTGTCTCAGTGGGGCTGTCTCAACATGTCACCGGCCCAACACATATGGCAGACCACACTCTGGAACTTGTTTTCTCAACTGGGAAGGAAAAGGGTGGTCTGAAAGTGGGGGATATTGACATCAGTCCCTTGTCATGATCAGATCACGTCATGTTGAGATTTAGGCTTTCAGCACATTTCCCCCTCTACAGAGGTGGGGGACCCATGAGGATGGTCCACTGTCAGAGGCTGATGGATCCAATGAGATTCCAGATAGCTCTGGGGGTTTTCCAGCTGATATGACTTGCGCTGCTGATGAAACCTTGTCTGACCTCTGGGACATCTGAATGGTTCAGGCCATTGACATGATTGCCCCATAGTGCCCTCTCCTGCTACATGGAACCTGCTTGGCTCCCTGGTGTACTCCAGAGCTTAGAGTAAGGAAAGAAACAATCGAACACTGGTGAGGTGTCATCACCATGCCTGCCTAGTGGGAGTGAATTGAATCCTCATTGTGCCAACTGGCAGAGCTTTTCCAGGTAGTGCAAGACTTCTTAAGAGTTTGGGCAGAAGGAAGCAGCAGAACCGCTATGACTTGTATGCAAAGCAGTTTGAGGATAAAATCGCTTGAATCCATTGGGATCTTGACTCTGCTGTTACAGCAGATGAATATCAAAGAGTGTCCAGAGCACTTTCTAGTCTGGTTGTGTTGGATGAGTTTCAGTTAGTAAGGCTCAAGGATGTGGACAAACGTGCTTGGATCTGTCAGGGTCCACTTGTGCTTGGGACCATTGCCCTTTTAGGACCTGAATCAATGGATTCAAGTCAAAAGAAATGAAATTCTGCTTAAACATCAGTAAGAGTTTTCAGACAAGGAAGAGTTGTTTGACAGTGGAACAGACTCCCACAAGAAGTGGTAGACTCTCCTTCCTTGGAGGTTTTTAAGCAGAGGTTCATAGAATAACAGAACTGAATCACAGAAACTTTATTGGGCAAGGTTCTTGAGCAGGTGGTCGTGGATCATATCTAGGAGCTCTTGAAGGAAACTAATTTTCTAGATCGATTTCAATCTGGGTTTAGGGCCAGTTTTGGCACAAAAGCTGCTGTGGTCACTCTGTATGATAATCATTTTGTGACTCCTCTCATCTTCGATGTAGCTCCTCATGTCCCTTCTGAATCTACCCTAGAGGGTTGGGCAGATTTGGAGGGAGTGGGTACTGTAGGGAGAGGGATTGTCAGAAACTGCCTTTTCTGTTCTGCTGTCTGTGAGTAGATCGGATACCAGCTGCTAAATATATATTTAATAGCTTTTCAAAACTTTCATAACTCAAGCTCCCAGTTCTTTCTTTCTTTTTCATAAAAACACACAGAGACACCTGGCTGTAATTTAATCAATGGAAACTGAAAGTGCACTCTGAGTTGTATTGGAGAACATTTGTAGAAAGGTGATCTATAAACCTTTTAAATAAATACCCTTCCAGCTGTGTAGCACACACACTTGACTATACTCAGAAGTAAATCTGTTGATTTCATTGAACCTGCTTCCTAGCTAATGTGCCTTTGGCTTCAATCCTATGCAGTACACAATTACCTGAGAGTAAGTCCACTGAGATACCTGCTTTTTCCAATTAAATGTCCATAGTATTGCACATGCTTGAAATGCTTGAAAATACAAACTTGCAGAGGGCAGAAGGGAAGCAGGGGGTGGGGAATTGACCCCAATTATTTGGTAATGATAATTGGGGGATCAACCCCAATTATTTGGTAATGATAAAAAGAACAATTCTGTGTGTATGGAGCCATAAACACAGGCAGTTGGGAAAGATTTTGTATTCATGCACTGTAACTCAAAGACATAATAATCTGTGGCTACAACTCGGGAATAAAGAAGTTTTAATATTGACAATATTTGCTTTGCTTCTGTGCTCGTTTAGTCAAAGCAAATAAAAATAAGTCCAATGTGAACAAAGTTCAGAGGGGTTATTGAACTATGCAATTAGTGTCTGCTGAAAGCAAAACTTAATAATCTTCTGAATTTTTAATGAGGAAATTTTACAGGGCAAATTTATATTATTTAAATCTAAATTTTTGTTTTTGATAATATCACACACAGCTGTCTTAATCTAGATATACTAAGAGCTTCCACAAAAATAGAAACTGTATATTTAGAAAGTAACGCACCATAAAATCTTATACAATAATTTGTGGGTTTGGAAGAGAATGAACCAACTGGTCTTTGTCAGAATTAAGACCTTAAAAATTCATGCTACAGCTATGACATATATTGTTTATCATCATAAATGTATAGCAATTAGTTTCCAGCTACTGAGGATGCTTCTAGGTGGTGGGTTAATATGACATATGGATTGTTGAAGTATCACAATTGGTGTGGTGATGTAGAGAAATTCAGGTTTCCTAGACAGAGATTTTCAGGATTGTAGATCACTCAAAAGAGGGTGACCCCCACCCCATGACCTTACTGTCAACTTGTTGAGTGAGAGGTTAAGGATTTGTGTCATAAAAATCTTACCATGTACCTGTTGACAGCAGCCCATATGACAGCGTCTAGGAACTGGAGGAATAGATTGAAGAATAGTTCAACAGAATATGGCAAATTGTCCTAACAGAAAA